TAATTACAAAAAACAGTCCTGAGTAAATTTTCCAATTTCCAAGTGCAAGTGGTTACTGTCCTGACAATTGTAAGTAACATTTTTTTCAGGCACCAGTCTTTGAAGGACTAGTAGCCTTTAGATAAAACTTTCAACGCCAGGTCCAGTGTTCACAAAGAAAAGATCAGGATCAGGTGATCCTGATTTTATTTTCATTGTTTTATAAAACTAAAATTGATTGTATTATGCTAGAATTAAATCACATACCTCGGAATGGACAGACAAAGGGTGATCACAAATTATTTGGACCTTAGTGGCCGGACAAAAAACCATCACAATTTGACATTTGCCTTTTGCAGCCTGGAAAATGTCTCAGACTATGATTTACATTTTAAGAATAAAAAACACATGTTAAAATTAAATTTGTTTATTTTAATGATTCCTTTAATATCTTATGTGGCGTTAATACTGGCAACAGAGATGGACTGCCCAAAGAATTTTACTCAGTCCAGGGGAGACAACTGACTGCCTCCTATACAAGGTAAAATGGCCAAGTCAGTGACCTAGGTTGAAACCTAGTGTCGCATCCCAACAGTTAATGCACACACCCTGAAGAGGACGGTTGCGGCTGGGCAGCCTGGATTACTACTAACTCCTAACAGACGGTCCCGGACGTAGCCCTGCCCTAGGCCTCCCCTCCATACCTGGAGGTGGAGGGGGGTGCCCCCGTTACTCGGGAGTGCACCCCAACAAAATACATTAAAACCATGCCTGCATGCTTTAAAGCAAGTCAGGCTAGGAGAAAGAGCCAGGCTGTTAAACCCGAAACCACCCTTGTTTGTCTCCCCGGCCGCCCCCTACAAATTGGCCCCCTCTGTGCCTTGCAATTACACAACTTATTTCATGTAACAAAAGTAATCAAATGTTCATCGTTACAGCAATAAACAGCTAATCGTTTATAAACAGCATATGTTCAGACTAAGATTTCCAAATTTGTAGGCAAACATTATGTAGTTTGGATCACTTACTCTTGGTGTTTTTGTTTTTTGCACCAAGCTGACATGGGAACTATGTCTGGTCCCTCGCAAGTTAGCACTGTGACCTGAAAGTATAAAGAAAAAGCAGCAGCAGCAAGATTTTTTTTTGCAGTATATGACAAGTCATGGCATTAAGGGGTTCGGAGGGTGGGTTTTTCGACTTGGTAAGCAGTGTGGCAATGGTTCATATTCAAATTGTAAATAATTGCTTATTTGCAAAGAAACCTTATAACCTATTTTGGGATAAAATCAACTAAACAAATACAAAAGTAATCTGATCAAAATGATGATCAATTTTAGGATCAAAATCAAAATTTGGATCAACTATAAAATGCCCATATCTTGTAAAAATAACAATAAATTTATTCTAAACTTTCATAAACATGCTATTTTTAGTCCAGTTTTATCAATTTAATATTGAATATTAAATCTATGTGGATAAATAATGGAGAATATTTGAGTTCTTAAATTTGATCCTGATCTTGATCCTTAAATCTTTGTGAACATGGGGTTAGCAGTTGGTTTATTGATATCACATCTGATATCATATAGTATTTTAACATTTCTTTCCCTTGTGTTGCATTATCATATTATATAAAATGCACTTGATTGCATAGTTTGTTTAGTAATGATATAGTATGACAGTAACCGTTGTTGCCTTAAAATTATACACCTTTAGAAACAATAAAGTAGTCACTTGTTTCATTGATAGGGGTGTCACTACTAAGGCACATGTATAACTCTGGCATGGATGTATGAACTTAGAAAATATTTATGCAACATCAATCTACAAAACTACTGAAAAAACTACTGAAGATATTCTTTTGAATTTAAATACAATTACATTTGTGACCAAATCTGGGTGTCACTATCCAAAGCCTTTTGTAAATTTAGAAAATAAAATATTTAAAGTTTTACATGCAACATCGGTCTACAAAGCTACTGAAGGTATCCACTTGAAACTTAATACACGTCTTACTGATCATAATTTTTGTCACAACCCAACTGTTCAGCATGCTATCCTGTTTATGCTAATTGCTGTCTGGACCAATTGGGGAATATAGTCTGAATTAGATAAATAAACAGATGGCTATATTCTCCTGTCATCCCAAGAATTATCCAATCAATTTTTCAATATTGCAAATTCTTTTCTCTCATTACATTTCTTAATGTAAAAACTACCTATATCAGGATAGTTTAGGGAAAAATTTATTCACTGTATAGACTGCTTTATTTATAAGGTGTGGCAGCCAATAAAAAATCAACATGTGTATACATAAATACATGTACTGGATAGAAATTTTGTCTATTTTTTATTAACGTGTAGCAACATGAAATGACAAACGTACCAAAGATCTGCATAAAGCAATACCAAGCGAGGTGAAAGTAATATATTAAGATATTGTATAACATTAAGAAAAGAAAGAAAACAGATAAAAATAAATTACTCCTACTGTAGATAACAAGGTTATTAAACTCAAAACAGGCACAAATCATGTTCTGACTTCATGATATGTAATTCCTGCGTAAAATTAACATACAGCATGTTATCGGAATGATAAATTGTCTTGTGACAGTGACATGCCACTTGCTGATTGGTCCATTCAAACATACTGTGCTCTGATTGGTCGAGTATAAAATCCTCTCTTCTGATTGGCCGATGGGACAATATGGAGGAGAGCACTTTGCTGATCAAATTTCTGTAAAAACAATTAGCATAAGAACATTATTGTAATCTTTATGTTCCTAATGAAAAGAGGATTATCCCTTAAGTTTGTTTTCCTTCTTCTTGAAGTATGGGGGCGACAGCTTGCGGCAAATATCTACCAGTCTACATTCCCTGCCTCTCATAAGTTTGACATCTATATGTTATTGATATTGTATTATATTATATTGTATTATATACATGAATATAGGTACTTCTGGCCATGTTTCGAGACACACTAGATTAAAGGAGCAATGTTCTTTATGCCTTTTTACTGTAACAGATTTTTAAGGTAGTTGCATAAAGACTTGGTGTATAAATTTTTTTTCACCTTGATCCATTTAGAGTGATTTTTAACCAGGTTTTCCGAAGGAAAAAACTGGTTATTAGATTGAGGTATGTTGGCGGGCGGACGGGCGGGCGGGCGTAAACAATTTCTTCTGTGCGCAACTCCTCCTACATTTTTCAACGGATTTTGACCAAACTTTCACAGAAGCTTTGTCATCAAGTGACCTGGCGCATATTGTCGGGGTTTTGTGATTGGATAATATTTGACCTAATTATGGCCCTTTGTTTTTTTTTCCTTATATAGAATATATAGTGAATAATTTCTTCTGTGCCCAACTGTTCCTACATTTCTCAATGGATTTAATTATGGCCCTTTGTTTTTTTTCCCAATATAGGATATATAGTGCACAATTTTCTGTGCGCAACTCCTCCTAAATTTCTCTCAACGGAATTAGACCAAACTTTCACAGAGGCTTTGTCATCAAGTGCCTTAGGGCATATTGTCAGGGTTTTGTGATTGTATAATATTTGACCTAATTATGGCCCTTTGTTTTTTTCCCTTATACAGATTATATAGTGAACAATTTTTACCATGCGCAACTTCTCCTACATTTCTCAACAGATTTTTACCAAACTTTCACAGAAGCTTTGTTATCAAGTGCCCTGGCGCACATTATTGGGGTTTTGTGATTGGATAATATTTGACCTAAAAAACCTAATTATGGCCCTTTGTTATTTTTCCTTATACAGAATATATAGTGAAAAAATTCTTCTGTGCTGAACTCCTACATTTCTCAACGGATTTTGTTCAAACTTTCACAGTAGCTTTGTCATCCAGTGCCCGGGCATGTTTTACATTGCACATAGTTACATTGTTTGTTGCTTGTATTTGTATTTCAAATACAACATATTTATCTACAATGGTGATAATTGAAAACTTGGTTTCATGGCATTGCCATGTTTCTTGTTAGAGAATTTACATGTATATAACATTTGCATGCCCTGATAAAAATAGCATTATATTATTTAAAAATAGATTATTAGCACCACTATTTGAAGAATAAGGAGATATTTTGTACTCAACAAGGCAGCAGCATCACACTTTTAAGTTTCTTGCATGCAGGTTGATATCTCAAAAACTACTAAATGGAATTGGTTGAAACTTCATACACATCTTCTGGAGAAAATTGATAATTACTGGTTAGTTATCCAGAAAAGCTGGTTTGCTCGATATGACCAAAAATTTGTTGAAATTGGCATAAAACCATACAAGTGGTAAATTGGGTATCTAGTACAGTAGTGATTATGAACCACTTAATAATGTTGTATATCAACCATTCTTTAGTACTTTTTACTTTCAGATCCATATTAAGTGGTTAATTATTATACATCTAGTGCAGAAATGGCAGTTAACCACTTATGAATAGTTAACACTTAATCTGCTTTATTTTTGTAATGGACTTACCCTGTTTTGAATTCTGGAACAGTCCATTTAATGTTTAAAAGATTTCAATATCAAAATGCAAAAACGAGCTACCAACAGTATAGAGTCTGGTCAGACTTAACGGATGTTAACGCTGGCTTGGCTGCATACTGGTGGCAAAGGGTAATGGCTTCCGGTCCTAACAGGTTGAAAGGTTAACGTAAATCATGCTGACTTATTTCCTGTTTATATTAATTTATAGTGGTTAACCCAATAACCAGTAGTGTACTGACCGATGAGTCTACCCTTATCAACCCAAAGTGGTTACTGGATATCTAGTACTGAAATGGCTGTTAACCACTTAAAAATAGTTAATGTAATTCATGCTGACTTATTTCCTGTTTATATTTATAGTGGTTAACCCAATAACCAGTAGTGTACTGACAGATGAGTCTACCCTTATCAACCCAAAGTGGTTAACTGGATATCTAGTACTGAAATGGCTGTTAACCACTTAAAAATAGTTAACGTAAATCATGCTGAATTATTTCTGGTTTATATTTTATAGTGGTTAACCCAATTACCAGCACTGTACTGACAGATGAGTCCACCCTTATCAACCCAAAGAGGAGAAAAATGACATTTTTGCCATTCACTGATGAAGAGTCTCCAAAAGAAGGGGACATAATTGGGCTTGATGCGGAGTTTGTCTCCCTTAATCAGGTCAGTTAATCTTTTTTGCATTTTAATCACCTGCATTGATAAATACATGTGCAAAATCCAAGAACAAAAAGGTCAATTTTTGTAAAGTGATCAGATATTGATGTTCTGCCGTGTGCCATCTAACAAATGTTATTTTAACCCTTCTCACAATGAAATATTTAATGGAATTGTCCATCTTTTAATCTGGGTAAAACCATTCATCATGTTTCGGGAAAATTTCAAGATATGAACAGATTAGCGAACAATGCAGACCAGGATCAGACAGAACATATCTTGGTCTGGAATGGTTGCATGGGTAGAATCTGTATATGCCTATAAGTTTATTACGGAAATAAGTAAATATTTAATGTTACAGTTTTGGAAGCAAACCATTCAAACTGATTTGTGCTAGTTTTAATGAATTGTTTTTAACCTTTAAGATGTATACATGTGTAATTTACATGTAATTTACAGGAAGAATCTGAGTTGAGAAGTGATGGTACAAGGTCAACTCTGCGACCTAGTCACATGTCTGTAGCTAGGATTACATGTATCAGAGGGTAGGTGTTTGATTGTATACTCGTACATTTTTAGCTTGACTATTTGATGGATAGGGAGAGCTGTTGTACACCACCCCGGTGTCTGTGTCACACTTTGGTTAGGTTTTTGTTTGCAAGTTGATATCTCCAAAACTACTGAAGGGAATGGGTTGAAACTTCGCATAATTCCTTGGGAGCATAATTGGAGGTCCCTGGATTTTGATAGAATTATAGAAAATTCTACATTATCCAGGCTCTTGTTTTCCTATCAAGCCCTGTGAGTAGTCGAGCACGGTGTCCTACCAGCAGCTCTTGTGTGTACTTCATTCACATGTAAAAGCACTTTTTATAAATGCTGTATAAATTAAGTCTAAGTTGTTTATTTTGCCTTGTTTATTTATACCACCTTCCTACAGAACTGTTGTTCTTTGGTTTAACCAGTACTGGTGAGGAAACATGGTTGTTAACCTTTTATTACCACCTTTCTTTCTTGTATAAAAAAGTTAATAATGGATATGGAGGCAGGCACTGTACCCATTTGTTCCCTCTTTCCCTGTTTATAATTGCCATTAAAGATTATAAAATTAATGTATTTTGTGTAAAAAAATCTACTTGGCTTTGAATTACTGAAGTCTGGCCATTCTGAATGCTGATTTTACATTTCAGACAAGGAGAAAACCTTGGTGAACCTTTCATAGATGACTATATCTGTAGTCATGAACAGGTTAGTACCGTGTAGTAGAAGATTATTTACAACATTTACCTATTGGATATTGGAATTATCCCCTGAATATATATAGTCAAGTTGCTTGAGAAATCATATGCAAAAATACACCAGGAGAGTCAAAGATGCTTTTTCAAGTTTTTCACCTGTCTAGAATATCCCACATCATACAAAACTATTTTATATGTACATGAATATTTTAAGCTACATTTCAAGTTCCATATTTGCAGAGCAACATAATTTGGAAAAAAAAGATTTTGGTTGTTGCTGGGAGGGTCTTGCTTTAAAGAGGATTAATTTTTTTGAGGGAAAGCACTGATACTGTTGTTTTATTGAGGTGGGAGATGAATATTTATACCCCCGCACAACAAAGTTGTAAGGGGGGGTATACTGGAATCAGCTTGTCCGTCCGGCTGTCCGTCGGTTTTTTCTTGTCCGACCAATAACTTAAGATTTCTTTGACCCACAGTCTTCATATTTGGCATGGAGGTTAGTCAAGATTAGTAGATGACCCCTATTGATTTTGAGGTCACCAGGTCAAAGGTCAAGGTCACAGGGACCTTGACTTCAAAAAGCTTGTCCGCCCAATAACTTAAGATTCCTTTGACCTACAGTCTTCATATTTGGCATGGAGGGTAGTCATGATTAGTAGATGACCCCTATTGATTTTGAGGTCACCAGGTCAAAGGTCAAGGTCACAGGGGCCTTGACTTAAAAAAGCTTGTCCGCCCAATAACTTAAGATTCCTTTGACCTACAGTCTTCATATTTGGCATGGAGGTTAGTCATGATTAGTAGATGACCCCAATTGATTTTGAGGTCACCAGGTCAAAGGTCAAGGTCACAGGGGCCTTGACTTCAAAAAACTTGTCCGCCCAATAACTTAAGATTCCTTTGACCTACAGTCTTCATATTTGGCATGGAGGTTAGTCATGATTAGTAAATGACCCCTATTGACTTTGAGGTCACCAGGTCAAAGGTCAAGGTCACAGGGGCATTGACTTCAAAAAGCTTGTCTGCCCAATAACTTAAGATTCCTTTGACCCACAGTCTTCATGTTTGGCATGGAGGTTAGTCATGATTAGTAGATGACCCCTATTGACTTTGAGGTCACCAGGTCAAAGGTCAAGGTCACAGGGGCCTTGACTTCAAAAAGCTTGTCCCCCAATAACTTAAGATTCCTTTGACCCACAGTCTTCATGTTTGGCGTGGAGGTTAGTCATGATTAGTAGATGACCCCAATTGATTTTGAGGTCACTGGGTCAAAGGTCAAGGTCACAGGGACTTTGACTTCAAAAGTTTGTCTGCCCAATAACTTAAGATTCCTTTGACCCACAGTCTTCATATTTGGCATGGAGGTTAGTAATGATTAATGAATAATAGGTGACCATATTGATTTTTAGGTCACTGGGTCAAAGGTCAAGGTCACAGGGGCCTTGACTAAAAAAGATTGTCCACCCATTATCTTAAGATTCCTTTGACCCACAGTCTTTGTTTTTGGCATGGATGTTGATCATGACCATAAGGTGACCCCTATTGATTTTGAGGTCACTGGGTAAAAGGTCAAGGTCACAGGGACCTTGACAAAAAAAATCTTTTCCCCTCAATTGCTTAAGAATGCCTGTCCGCAGTGTATTGTTTTTGACATTTTCACATTTGAAGCACGTAGAATACATAACTTAGCAATGCACTGGCTTAGTAACCTCAGATTTGGCAGGGAGGTTGTCCTTGAGCTTTAAATGGCCACTGTTGATTCTGACAAAGTGGTATGCGGGGGTATTCACGCCATGATAGTGGCAGTTCTAGTTTGGTTTTGCTGGAAGGTTGTTGCTATATAAAGAGGTTTAATTTTATGGGAAGAATTGATAAATGTTGTTATTTAGAGGATATTGCTATACATAGAGGTTGCATTGTATATTCAAATTACACAGAAGAAAATGCAAAATGTGACAAAATAGTATAATTTGGCCGGCAAGAAAATTTGGTCACTCTGGTTTTTCCAGACACTTCTAATGCTCTTTTTGACAGAGTTAGTGTGAAAAATTTTTGTTAACCACTTATGACTCATTCTTCGTGACTTGGATTTAGGGTAGGTAAATTTTATGACATGTGAAAACTGAATAGTTGTTCACCACTTCTGACCCATTTCTTTGTGATTTGTTCTGTAGATTGGTGAATTTTATTACATGTGATAACTACATTTTTGTGTACATAGTTAATGTCTTAATTGATTATTTTCCTAGAAGTATATTTGTAGATTTCCGATCTTTTCTCATTCTCAGGTAGTGGATTACCTTACACAGTATTCTGGAATCAAACCTGGTGACCTTGACCCAACCTTGTCTAATCGTCACCTGACCACGTTAAAGGCAACCTATCAGAAGATCCGATACCTAGTGGACACGGGGGTCATATTTGTGGGTCATGGGCTCAAGAAGGATTTTAGGGTCATCAATATCCATGTTAGTAAAACATTTTACTTAAAGACATGACTTTATATTACTAGTAATTTAGTTTCAGGTCTATAGGTAATATCATTTATTTCATGCAGCAACAGGATATGAATATAATAGGAGTTAACCCATCACTGCATTCAGGTAATGATATATAACTGGAGCTGCTAGGTAAGGGTTATATAAGTAACAACTGTTCATAAATGGTCATATTACCGGTGCAGAAAATGAAATTTAAAACTGCTTTCAAATGAAACTTGAATTATAAATTGTCAGCATTGATATTTAGAAAAAAACATTTCAAGAGTGTACAATGAAAATAGTAAAACAGAAGGAAAGAACATATATGTGCCAAACATCAGTGTGATTTTTAAACATAATTATTCAAGGACCTACCAGTTTATTTAAATTAAGCAGGTTAAAGGGTAAAAGATTTGGGTTTTGTTTGTAGAATAATGTCAAATGTGCATTTTTAAATAAATAGTTGCAAACGAAACAGTATGAAAATATAAAGATGACACATTTTAATTTTAATCAAATAGGTGCCAAGGGACCAGATAATTGACACTGTAGAATTGTTTCACCTGCCTAGACAGAGAATGATCTCACTCAAGTTCCTGGCCTGGTACTTTCTCAGTAAGTTAATCCCTATACATAACTTTCTTTTAGTTTGAATATTTTATTTTGCAGTAAATATTGAATGAGTGTACATTTTATACTGAATTAATTTAACAAGTTAAATAAAATCACATTATGCGAGACTCTGGCAAGCATACTATTGTTTTATTGGACGCGTCTTGTTAGTATTGAATCTGCATGAATATAATTTTCTATTTATCACATATCCAAAGTAAGAACGATTTACAGGTACATTTTTCATTCATGTTCATAGTGTATGCTAACATTAGAAAGCTTTGAAGCAGTGCTTGTATATAGTGCAAATGACGTCACACAGTAGTGTTGTTACACTGGTGTAATATTGTTTTCATTAAATGGCGCTATTACACTCCTGTGCCTTAGTTTAAGTGATAATGTTATTTATTAGAAGCATACCGGGACTGGGCATAAGTGTCAACTTTAGCATAAACAAACTTAAATAATACACATATTTTCCACTGAACCAACTAAGGTTTTGCATTAAAAGTTGTTCTTGTTCAACTTTCTTAAGGCCTTGATTCAAGGCATATTTTTATATGTATAGAAAAAAATTATTATTGTTTACTATGGCAACAACAAAATTTCTATTCACAGAGATCAATATACAGTCAATAACCCATGACTCTGTGGAGGACGCGAGAACTGCCCTACAGTTGTACCTGAAATACCAGGAGATGTCTAAAGAAGGCATGGACAAAGTGCGTAAAGTTATAAAAGAGATGTACGAGTTTGGACGTAAAAATCAGTGGAAAATATCCGAAGGCATAGAAGAGGCGACGGATGACAATGCAATAGCTTTCTTGTAAAGTAAAACAATGGAAAATGTTATTTAATGTTCATTTGGTTATGACCAGATCGTGTTTGAACCTTTGGAAAACTGTGGTAACGCAAAGAGTTGACTGATGATACCGCAATATCTTTCTTATAGAAAGAAGTCATGGATGAGTATTGATATTGTTTTACCAGACTGAATTAGATGAACACAAGGTTCATTATAATACTGGTTCCTCATCAAATAAATGGCTTTTGAAGAATTATTGTGGTTTCCTCAAACTACTGGTTTCGAGGAACTTAAATATGAAGATGTGCGGAAAAGAAACTTTGATACCGGTAGATGTTAATGAAAACTGTTACAGTATAGAAACAATGGTGAGATCCTGACAAATGAAAAGGTAAACAAAAATAATGTGGATAATATTAGAGGGATGATGCCCTGTGAATGATTTAATGTCAGGTGGATAATGTTGTGTCTTTTTAGCTCACCTGTCACAAAGTGACAGGGTGAGCTTTTGTGATCGCTTTTCGTCCGGCGTCCGTCCGTCCGTCGTCCGTCCGTCCGTAAACTTTTGCCTAAAATGACATCTCCTCATAAACCACTATGCCAATTTCATCCAAACTTCACAGGAATGTTCCTTTGGTGGTCACCTTTAAAAATTGTTCAAAGAATTTAATTCCATGCAGAACTCTGGTTGCCATGGCAACCAAAAGAAAAAAACTTTAAATATCTTCTTTTAAAAAACCATAAGAGCTAGAGCTTAGATATTTGGCATGAAACATCTTCTAGTGAGTGTCTACCAAGTTTGTTCAAATAAAAGCCCTGGGGTCAAAATTGGCCCCGCCCCAGGGGGGCATTGATTTTCCCTATATGCATATAGTAAAAACTTAAAAAATCTTCTTTTAAAGAACCGTAAGAGCTAGAGCTAAGATATTAAGCATGAAACATCTTCTAGTGAGTGTCTACCAAGTTTGTTCAAATTAAAGCCCTGGGGTCAAAATTGGCCCCGCCCCGAGGGTCATTGATTTTCCCTATATGCATATAGTAAAAACTTAAAAAATCTTCTTTTAAAGAACCATAAGAGCTAGAGCTTAGATATTTGGCATGAAACATCTTCTAGTGAATGTCTACCAAGTTTGTTCAAATAAAAGCCCTTGGGTCAAAATTGACCCCGCCCCAGGGGGTCATAGATTTTCCCTATATGCATATAGTAAAAACTTAAAAAATCTTCTTTTAAAGAACCCAAAGAGCTAGAGCTAAGATATTTAGCATGAAACATCTTCTTATGAGTGTCTACCAAGTTTGTTCAAATAAAAGCCCTTGGGTCAAAATTGGCCCCGCCCGGGGGGGGGGGGGTCATTGATTTTCCTTGTATGTGTATAGCAAAACTTTAAAATCTTCTTTGGAAAAACCCAAATAGCTAGAGTTAAGATATTAAGCATGAAACATCTTTAAGTAAATATCTACAAAGTTTGTTAAAATAAACGACCGGGGGTCAAAACTGGCCCTGCCCCAGGGGTGTCATTGTTTTTAACTATATGTTTTTACTGGTTTATGATAATAAGTCTAGTAGAATGAAAGAATGTCATGTTTGAAAATTAATATGTAAGATTGACACCCCAAGGTTGTATAAATTATACTATGTCATGCAGATAATATAAGGTAATGTGGATTCTGAATACTCTGATCAGGTGGGCAGTGTATGTTTAGATGTATGATAATTAAATTTCATTTCAATTTTGCTGCCTCATTTCTTTTGTCTTGAAAGACCGGGCTTATATATGTGTATTTTTTTAAGAATAATTGTTGAGATAATCATGTCATAATTATGTGCTAAATCTAACAGATTTATCTTTATTTTGATCTTGTACACAAATTGTTATTGAAAAAAATGTCATTAAAAATAAATGTGCTGAACAATTAAATATGTTGAGTTTTTATATGAAAATGGTAGGCTACTCTAATTGGCAAAGTGATAGAAAAGGTTCACTCTGGTACATGTTAATACACAAAAAACCAATGTTCAGTTCAATTTGATTTAATTTGGATCACACCACTTGCAGACTTTACAAAGGAAATATTCAGGGAGTCGCAGCATTTATCAATAATAAACCAAGGTCTCCAACCCCGACTGATAATGAAGACTTGTACTTTTGGATGATAGAAACCCTGGTAAAGGCCCGGAACAGTGAGATTGTAATATACCCGCTAACTCCCCAACCCACCTCCCCGCAATGAAAGTTTGATACACCCCTCACTATTTTTGCGCTTAATTAGGACCGCAGAAAGCGAACAACGGTAGTTATAACCGGAATCATTTCCTCCGAGAGGCGAGGCGTTACAATCGATTGTAAGCGCACTTTAGGAAATAATGTATTCGTATATAGATTCCAAGTTTTTGTTTTTTTGGAAACAAAAAAAATATGAATTAGAATGGAAATGCCTGAGTAATGCAACAACATTTGCTGTATAAATATTTATAATAATAATATTAATGATAAATAGCTTAAAACAGGCAGTCGTGTGTTTTAAAGGTGGTTATTTCAAGTACATTGGCGGATTCAATGTTGCAGTTTTACGTCGAACCAACACAGTGTTGGTCACATGACGACTTTTACTGGTGGAGGAATACCTCGGGTGCCCCTCCGTGCATTACTTCAGGCACGAACAAACACCTGAGTAGAACCACCGACGTTATAAAGTTAGTTGGATAGCTTCCTTACTTGACAGAACAGAACAGAAACTTTATTTTCAGAATCCTAAGTCCTTGTCGGGATTAGAACCCACAGCGGTGAAGGGCAAATGATTTTAAGTCAACGACCTAAACCACTCCAAAATCTTATTAGAAACGCTAGTTGTAGTTGTACAGAAATGCCTTAACCCATTTTTCAGTGAAGTATCAAACTTCAAATATGAACAGAATTTCATTTTAAAAAATCAAACAAACTAAGTCTCAGAACTGCATTTGTTTGCTATATATTTAATAAAAGCTTATGCCTTCGATGACAAGTTACAATAAGACTGGTCAGAAAAAGTCTAGATAATTATACAAAATAAATGCGAAAGATACTCTCGAAAAAATCAACAACAGGGTTTTCAGCTGTGTACTCGTTCAATACATATGGTGGCTGATTTGGAACATTACGCGAAGCGTTGTCGATAGCGACAATGAAACCTATATCGTTATCACATTTTCGTCTTGTCGCTAGCGACAACACGACAAAGCACTAAACGGCGCGCGCGCTGTCGTCTTGTCGTCCTGTCTCTAGCGGAGCACGCGAAACGGCGCGCTGTCGTCTTGTCGTCCTGTCTCTAGCGAAGCACGCCAAACGGCGCGTTGTCGTGCGGCGCGTTGTCGCGATGTCGCCCTGTCGCTTGGCTTATAAGCCAATCCTTCGATTTGAACCGAGCGACAATGTGACATCGCGACAACACGCCGCACGACAACGCGCCGTTTGGCGTACATCGTTAGCGACAGGACGACAAGACGAAAGTCCGACAACGCGCCGTTTGGTTCTTTGTCCTGTTGTCGCTAGCGCCAACACGACGCACAAAGGCGTTCCAAATCAGCCACCATATATTCGTCATTTGAGGTAGAATTACGGTTTTAAGCTTTAGAAACCTACTGCGTTTGTAAACGATTTATACAAATCAATTTTAGGCTTAGAAAGTGCCGAGTGGCACCTGTAAAAAGTCGTCCCATACTTCACTTCAGTGTAGTTATATTTTTCTAGTCCTTATCCAACACTTTTAAGTGTTTAGAATTGAGTACCGCTCAAGCCGGTGCTAGCTAGGGGGCGTGAGGAATGTTGAACTTTTTTATTATCCTTCATGTACAGACTCAATCAAACCGAGTCTGCAAATTTTATATAAATTTGTTGTGATTAATGCTTCCAAAGGATTACTCTTTATCCAGATTTTTATAAATAAAATACATTACAATACAATATGATACAATACAAAACACATTACAATACAATATATAACAATACAATACAATACATTTTAATCAGCTTCAGACTAAAACAATTAACACAAATACATGAGAAATAGTTTACAATGTAGATCAATAATCAATACACAATTAACGAAATCAAACGCACTGTATATATATAACCAATTACAATGACATTTACGACTGAATTAAGATAAAGTACCTTTAATGGTTATCATTAATAAAGATAAGCGGATTGTGTTTGGATAAACAAGAAAACAGAAGAAAGGTGGAAATCGTCAGGTAGTACTTCTAACAAACATCAACAACAGCAGCAGCAACAACAACAACAACATAAATACATTTAATATGATAAATATTTGGACGATGAAATTACGTTATAAAATTTGGAAAACAACAACAACAAAAAAAACACACTAAAATACAACAACAAAAACATCAACATATTACATAATGCTTATAATTTAAAAGATAACATTCTAAGCGATTTATGCCCAAAATTAAAAGCACAACAAATTTATGAAAATGAACGTCTCGGAAAAATCATCAGAATTTTACTGATTTCAACTTTTTAGGCCAACTATATATACTTTAGTCTTGTAGAAAGCTATTTAGTTTTTATATTAATTTATGATATGACGTCGCTTATTTTCTAGATGCATTAAGTCATGTGATAATAAGGTTCTAACATTCGTTCTCTAGTTCAAGTAATTTTTATTTGTTTGGAGCGTCAGACCAAACAAATAATGGTAGCAAAATTTCAGACCCTGATGTTCTTATTTGCAGATGCCGAAAGTAGTCCAAACTCCTCGAGTTTACACGCTCGCTTTAGTAGCGAGAGGTCCGGAGTTCAAAATCCAGTTCAGGCAACTCATGTTTTGTTTGTTTTTTTTTTTAAATTGATTAAGCCAAATAAACATTGAATTGAATATCAGTGATGCAATTAGTCTTATAGCCAATTTACTATAGTTATAACACTGGAAACAGAATTTGGTGACACTTAACAAACAAATTGGTTTATAATCTCACAACCTTCACCTTTCTGACTTTCTGAGACCCAAACAAATTCAGCGCCTTCTGTGCTTTGATTTAAAGCTTGACTAAAACAATATCTTGAACACGCTGGTACTGAGGAAAAAACAACAACAAAACAAAACAAAATAAAAACATAAAATTTGAATTTCAATCATAAATCAACTTAGGTACTTAAAACAAAAAGATATGCAAAAGATAATTAAGTAATATCACCAGATATAAATTGAAAATCGTATTTTTGTACTATTCATTATTAATTCAGTGAAAAACGTTTCAACCATTTTCAATTACACATTTAGAATAATTATTCTGGAAATAAACGGATTGAGCGAATGACATAGGTTACTGGTGTAGACTAACATCAAATGTAACATTTATTTTCGAAAAAAAAAAACAAACATTTCCAGCCCTTTAATATTCTATGGGCACCTCTTGTCAGATCATACAAATATATGTACATGTATATATAAATCTTGTTTTTAAGCAAATCCAAACTAATCTTTTTCCAAATCAGAAAAAAAGAAAACTACCAAAAAATATGGCGCACATGCCCGCATGTAAATGTATTTTTAGGTGTGGGGTGGGGAGCGCGATGATAAATTAATACGTTTTAATTCTAAAAAATACCTCGATGTTTGCAATTATAATGTATAATAAATAAAAACAAAACACACACACATACACACACACACACAAAACTACGTAACATTTTAGATAATTCCTCTTATACAACAATTGATTGATTTTGTATGTCTTCTAGAAAATGCTGCAAACTTTATCATGTATATACATAATCGTGTATATCAAAATGCTAAATGTCAAAAAATCACCACTTAACACAAACGAAATAAAAACGACCAAAATACAGAATAACAATTTTTCACATCTGTGACTTAATCTGCAATATTCCTCTGAAAGATCAGTACTTTATGAAAATGCCGGTCTGCTTTCGCCAATAAACATGGGCTTAGTCCCGCGAATCCGCTTACAATGTAACACATGGACATATCTGTAATACGTACGAACGGTTATCCAAGTCATGCAAGCCCATGTAATGGAAAAGAGGGCTAACTGGAGACAATAATCCGTGACCGATGGTTTACTCTTGCTCCTAATAGCGGCGGATTTGAATTAACAGTTTTGCATAACCACTAAAAGATGCTTATTAATATATTCAACGCAAAACCTACGTAAAATGGTGGCGACGTATATAAAGCCAGTTTCCCCGTTCCACCAGCCAGTATTGTCCCCGAGGCAAAGTTAACCGGAGTATATTGAGAGAAATAGGGGGACGCATAACTAATTTGTTGTCGAAACTGTTCTCAATCAAAAGCCCTGTACTATTGGACAGTCCCCCAAAGGAAATCACGGTTGTTAAGGCCCCTTAAAGGGACAACATAATGGCGGGTAATACACCGCCACTCATAGGATTGTTAATATGGATCTTATTGTCGACAATTAACGATGCCGGTGCCTCGTAAGTATTTTTTTTCATAATTTTAACACTATAATATATGTACATGTAATTATTTCACCATTACCGATTCCAACGCATTATAAAAAGCATTTAAAAAAACCAATAATTTTAAGTTTTTAACTCTAAATGATATATACATATATATCTCGGTTAACAATGCCAGCACATTAAAAGTAGCTTTCATTTATAATTTCATCATATGTAGCCTTATAACTATTACTTCAATGTTTTTTCTTAAGAATAAAATAGTGCGCGGATGTCTCTTAAATTCAGACTGTAAAATGCATGTTGTTTTCACTGATGTTTCTTAATCTCTTAATTTTTAATTAATTAGTTATCTTTATTAACAGTCAAAATAATACCGCTTACGATGAAGACGCTTTTTAGCAGTCATACTTATTCCGTTGAAAAGACACGACCTTTAACCATACCGGCGCCTGTTCTTTATGAACAAACAACTAGTTATATTAACTAAAATGTACATTGATATACAGTGTACTTTTTATTTCTTAATATACCGGTATGTAAAACACTTAACGTTAACGATGCCCTTGCTTTTGAAATAACTTTTTAAATATTTCTTAGCTAGGATTCTTCACCAAAATAATATCATCAAAACTTTTCAATGTCTTCTTTTTTTAAATATTTTATTTGCCTACTGTAAGTTGTTGTTTTTTACACATATTAGACATATAATATTATAAGCTAAATGAAATTTTATTTTTGTTCAATAGAGTAAGTCTGAATACATATATAACAGCAAATATATATAAGCAGTCTTGAATAAATATATGAGCCGTGTCACGACAAAACCAACATAGTGCGTTTGCGACCAGCATGGATCCAGACCAGCCTGCGCATCCGCGCAGTCTGATCAGGATCCATGCTGTTCGCTATCAGTTTCACTACTTGTGATAGGTTGGTAAGCGAACAGTATGGATCCTGATCAGACTGCGCGGATGCGCAGGCTGGTCTGGATCCATGCTGGTCGCAAACCCAATATGTTGGTTTTGTCGTGACACGGCTCATATGTAATTTTAATTAATATCGGGGTGTGGATAGCGCCATTTGACTCATTAAATCCGTTATTTGTGAACATTTTCAAATAAAAAAAATACGGATCAGCATAAATTACTTTGATATGGGAGCTTAGAATATACATGTACGTTCTTATAAAAATGACGAAAATATTGTAAAATTTGAAGAAGAGAAAATATTTCATGCTAAATTATTTAGTTATATAACATAATACATGGAATTTTTGTAGGCCTTTAATTGATTTCTCACTTTCTACTGAAAATACACAATACTTATCTAATGAAATACTAAGGTGACATCTGGCAAAAACAGCCGGAACAGACCGTAGATAGACATTTTCGAATGAAACAAATGAAAGTAAAATTGTTATATATAATAGTTTTTTAAGATTTTTAACAGGTTATATGACCCTTTACAAATGATTGTCTTCATGTACAACAATTAATTAATAAAACAAAAAGATACAAAAAATAAACAAAACAAAAATTTTTAAAAAAAATCGATTTTGCATAATTTTTTTTAGATCCTTATAATATCTAATACATGTATATGTTAAAATCTTTTAAACAACGCATTCAACAATATTTCTTATTATTTGCATATTTTGTTTTACGCAGAGTATGCAAAACTACGAAACGAACCACTAAATCCGAAAAGGCACCATGTGCCGACTTTGTAAAGATGACTCTCGAAGGCTTCCAAATAGACAAGAAGGCATCTGGGATAGACTACAAATCTTACGAAGAGCAAATGGAATACATGGAGAGGGCAAGGAAAAGTGGCAAATCCACTCCTAAATGTGTTTACACAAAGTATGTTTTGATCAAAAGATTATTTCTCCTTTTGGTTTACTTATTGGTTTAAACATATTCATTTAAGCATAATTGCGAAACAAGTTCTTGCGACTTTATAAATAACTTCGAGTCAGCATAACGGCGTGAAGAAACATTGTCGGGAACCGATTAGGGCTTTAACCCATGATCCCTGGGTTGAGAGGCAGATGCCTTAACTTCTAGGCCAAACGGTCCCCTTAATTATTTATTAGAGTTAGTTAACATTTTCTTTTGGTTTATTGAATTGAAAGATAACGCCCAAAAGAGTTAAGAATTATTCAGGGGGTTGTGCAAGGTGCAACAGTTGCGCTGTTCCAAAGGCGGCCCGGTTCTTGTATATACCGTGTGTAAAGCACCGAAACATGGGACCTCGGATCTTAAAGTCTTATCCGAGAGACCATATAAGTATTAATAGTGCTAGAGCGGAGGTTCAAAATTGCGTTATTACTTGGCCAGGGATCCGCTCCATGGTCATCAGAATATTGCCCTGCTCAAGCATATACATGTATTGTCCTTACATTGAGATAACGACCAGAAAGTGTATCGTTTTACTTAACAATGATTTGGAAACTGACACTCAGACCCCATTCGTTCGTTATTTCAGTCTTGAGCGGGATCTGATTATCACCAAAAGCCCTCCGTAAGCTAACTAACATTACAATATACAAAACACACTCAATACATAGTTTAATTACTTATACCATATATACTGTGGCTATATACTGAGGTGTATCTCCTTTTATCTAACATTGTTTACGTGTTAACTTATTTAACCACAACAGGGACGTGGAGGTTCCATCGCAAGAGTGCTGTCCTGGTTGGGAGGGCTCGAAATGCGACGAACGTAAGTTGTTGATACCTTTAACAAATTAAACAAATAAATAAATAAATAGATTAAAAATGTAAAACGTTTTTAATGCAATTTGAGACTCTATGTACACCTTTTACAAGTTGCGACCAGACCAACTTGCAATTTGCGACCCAATTTACCATATAATATATTGTATACTATATAGTTACACGTAAGTTAGCATTTTGCGACTCGAAAATTTTTATCAATATGAAGCAGCATAATATCATTTTGATTTGAAATTTGCGACACGATTTTGTCATACTACTTGTATTGGTATACTTAAATTTAACAATTAGCGACTAAAGCGTACCAAAAAGTTATTTTTCATAGAAATTTGCGACATATCTATGCGACTAAGGCGTACAAAACTGTTTTCACTTCCCAGAAATTTGCGACAAATCTGATCATTCGCTATCATTTAAAAATTAAAACCCACCATTATCATAATAAACTTACTTTTCAGCAATTTGCGACCCTCCTTGTAACCTAGCCAACTCCAAGGGTTGTGTCCAGCCCAATGTATGCCAGTGCAAGGACGGCTTTACAGGCTACAGATGTGACGATCTGTCTAAACGTAAGTTTAAAGTATAAGTTCTCATTTCAAAAATTGTTGTGGGGTTGCTATCAAATAAGTTAGAATACCCCAACGTCCTTGATAAAACTGTATCAAGCAAAAATGTTGTGTTTTTTTTTAATTCGTTGATATTTTCCGATAAAACCAAATAGAACAACGCGAAATTAAACGTATAAGGGTCAAAGGTAAAGATAACAAGCGTATGATTTATGCGTATCTATCGTTTAATTTTAGAGCTCGAATCCACTCTGCAGTACTGTTACACAGCCAATACTTGTTATGGCATGAAAAAAGAAGGGTTTGAAGACAAGGTGGTCACTGAGGACAAGTGTTGCGCCAAGGGAGGCGGAAGTTGGGGTGTCAGTGGTACAGACCACTGTGTCACTTGTCCGGAAGAGGGAGAACTGGGTTAGTATCACAGTAACCAAGGTTTATAATTGAATTCTGGTATCCACTAATTCGATATAATGATTCTTATTTTCTTTTGCCTTTGTGACCTTTGTCCTATGGATAGGTTATACTTATCATGAATACCTAAAGCAATGTTATTCCTGACATGGTGAAACCCGAATCAAATATATATATATATAAACAAATAATGCTAGATAGTGAAAAAGAGCATACGCGTATGCGCATAGATATTGCGTATGCGCAAAGCAAACATATAAATAACAAGCGCAACAATGACAGAAAAGCAGATCAAAACCAATGTTACATAGACACATTTCCCCCATATTTGTGTAGATAAATGTTGTATTATTTTGGCAGATAAATTAGAATAAACATAATTATTTAATATTTATTCAACGAGATCAATAAATTTAGTATTGAATCAACACGAATATAATATTCTATTTATCACATATTCAAAAAGAGAACGGTTTACAGTTAAAATAAATCCTGTACATGTAGTTATATTAAATGATACATTACATGTGAAGTCATTTTCTTTAATATGTATATATATATGTATATAATTTCAATCGCAGAGCCTTCAGTAATTCTTCAGACGACAAAGATGCCATTCCGAACCTGTCTCAACTTTGGACGCAGTTTCTATCGTATGTTTGACGGCTTAGAATACCAGTTTGCGGGTACATGTACCTACACTCTCTCCGAAAACTTGGAGCAGGGCTGGCACGTGGAAATGACCGTGAAAAACTGTGACTACTGGACAACTTGTCGTAAGGTAAAAAACACTACATCTTGACCACTTGCGAAGTTTTCTATAACTTTTTTTATTTTTGTATTTTAAGAGCAGAAATTTTAATTCTTCCAGTAAATCAATTTACAGATCGTAAAACTACGGTGAAATTCGGCCATTTTCGATTTTGTCCAACTACATGCATATACAACTATATCTTTCAGCTCGTGAAAACCTATATGGATAATGGAGATATGGTTGAAACAGAAGGCGGTGTCATTAAAGTCAACGGACGTGAGATCACCGTGCTACCCGATAAACCGGTGCTGACTCCTAGTGAAAGTAATTATCATTAACAACTATTTTTACTGAGGACAGGTCCCGCTTTCTCAATGAGGAAAACATAATTGAGATGCTTTGGATTAATTATAATGATGGAAAATTTATTGTACCCGATTTGTGCTGTTCACTATGGTGGCTGATTTGTGTCATGTCGTATTTTCGCTTCGTCTGGAGCGAAAGTTCGCCAAAGTCGTCATTTTGTCATAGTTTCGTGTTTTCGCATGGCGCCCCGCGGAGCGATAATACGACATGGCACAAATCAGCCACCATAGTGTACCGATTTGTTTCTGTCGTCTAAAAAAGGCGGGAACGCAAAATAAAATTGCGAAGGAATAGCAGAAGGGGCTTATATTACGCCAGACGCTCAGTGGCAGCACATCAAACCTCCAGTAACCGCGATTTTTCGTAAACCTCCCATGATTTCTTTTAATTACTTCAAAGCTTATATATCCGTTAACAAAAGTTAACAACGTTTTTTTTTCCGGTTTTATTAGTATTTCGTACACATACATATGAGTCAGATCTAATATTCCTTTGAAAAAAAAACACATTAAAGTAAGGCAGAAAAACCAGATATACGTTTGAATTAAATATATACCATACTCTATCTTTGTACATAACTTTACCATTTCTTTGCATAGCTTTTAGAACAATACTAATGGCAAGAATAGTTTTAATACATAGTACTTTATGATTCAATAACTACTGGAATCTTTTTTTTTCAGCCTATACAATCAGCGTTATTGGCGACTGGACACTTATCGAGTGCCCCAACGGTCTCAGGGTGAAGGTCGATCGTGCTTCAACGGTTTATGTAACATTAGACAAGGATAAGTCGGCCGGACAGAATGTCCGCGGTCTCTGTGGCAATAACAACGGCATTCCCGACATACCAGGTAAAGTGTCCGATATTTTACAGTTCGAACATAATTATATTCATCTTCCGTAATCTGGTGCTTAACAAATCTTTAAATAACCTGTGCATGTTCAAGCATTTAACTGGGGGCTTTTACACATATAAGTTAAAATACAGAAATACTTTATGCTTGCTTTTCTTAATTATATCTTTATAAAAGCACCATATTGAGAAAGTTTGCAGGAATAAACACTTTTACACAGGTTTTAGAGTATTGTTTAGCAGTTTATTTATTGATTTTTTATTAATTTTTTATTGATTTTTTATTGATTAAATGTTTTATTGATTAGCTGATTTGTCCATTTATTTTCAGAAATATATATTTGAAATATGTACACAAAATCTCTGATATAAATAAGATGGTATAAATATTAAATACTAAAATTCTTTTCTTATCAAGAATCAATAACCAATGTTCGTGTGATATACATGAAATTATTACATTCTTATTCCAGATGAATTTGAGGGAACCAAAAATCCTTCAACGTTCGGTAACTCTTACAAAGTTGTTACGGATGGCGCAGTCGTAAGTTGTATTCGTTGATTGTTTATTACAATTACTGTTAAAAACAAAAAGTTAAATAAATCAGATAACGAATATGTTTTTACATTAATTTAAAACAGTCGACCGCTCTTTATACTAAGTCATGATTTGTCATTATACAAGTACATGTAGCATTTACCAACTTTCCCTGAATTATGATTTTGCTACGCTTTTATAACTTTCTCTTTTATATTTAATTATTTTACGGTTAATTTTGTATGATTATATAAATGGGGACACATAATGTAATGTTTGACATGAACAATAACTTATATAAATCAATCATGTTAAGGGGAGATAAATATTTTGAAACTTTTTAAGGCCGGTTAAATATATAACTGTGTTTGTGTTACAGTGCCCCGATTCCGGAGCTATACAGAGTTATTGTTCTGGCGAAAGTAACCGAGCAAAACGTGCCGCCGAGGAAGCTTGTTCGTTCATGCGTTCATCTGTTTTCCGAGATTGTCATCAATTGGTAAGCCTTCATGAAAGATAATTATGTCAATAGTTCCAAAAAATATGACAATAGTTACCTCCCCTGTTTTTCCGCACTACATTTGTACACTAAAATGAAATAATTGGTAATTTTACAAAATCCTTATGCCATCGATAAACTTACTGTGTTATATTTTTCCATTAAATACTCATTGCCATATATATGAATATTTTTGCTACTTTAGCACAGTTGGTAATTGGTATAATTGAATGGATGGGTATTTTGTACGGAAGTCAAAATACTTTTTTGCTTACTTTTTGCTACGTTTACGACACATTGATGCACGTTCAGCGCTATTTTCAAAAGTTGTTATTCAACATACTCTAAATCCATTAATAAAGCACTATTCAACACATGTCTGACTTTTCTAAAGAATTAAAAGGTATAAATTTCTGAGGCACAATGTGCTTTTAAATGTTGCAATTTCAGTAGACCAATGCGACGAAAATTTGGTACAAAGAATAACACAAATTATTTAGAAGTATAAAATATAGATATTATAAAACGTTTCCGTATGATACATATACAATTCTATCTACCGCTAAAATTTCACTACCATTAAAGCAGCACGCCTCCAGATTCATTCTAATTTTCATGAAAATTTTGAAAATGTATCTAAAAGTAGTTTTTAGTGAAATAACCAAAATCAAGCAATTTACACATTATCAATGGCACTTACAACCCACGTAAATTGCTAAAAAGAGGACAAAATATGCGAAAATAGCCATTACTGTGTTAGTATTGCAGTAGGAATATAGTTATAAATACTGAAAAAATAGTCATAAATCGCACATGACATGTAGATTATTACTTGAATCTTGAATATTTTTTACTTTTCCTAAAATCTTAGTACATTTTTCTCAAGTTTGATTTTATTGAAATATTTTACATCTGGAGGCATGCAGCTTTAACGTAACGTTATATAACGTATGTTTCAGATTGACGTTAACGTCTGGTTTAGTATGTGTATGAACTATTTCTGTGGTGCCGAGTCAGACGAGGACCGCGAGGCTGTGAAATGTTTCTATACCGAGGCTTATGCCCGCGAGTGCTCGTCCCAAGGTGTCGTCGTACAGTGGAGGTCCATTTCTATGTGCCGTAAGTCTTTATATACGTGATAATAAGAATAAAATGTTAAAAATTTTGATAAAAAGTGATCCCTCGGAAGCATAATTCACAACAAAATTACATGAAAATTGCAAAACTGCCGACTAGGTTTGATTGAGTCTGTACATGTCGGATAATGAAAAGGTGCCACCTCCCTCACGCTTGAGTGGTCCTTATGTTATCGCTGAAATAGTTTTTTTATGTTATACAATAGATACAAAATAATATCAGAAACTGTTATTTAGCATACTTTAGATTACTCTTGACACTGTTTTAGCACATGCTTTCCCATTTCTAAATTGTACTCATATTAATTTTATTCCATCCATTAAAGATCAAAATAATATTTATTCTTATTCTTGTTAACGTCATTCACACAAAATAAAAATTCTAGCTATTTCTTACTGATTTTTTTTATATTTAAATATCAAACCATTCTACTTCTTTACCAACAGCCAAGGAATGCCCCATCGGACTTGTGTATTCAGACTGTACTTCCGCGTGCCCACGCACGTGTCAAAGTATTCACAACGTGATGCCGGACTCGTGCACGGCCGAATGTGTTTCCGGTTGTGAATGTCCGCCTGGAAGATTCTATCAAGATGGTGTATGCGTTGAGCCGACAGCCTGCCAGTGCGAATACAACCACAATAAGTTCAATAACACAGACGAGATTCAAATTGGATGCAATAAATGGTATGACCCTTTAAAGTAGCACACTTACAGATTTATGCTAATTTTCATGAAAATTTTGAAAATATATATTGAAAATTAATATATTATGAATTGAACCCAAAAAGCATTTTACACGTTACAAAGGGCACTTACAAATCAATGTGAATTCTCTCCTCCGATTTTTTTTATAATACAAAAAAAGTCAAACTATGCAAAAATAGCTCTAATTGCGTTAGTCACGCAGTAGAAATATCGTAATAATTCTAGCAAAAATCAGTCATGAATCACACATAACATCTAAATTATTACTTGAATCTTTGCTTAAAATTTTTGTACATTTATTTCATGTTAGATTTTCTATAAATAGTTCTGCTCATCTGTAAGCATGCAGCTTTAAGTATAAGTACATGTAATATATTTGAACATAAAGATAAGATAAGATAAGATAAGAAATTGGTTTATTATAGTCACATTGTACAATTACAATTTATTTTCAACAATTTATACATACAATATAGGTACCCGGCCCAGTGGGCCTATAAGTGACTTTAACATTAATTCAAAATGAGCCGCGTCAAGACAAAACCAACATAATGGGTTTGCGACCAGCATGGATCCAGACCAGCCTGCGCATCCGCGCAGTCTGATCAGGATCCATGCTGTTCGCTTACAGACCCTATAACAAATAGAGAAACTGATAGCGAACAGGATGGATCCTGATCAGACTGCGCGGATGCGCAGGCTGGTCTGGATCCATGCTGGTCGCAAACGCACTATGTTGGTTTTGTCGTGACGCGGCTCAAATATATAAGACATTGGTTAATGTCCATTTATTTGAATATAGTAAACTATATATGTCTGATGAATAACTTCAAAATAATTTCCTTTTAAAGAAAAAGAAAATTACAGCTGAAAGTAAAATAGCATGTTTACTATCAAACATTATTCAACTTTACTGCTAAATTAGCTATTTTGGGTGACCATCACTTGTAAAAATATCAATTTTGTTATCTCGTTATCATGGCCATAAAAGGAAAGTTTGAACGAAGTTTGATGTATTGATCATATTACTTAATTTGTTTACAGTACATGTGATATGGGCAAATGGAGATGCACGGAGGATAAATGTAGTTCCACGTGTAATTACTACGCAATGTCGCACGTGAAAACGTTCGACGGACTTGAATATGATTTTGAAGCTGCCCCATGTGCTTACGATCTTGTCGAGGTTAGAATATTAAAAAAAAACTAGATTCTAAATTTCTTTTATCAGACACAGATGCCGCTTCAAGCCGTTTAACATACATGTATTTGTCATATAATTGAAATGAAAACAAACAGAAACAGTTAAAATATTGAAATGGACAATCTTATGTATAATCGAAGTTAAAACGATTTGCTCATTAGAGGACAAAACTTTAGAGTTGAAATGTTCAATTCTTAGACGCGACACGTGTTTTACCACGTGAATAAATGGTTGAAGACAATTTATTCAATGTTAAGTTTTTTATTTCTTTGTGATTCAAACACGAATGTGGTGAATTTGTAGCCATGAATATGACCACATTCAGCGGCCAACGAACACTTAAGCATTATAATAACATAAAATTGTGTACGAGCAAATCATAACCGACGAATATTTTATTAATAATTTAATTATTTAATTATAATAATATTTCCTCATTAAAAAAGAAATTTGAATGTTAAAATAGTTAAATATAATGAAAAAAATTACGGCAATCAAAATTATGTTCAATTACTTACAGCCTTCACCAGAGGCCGTTGCCAATGATCCACGTGCTGATCTTCTTATCCGTGCATTGCACGAGGACTGCGGTGAAAATGTCAACAACAGGAACTGCATTGGGGGTGTGAGAATCGAGACACAGGGGGAAAAAGTAATCATCCAAGGGGATATTGTAAAAATCAACGGACAGGATTATTCGTCCCTTATTAAAGAACAACCTTTCCAATCCAGACACCTGTACGTAAAACAAGCTACCTCATTGTTCAAGATGGTACGAGGTTTCGGATTCCGTGTTCTATATGGCTATAGACGAATATTTATCAGCGTAGATCCATTTTATGACAACAAGGTAAATATCAGTCTGTCTGTTTGTGTGTAATTTGAATTTCGTCCGTCCGTCCGCCTTTAAAACAAGACTATTTTGCACTATATCTGTTAATAAACGTGACAAACGGATTACCCCAAATGACAGTTTGTGCTATTTTACCATTGCATGTATATATTTTTGAAACCTTTTTTGTGACTACTTGTTTTTCATACATGTGTTGCTCTCTGGTCGTATCAGTATATTCACATGTCACCGGAAGGCCAAGGGTATTTTATCCCTTGGAGAAAAAATATATAACTTTATTATTATTATTGTTACATGTATTATTATTAATATTATTATCATTATTACTTAGATTCAAGGTATTTGCGGTAAGTTTAACTACATCACCAATGATGACTGGCTCGCACCAAACGGTATTACAGAGAACAGAGCTGGTGCCTTTGTGGCCCACTACATGAACCCACAAAACTGTGCCAGACAGGAGGACCGACCAGCCACCCTTCAGTGCTCCAACATAAAGGTATTTGTAATATCGAAATCCTTGACCTATATATATATATAACTTATTTTTAAATAAAAAAGTCAGTTATCCCTATTTCAGTAACGTATTCTAAGTTCGTCATGCACGGTATTTCTTCATACACATTCAAGTTCTCGTTATTAAACCTTTTTTCTAATACACATTCAATTTCTAAGACTATGTATCATTTTGTTACCATATAAGAATCAAGGCTAGTTTAATACCAGTAATAAATATGTGTGGTATTTATGCCAAATGTTTGTGTTTCAATAAATGCATCTGCACCGATGTCTACCTAGAAGTGGAGAGAATTACAATAAGCTTTGAGCTTCCAGTTTAATCCACTTTTTCATGATTTTGTATACTAGTAAATTTTGTGTTTGATGTGTAGTATTGTAACTTCATAAAAATAATTATGATTGAACCAAATGTTTCTGGTTTTCAGCTTAAATATGCCAAGGAAGTTTGCGAACCTGTGCGAGACACATCGAACCTGTGGAGGAAGTGTCGTGATCTTGTAGACTTCAACGCTTACTATCAACAGTGTCTTAGCGACATGTGCTCCGTGAGCTCCCTTGACGTCAGCGAGCCCGCTTGCATCATTATGTCAGTGGTAGCTCGTGAATGTGCTCTCCAAGGAGCAGTTGTCAACGACTGGAGTAATGACGCCAGCGTGAAAGGACAATGCGGTTAGTTGTACATTTTACTCATACGAGATATACTTTGTATTTATCTAGAGCTAGTTAAACGCTCTATTTGTCACAACTTTAAAATACCCCTTTATTGCGCTCATGTTCCTTTTGTAGATCTACAGTTCTTAATAGTTTAACATCAATAATAAAACATTTGAAAATGGTACGTCATTATGGTTGAAGCACAGCATAGTTAAAATGAACGCTGCATACTTACAAAAGGTTACCCATTAGCTTGTATTACATTAGAGGTTTTTCGTTATAGAAATATCAGAATATGACCCTGAAATTTCCTCGAGGCATGGTCGTTTTTTTGTTGACCGGCGATTTATTCTTTCTCTACATAAAGTGAAAAAATCCTTCGTGAAAAACACCATTTTCTGTTGCAAACTTCCAATGCCATTTGTGTGAATGCTCTACCGATTATGAATTGTAGTAGTTCGGAGGTTCTTCTTTATAGATCAGTTTATAACTATTATACATGTATTATTATCTGGAAATTTCAGGAGGCCTTACGAAGTGTCCATCGGCAGGAGGTACCCAGTACCGGGAATGCTGCTCAGCTTGCAGAGGTCATTGTCGGGACATGGAGATTGCCGATAACACGTGTCAAGAAGAATGCATACCCGGATGTATGTGTCCCGTTGGACAAGTTATGGATGATAACGGTGATTGCGTGAAATTAGCACAGTGTACTTGTTACGATAAGTACGCTACGGAAGGGGATAAAATCCGTGATGCCGGAGATGTCGTGGAGAGGAATTGTCATAGATGGTACGTTTATTTTTATTGGCATATTCTTATAAAATCAGTTTGCTATATCTGGTTTCTCTCTATGTTTTTCTTGTAAATTACTTAAAACTTTAAAGGACCTTCTTACGTTTACTCTACTTCCGTCTACATCTGTAATATTTAAGTACATGTAAGCCTTGGTGAAGAACTTCGGATAACAACTGCTTGATGGTTTGTTTTCGGATGTAACAATGAGCCAAACATCTATGATATGAACGCCGACGGATGGTGGAGCAAAGTGTAATAAACGTTTGCGCTGTCGTCCGGCGGGTATCATCTCATTGATCAACCGCGCATGCGTGAAGAATTCGGAAAGGCAACGCATTGTATTCCAGAAATGAAACGCTTTCAACGGAGAGATGATGGTACAGTGGCATTTCATATGCAAGAATAACTTCTTTTGTAAACTTGTAATGAAGAAAACGAAATTCAACAAACTATTCTAAAATTATGTAAGGCACGTACATAGTTGGCTTTGGGAAAGAAATGTCCGATAAGTAAAATTGTCTCTGTAACTAATCATGCAGACGAGAGGAGGAGAGTGAAGTAACAAGAAATGGAGTATGGAAACATATGTTACGTTTGTATGCATTATGATCCGTAAACCTTTCGAAGAGCAGCTTCGATTGAGGACAGTTCCGATTAAGGGCAGATTACCAATTCCTCTAATTGTGCAAGAATAACCGACGTCTATGGTTGAGCATATACGCAGACGAGCAAGACCTTGAAAGAGCAGTGGAACATAATGCTAATGATAGCGGTAGGGTGCAGAGGACACGGCTACATCTTATTATTGTGCAGGAATAATCGCCGCTGTATGGTTTCGCAAAGTGGATATGAAATTTGCGCTGTCGTCCGGCGGTCATTATTACTGTATTTATCCGACTGAAGAAAAGGCAGATCGATATGGAAACAGAATCTGTGATGGATACCCAGCAGGTATAATATAAACAGATGGATGTCGACAAACTTTACATGAAGGAAGACAAACCACAACTCCACAAGCATTACGATGGCTGCCGAATGTGGTTGCAAAGTGACATTTACGTTTGCGCTGTCGTTCGGCAGGTATCGTTGTGTTTGAATTCGCCTATGACAAGCTTGAATACGGATGTTGCAATGAATTCCATCGTGTTTGAACTATTATTTATGGAGATGGCTTTAGCAACCTTAGAATCGTGTGTTGGACTTTTCCCTTGACAATGGTCTTCATTTAGTGATATCTCGACACAGGCAAATGCTGAAGCTATGCAATATTTATTTTTTGGAATCTGATCATAATGTACATCCTATAATGGATATCTAAGCCGGTCTATTAGCTCGCTATTTTGTATACTCATAATAAATTTTGTCACTTATGTCACGTCTATTGGATTTCTAATAATAGTTCGCATTGTATTTTACAGCACATGTGCAAATGGTGCGTGGGAATGCTCGGCTATACAGGAATGTTACACAGATGTCTCGTGCCCACGTAATCAAATCTACTTGGAAGACAGTAAAGTCTGTCAGACTACGTGCGAGAATAACGGAATGGACTGTGGTAGAGACTATATATTTAGCGGCTGTGGTTGCCCTAAAAACAAGACAATGTCTCCTGATGTACGTAAAATTGTTTATTTACTTCATTTTTTAAAAAGCGCCATTACGACTGTAGTTGACGTCGATCTAATTAATAAGTAATTGCATAGTTTATTTTCAAATGTTATAAGACAGTTAATTTCAACGTGAAAATCTTGCAATGCGCAGTTTTCGTGAGGCTATGCGAAAGTAAAAATTCACCACATCAGTATCTCAATTATCTATATGTCTTTGTTTGATAAGTTTTAATAATGTAATTTAATAATTTCAGTAATTTATTGTTACAATTTTGTTTACTCAACAGGGAAGCTGTATTGACCCCGACAATTGTCCATGCCAGTACGGTAATGAATGGTACAAAGTCGGCAAAATAGTCAAGTCTGGTTGCAAGGAACTGTAAGCATATAACCTACATATTATGTCTTTAACGGTTATAATTGTAGATCAACGCGCAGGCAACAATAACGACAACTCCTACATTCTCTCTTTTTAAATTGAATTCTAGTTACCTCCCGTGAGTTTCGTCTGCAATTCCTTGGAGGGACACATAATGCAGTTACGTAATGTACTGACTCCCAACGCTAAATTACAGACTTTTAACATTGAAGCATTTTAGATATTCATTTAACATTAGTTTCAACTGATAAATAGTTCAACACAGCGATACTAAAGCAGAACTGTAAATAACAGTGATAATAAAAGTAAAATATCATGCTTACATTTTTTTTTCTATCCACAGACGTTGTGAAGGACAAAAATGGGTGGTAGTCAAGGATGAAGATTGTCCAGGTAAATCATAATAAATCAATCATATCTGCCCTTATTGGCGGCGAATGATTGCTGTCAAAGTTGAATAGCATTTGAATGATTACATATAGTTGGTGAATAAAATTCGGAAAGCATAAAAAATGTGCAAATAATTAATAGACACGGTCATACTGGATATCAAAATTCACGCATTAAGCGGTGAACTCTTCTATTCATATAAAAAGAAGAGCGGTTATTGTTCAGAATTTCTTTGCTTTAGGCAAAGTATACTTAGCTAGATAAGACAATACATGTACAAAAGTTATCGACATATGCAAATAAATTTGATAGGACATGAATAAAATAATGCTCAAATAGATTTGAGAGTTTACTCTTTTTAATTACAGGAACATGTTGGGCAGCTGGAGACCCTCATTTGTCGACGTTCGACGGCAAACATTACTCCTTCCAGGGCGCATGCTCCTACGTACTGGTGAGGGACAAAACTTCCGGTGGAGAGTTCGAAATCACGGTAGAAAACGTCCCATGTGGATCAACTGGTAAGAAACTACCAATGTAATGCTATTACCTTATTAAAGCGGCATTTAGCTTTTCTAAAAGTTGAATATGTTAATTTTAGATAAATCGTTTCATATAATTGTCAAAACAAAAGAATTAAGATGGAAAAATGAAATTTGCCGTAGATAAATACATGTACATAAAGGAAACCCCTTGATACCTCTAGTTTTACCGGTCCGCTCTCTTTATGTAGATTAATAAAGCGGATGTTTAGGCCTGTCATATTAACAAAATTAATGTATGTTTCTTTCCTTCCATCAGGCGTGACATGCACTAAGAGTGTCAGCGTTCGTATTTTTGGCGTCACGGTTAAAATGATGAGAGGGATGCCGCCGAGAATTGATGACTTTACTGTGACCAATGGAAATTACAAGGCCAAGGGAATGACCATCAGCAGGTCAGGAGTGTGGGTCATTCTTTACTCCTCAAAACTCCAGCTTACTGTCATGTACGACGAAGGTAAGTTTGAATGTGTTTACTTACTGTCTAGTACATATATAAAATCAATCTCCTACGCAGTGATCTCCCCTTACAAGATTAGATACTGGCCGTAGCGTAACCGGTGCGCGGAGTTTGATATAAAATATAACAAGGACGGTCATTTTATGTACTAGGTTATTTCTTCTTGCGTGTCCAAACCAGGAATGTTATAATGTACATGTACATTCGTTCATTACTGAAATATGATAATTATAATGATGAATGATGATAACAGTGATGATGTTTATGATGCTTAGATTAATATGAGTATTATGGATACATACAGTTAAACCAGTGAACAAAGACCACCTGAAGGATAGACCAAATTTGACCTTTACAGACAAGTGGTCTTTATATGGAGGTTATAGTGTGTTATTTAATCAATGAAAGGTTGTTGAACAGTGGCTTTTATTTACAGGACGGCCTGTATTTGGAGGTGTCTTTAACAAAGGTTTAACTGCATTTGAGATTAAATAAGGTTTTACTATATAAAACATTGATATGCCCATAGTTGCCACTCTTACGTTGTCTTTTTAGACACTAGCTACTTTTTGTCCCATCAAAAAAATATAGAAAAATAAAAATGGAAAAAAGTACTACCTAGCTATAGCACAGATTATCGGTTGATAAATAAATTTTACACTTAATTTGTCGGCCAACAGAAGGGTTTTATAACTGCTTGGTAATTTCTTTCGTCAAGGTACACGTATTATGGTGCATTTGAACGCCAGATGGAGGTCTAAAGTTGAAGGTCTATGCGGAAACTTTGACGGACGCTCAAATAATGACTGCGGAAATAATATTGTGGATTTCGGAAATGGCTGGAAAACGAGCTCCCGATGCGCGGATGCTCCTCATCCGTCCCCGAAACAACTCGAACCATGCTTTGTAAGCAAATCGTTTTAGCTGGTTATTTAACATCATTCGGTTTATTATTATTATTATTATTATTGAAATTATGCATTATTTTAATTCCAGTACTTTATCATTTATATTACTACCAACATAATGTCTGTAATATAATATTGTCTGAAAATTGGGAGACATTAATTTAATAACAAATTCGTGAATTATTGATTATGATACAAGATTTTTTGAGTACGACTTTATATCACCTAAGCCATGGAAGGTATTTTTGTTGAACTTTACAGACGTCTTTTGGTTTATTTTAAACGTCAATATCCAAGATCCATCGCTTGGATTTGTTTTCCGACTGAAATATTTGTGAATTTTAGAGATTCCCGTTTTTTTCTGTTAATAAAAACTCTTTGTGAAGATCTCTCGTCCACAACCTAAGCCTTTATTTGAAATTATGAGATAAAATTCATTAATCTGTATCTCATTTGTCAAAACAAAAATGGATTTATATGAAATATTTTTGTGTTTTAGAACGTGGAACACAGAGAGGCCTGGGCGGAGCAATCGTGCGCTCTCATTATAGAAGGTGACATGTTTAGCTCGTGCCGAGACTCGATGCCGGACTGGATGGAAGATTTCTACTATCAGGATTGTCTGTTTGACGCTTGCAGGTATAAATAATATTATATCATTTTGTTCCAAGTGTGAAACCGACCCACCGACCGACCGACCGACCGACCGACCGACCAACCAACCAACCAAATAAACATAACAAGAACCAGAGAACTGAACTTACTTGTAGTTTCAAACTTATTTCTTTGCATAAATGTAAATAACATACCGTATACATGTATCAGGTTTTTTTTTCACGAGTATCTAATTTTCGCTATATTTGCGTGCAATGAATATCGCGAAAAATAAAAATGATTCGCTAAATTTTGCTTGAATTTAATACGGGGACTTTGCCTGATATACAGTATAAAAATCAACATGGCAGACACACAATCCTTGTAGCACAAGCGTATACGAGTATGTGCATATATCTTTAAAGAGTTGAGCCTTACAGTGTAGCAATATTTTTGCGGGGCCTTACCTAAAGTCGGAGAAAGAGAGATTTCAAGGTTTTTTAAAACATCACCAAAGAAAAACCCAAAACTGACAAAAGAGTGTGTAATTGAATGTTCAGGAGTGGTTCGGTTCATTCAACGATAAATAATGTGTCACTTGGAAAACCAGTTGAGATATTGTTGCAACCATTTCTTTTCACATCATCTACACTTAATTTAGCAAAATCACATGAATTATTCGAAAATTTATCGTAATGTAATATTTGTTTTTTTTTGTTGGTTTTTATTGTGAAAATTCATTATATTTAATTGACACCATGTTATACTTTCAGATGTGATATGGGTGGTGACTGCGAGTGTTTGTGTACAGCCCTTGCCAACTTTGCTGAAAAATGTAACGAACTCGGCGCTCCCGTCAGATGGCGTTCCCAAAGGCTCTGTCGTAAGTTCGAATCTCTCAGTAACAAAAATATGCCCGGCAGTTAAGTAAATAATTGAATAAATCGTTTTCCTTCTCTAAACAAAAGAACTTTTAATCTAGTTTCCAAATCCATTCATGTTTTATTGTGAAAGGGTGATTTTATGTAAAAGTATACAAAAAACGTTATAAAATTATATACACTGCGCACGAGAAATTATTTTTAGAGTTTATGTTAATGAGATGTCTAATCTATTTATAGCAATGCAGTGTGACAATGGCATGGTGTACATAGCCTGCGGACCGGCCTGCCCACAAACCTGTCAGAATATAGGTGACGAGCCCGAACCATTCTGCGACAACGTCCCATGTGTTGAAGGGTGCTTTTGCCCAGACGGTTTCGTCCAAAATGGTAAATACTACGCTAATGTTACTTTAATGTTATGCTAAGCTTCTATTTTAAAATTTATTTCTTTATTCTACTTACGTTTTTTATACATGATGGACACTGTAAAGCTAAAGAAGGAAAAAAGTCGGAACTTCGAGAAGAACGAAAGTGAGTTAACGATAGTTGACTTATGTTAATCTTGTTCTTAAAACAAACAAACAAACAAACAAACAAACAAACAAACATTAACACTGAGCAAAACAACATGTTAAAAAATTGATAACAAAACGAAAGAATAACCTTCGTTAAGAGTTGAACTACTAAATAAATACAGGAATGTAGGAACATATAAGGCTGTTTTATATATTTCTTTTTTTTTATTTCTGTTTCAGAAAGAAAAGTATTTATTATATATAGTTGAAAAGAATTAGCTACATTTCGTTAAATTAACCAAAAGATGTTTAATTATTTTATATAGTTGAAACCAATTAACTACAATTCGTAAAATTAACCATAGAAACGTAAGTAATATATATAGTTGAAACGAAGTAACCACATTTGGTAAAGTTAACCATCGTAAACTAATTTCAGGAGACAGATGTGTGCCGGCTGACGAATGCCCATGTATCAAGGATGGCACTAAATACCCACCTGGTACCTCTATAATGAGGACCTGCATGAATTGGTAAGTTACCTACCAGAGTTGCTTACTATGTTCGAATACCACATTATCACCAATTAAACGTTACCCTGCTTGAACCGAAGTGATTAACCTTTCCAAAAGGTCTAGGTCCAGTGCAGCCTGTACTATTGGGCATTCTTACCAGTGTGGTCAGCCAGCTCTATCATGCAGTCTGACAAATATCCATACTGTTGTCTGACCAACTTCAAATTTTCATCTTGATACCCCCATTGAAAATATAATAATGAACAATTCCTAAAATGGAAGCTGGGCAAGTTCATTCAAGACATTCAGCATGTTTATTGACGTCTGAGACATCTATTTTTAGAACTTGATGTATATTTCACATTTCTGTTTATAGTACAAGATGTATATTCGTGAATAAAAATCGTCATAAGGTGAACAATACGGTTCCCTGGAATTTATTTTTTTGCAATTTTTCATGGATGAGACTTATACTTCATATAACTTTTGTTTTCATTTAGCACTTGCATTAAGGGCAAGTTTGAATGTTCGGGATCCAACTGCACGGGAATCTGTGCCGATGGTGAGTTCGTTTGTGAAAATGGAGACTGTGTCAAATCTGAATATGTTTGCGACGGATACTCAGATTGCCAAGATGGAAGCGATGAAGTGAACTGTGAAGGTAAGATATATTAGTCATAACCTTTTTTTCATTTTACATAATTTTATTATTCAAAGTATACAGTCGATAGGTATAAAGTTTTGAAATTGTGAAGGAAGCATAATGCCCCTTTTTATATTTAAACACATATTTATCAAAAATAACAAGGTTTCATATAATGATATGCAAAATATGTTCCATATAGGTAGAAATCAAATTTATAAAAACGTGTCACCCATTCAAGCATCGCTGCAAGAATATCCTGCAGTTTTGTAGCTGTTTCCAAACAATTTTCTACCGAGCACACACAGTCGTTGTTCATAAGCATAGCAAAAGTTCACAGGCACCTAACGTTACCTTGTAACGTAGTAAGTTAAAAGGAACTCCACTGTGGTACAGATGCCTGGAAACATAAAATTTGAATTTATTACAAAGATTATGAGGGGCTTTCAAAACGGAAAAAAATGCAAAAGATAATTAAGAAATATACACAGAAATAATAAAATTCGTAGTTCTGTGCTATTTATAGCCTCATTTGAGTGAAAAACGTTGCAACGCGTTTCAGTTTTTGATCTTTTTCCACAATTAGAATAATCATTTTGGAAAAAAAACAGAGTGAGCAAATGATCTGAAATTTTGCACACACATTAATGGCCGAGAAACTTCATCGAATGGAACATTAATCTCGGACAATTATTTTCAGACCCGTGATATTAAAAAAAACTTAGTGGAGTCCCTTTAACTTATACAATAAATCATTGACCTGTCTCTTTTCAGAGATCGAATGTGGGGACGATTATTTCCAGTGTGGAAATGGACGTTGTGTACCAGAGGATGTACGTTGTGACGGCTTTTTTGACTGTGTTGACATGTCAGACGAGGCTGGATGTGGTAAGGCCATACTTTCAGAGCACATATACAAAGCTTATATCGCCCTCTATCTAAGGAGCCGAATTTCTAGGCTTTAGGCCAGAGCTCGCATTATTTCTCATTGTGTACACTTACGTCTTATTCAGATGTTTATTTGTTATTAATAGATTATTTGCAGATAACCGCAATAATTATATCAAATATAACAACAGGTCTAATTGTTTCATTTGCTTATGTTTCGTCATATTTATATTGTAATAAACCCCTACCCTGCTCAATATCTAAAACGGACTTTTCCATCTTTTAATATGGACAAAATTATTCATAATTTTTAGAGAACATTTCAAAATTAATATTGACTGAAAAGCGACCAGCGCAGACACTGACCATTTGGCACGTGTGTGCCGGTTATTTTGGTATGCATTGGTTGCATGGGTAGATTGGCAGTCGCCATAAGTTCTAAGGTTCATAAGGGTCCATCCGCTTTCAGGCACTGAGAGTACGGACCCCGGATATGTCACTAATCATTTCCTAAACATGTACATGAGCTGTTAATGGACCATTACTTTGAAAGGGCAAATAATATTTTTGGAAAATGCCAGTAGGCTAAGAGTCTTAAACAATTCTAGTCCGGGGAATGAAATTTTTTAATTATCAAGTTTTCTTTGCCTGTTGTTTTAGAGCCAACATGTGATGAGCACGAGTTTACGTGCGACTCCGGATTGTGTATACCACTCAACTTTAAATGCGACGGTGAACCAGACTGTGGGCCAATGGACAACTCGGATGAAAAGAAATGTCCAAGTATGTTTTTTTTTAAATATTCATAATCAAACTGGCAAATGATTCTTTCAGAGTTATTGAAATATAACGAACACGTTGACATTTCGTTTTGATTGATAAAATTATTATGAAATTCTCCATGACTTTGCTGTATGTCATTTTAACTTGAAACGATTTTTTATAGTTAATCTAAAAGAATGTAAAAGAAAAGAAATATAAAGAAAGAATGATTAAGTATTTGTAAACGTATGGTATGGATTAGTATTTTGCTATTTTCCGGTTAACAAAATTTATATCTAACTTTTAATCTACCAAGTATAAACAATTTTTAGCTATTGTTTTGCTTATTTCACTCAAATATTCAATGTGGAGAAGCGGACGAGCAGTCATGATGTGCCTGGCCTGCAGCCAGTGGATCATGGGTTCAAACCATGTGATCCCGGACATGTTTGTTCATGGGATTCCAGTACTAATTATGTCCAGAAAACGAACTCGATATTTGTTGTAATAAACTTTTCTTCATCACAAATACTGTAATATACAAATATATTTTAACTTCCATTGATTTAGTAAAACACATTCAATTTCGCTGATTACAGTTGTTACGGAGTGCTCTGAGGTTCGAACCTTCCGCTGTGAGAACGGTGCCTGTGTACCTTACACATTGAGGTGTGACCGACATGATGATTGTGGAGACGGTAGTGACGAAGTAGGCTGCAGTAAGTACATGTTTAGTTTATACCTTACCTTTCTTTTGGCAGCTAGATAAAGGTTCAAAATACATGTATATGTACTGTTTATGGACCTTGAACTTGATCTGAAAAAGAAGATGATAAAAAAACATTATTTTGATAGGACAAATACTTTTCTTGATTTTATTCAAAGTGAAATCTATTTCTGGTTCCACAGAGGTTCATACAATCTTTTTCTATTTAAAAAATCACAGTTTAGAACGCGTAACCGTTACTTAACATTCTTTTTATTCACAATCATAATTGTGATTTCTAAACGCGCTGAATGTGAAGCATGTTGTTCCATCGGTATAAAAAAAGTAACGAAAAGTAATTTTGCTTAATAAAATAAATTACATTGGACAACTAGAAAGTGAAAAATCCATGATTCGGTTATAGTATTCTCACGTACGGAATTTTATGTATGGAAGCGTTTTCCAGAATTGTCTACAGTTTATTATCTTTATAATTTACACTAGATTGCACGTGCGATGGACGCGGTGTATTCACGTGCGGAAGTTGTGAATGTTTGGAGGGATATCACCAGTGTGACGGTGTGTTTGATTGTGCCGACGGATCAGATGAACAAGGATGCAGTGCGTATATTCAATTAACATTAGAAGTTTATGTACAAGAGCGGCCCTTTTTAAAGCAAATCATAATGCATTTTACGTATCTGGAGCAATCGGAGTTCCTATAGATTCTGTTATTTTTATGTGTAGAGAAAATGGCGTCTAAAATATGTTAGAAGGGTAAAAAAACACAAAAAACTGTCTCTTGTTAAACACATTTGCAGCCATGTCATCAAACTTTTTGTAATACCAAGTAAATCACGAAAATACGAAGCTTTACGGTAACGCAAGCATATTGTTTTATATCAGTAAGGGTTAGACATGTTTTGCACCGGAAGTAACTGAGCTACACTCTTCATAGACGGAGGTAGAAAGAAGGATTGGAGGTAGAAAAATGTAAAATCCAAGACGAATGGATCCAATAAAAATGAATTGTTATTTTATTTTCAAGATATGGAAGAGTCAAATTTGCATTAAATTATATTCTGAAATAGCCTCAATCATTTCCGGTAGGAAGACATTTATTTTTGGATATTAAATTTTTTTCAAGGGTGGTTGGTTCGAATCTATGATATCTGATATCGCAAATTTAGATTAGATATAACTTTATAACTTACACATTGTTATATTTGTTTTGCCTTGTCACAGAATGTGGACGTGGTCAGTTCACATGTGATAACGGTCTATGTGTTGACAACAACAAGCGATGTGATGGTGCAGCAGACTGCAAAGACGGAAGTGACGAATCCGGATGTGGAATTGAAACCACGCCTACTCGTACGTATAATGTTCAGTTCATCGATTTCCGGTCTTAGATTTTACAGTTGATTTTCAAATATATATCACAAAAAACCTACATCATCATGACCCGAAGTCTTTTAAAAATAATAATGAAGTTCTTAAAATTAGGTAAAATAATATATTATATTATATTATTGTCTCCCTCAACATGACAATGCAAAAACTTCAAATTCGTATCAGTATAAGTCTATAACAAAAATACTATTAAATTTCAAATTATTGCATTGGTATGCTTCCCTCATGGACTGAAAACACAATTGTTATATAATAATGCAGCTGTCACAACATCAAGTTCCGTCACCACGCCCTGCAATTACATCAGTTGCTTGACCACACCCTACGCTATACACAAGAAGGATATCTTTGTCAGTGACCCTGATGCAAGGCCAAAAAAGGAAAATATAAGACCTGGCGGCGATCCGCTCAAATCCTACCAAGATGTTCTTAAGGTATGTTTATCACTTATAATGAGTTTGGTTTAATAATTAAATTATAATTATACTGATTAATCAAATCTGATAAGTATTAACTCATTAATTAATTAAATTATCAGAAATATTGTTGAACTTAATGAAAAATGTTAGGTAAGAAAAAGAACAAAAAGAATAAAAACAACAGAAACTCACGACGAAGAACAAGAACACCTCCAACAAAAATAAAACAACAACAAACCAAATCAACAATAACAACAGAACAAAATCAACACAAAAGACCTACACCATCAAAATTAACAGCAGATCGAAAAGTCTTTATAAAGACTGCATGGGCTATCGATAAATGTCCAGTCAGCAGAAGCCAGATATTTTTTCTAGAATGACACTTGCACAGGTTCCCACAGATCAAACACACAAAATATACGGGTATGCTCTAGTGCTCATTTATATAACGGTACATATTACAAAAGTTGTTGAATATTTCAGATTGTTATAGACTTTCCTCAGAAGGATACGCCAACAGATTCTGTATGGCTCCCTACCTCAGACAATGTCGCTGCATTTACTGTTTCCATAAAGATCGGAAACAAAATTATCGACATCCATGATGGAGCTGTAAGTGAATATTTACATCATTTCCTCGTTGATATATAAATCTCGTCTTTCATTTTCCCACAAATGAAGCTTGTGTTTTGGCTTAAAATACATATTTTGATTATTGTCGACTACTTTGTTTTCCCTTTGTGTTCTAGAATTGTAATTTTACATTTGTTTGTCACGTTGTTACATTCTTGAAAGAATTGTACTAAATATGATATGGGCGTGTCCTTGGCCGAGTTGTAATGATTATTGACTTTGAACTACTGGTCCATTAGCGCTATGGGTTCGAGTCAGGGACAGGGACTTTGGATTCTTTCATGTGAGAAACATAATCAGCTAGCTTTTGGAATGTCTGTGAAAATACTCAGTTGTCCTGCCGTGCTTAAAATAATGCACCAAGGGCATCTGAAATATTTAGCCATCAACAAAGCTGAAAATTCGCCATATAACATTTTCAGTCTCGGTGAGACTTTAGACCTTATAAGACAAACCGTATAAACTGAATGTCTAAATAGATATATCTCTATACAGAAGGGAAAGTCCTACCGGTATTCCAGAGAGTTTTTTTTTCAATATTACTTGAATTAGCTTCCTTACATACCAGTTGAATATATTACAAAACAAACGAGGAGTTGTATGATTCATAGCAAGAGCTTTCTTGCCGGGAACATTCATTTATCTGTCACGGCGTTTTGCAAGGCGGCCTGATCATATTGAACATTTTGCGCATTCCGTGTGCTTATTTCAAATCAATACCGATTGGAGCAATATCAGATAATAACCATATTGTATAACCTAATGTATATAAATGTATACTTGTATCACAATACTCTTTCTACCGTGTACATTTATCTTTGTTGTTGTTCTGCATCTATAGTAGATCAAATGCAAAATATACATCTATTAAAGTCTAAGATAAACATTTTTTTTTTATATTTAAGGCCTTTGGTCCAGACGACACTGTTGACCTTTCTGATTATAGCGCTGACGAGATTATTGTAACCTTGACTTCTAAAATCAGGAAAACTCGTCCATACTATGTCGAGGTAGAGATATCGGCTTGTGTTGAAGGTAAAACCATGTGTAATCATTATTTCATACATAATTTATTACAGTGACAAAATTCATTTGAATCAAATCATTAATATTTTACTTCAGAGTTACTAAATATTAAATTGTCCTACGAAATAAAATGAACAAATTGCAAAATTATAGTTTATCAAGACTTAATTTCAGTGAAATGTATTTTTTCTACATTCATCTTAACTTAGGTTTGGGTTTATAACATAGAAGCACGGTTTCGTCGTATCGAATCTGTTCATGAAATACGTTGCAAAGTACAGCAATACCTGTCACACCCCAAGCCAGTATTTGTGTTTAAACTTGTCCAAAATTGGGTTAAAACAAGTCAAAAACTTGTTGAACACTTGTATTACTAAGAAATATAATGATATAAATAATCACAAACATTATTTGGTTATCTTTGTAGTTGAGCCAATATCAACAACTCCAAGCCTTACAACACCAACAGGTAATAACAAATTTTTATAAGGATATTGACATATAAACACAAGATTTAAATAACCATATTTCTTACGTATTCCAGCATTTAAATGACAACACTCTGTGTAATCTTTATTAGCTGACCGGTTTAAAGGTGTAAATTGTAAATAGGTGATTAAAATATACTTTTGCTGATCTCCATTTCATTGATCCAACTTTATTCGCATCATTGAAATTTATCCAATTTTAATATGTTATTAAATTATTTAGCTTGCACCGAAAGAATGTTATTTGGCGATTCACCATTTGTTCGTATTGACGCAACCTCATCGAAACCGGGTTCTAAACCGGAGGACGCGCTGTTCCAGCAACCAAACACATGCTGGGAAGCCGACGATGATGACGATGAACCGACATTGACTGTGACTATCCTTAGTGAAGGAAACGCTCTCGTGACTTTGATCGTAATGAAGGTTACAGGCGTTAGTATGGTTGAAGTCGAATATTTACCCAGCACATATTCCCCGGTATGTTGTTACTATTAGTTACTTTCACACTAATTTTTGTGTATATTAAGTTATGAATGACCTTAAAACATACACCACACGAGATTCATTTATGTACTTATCTTATAAGAATATCTTATCATTTGATCAAATCTTTTATTTTTGTTATTAGAGCACTTTTAAAAGCAAACAATATTTTCCATTTTTTCCAGCCCCTTCGTATTATTAGTGACCCATCCATTCCATCCCGTGTTGATTTCACAACCCCAGCCGGCAAACCTGCGCAGACAATCAAAATCAAAGTGATTCCAGCTGTTGACAGAACGCCACGTGTATGTGGCCTTTCTATCGCTGCTTGTTTCCAACCTTCAAGTAAGTCATCATTTATATCGGGTAACTGTCTTCATTTACCTTTTTTGACAGGATACGCTATATATATTATATTTGCATTATTATTATTATTTTATCAAAATCATTACCAAGCTAGTTTGATTCTATCTTTAAAAAAGTTTAGATTGTACAAAAGACTGTTTAAAATTTACATTGGCGAGTTGCGATTCTTTAGTCGGCTAGCCGTATTACTTCAACAGTTTTGACGGGTGTAGTTGCATCCAAATCAAGCACTATGATATACTTTCTAAAGCGATCAGTCTTAAGTTTAATACATTGGCTACATCTTGCTACCACAGACATTTCTGATTTGTCATGTAGAAGCTGTTAACAATATACTTTTTTTCATTTTAATTTCAGTATCTACTCTTACTACTCCCCCTATAATCAGCTCATCATCTACATCAACACCTTACTCTACTACTACCGAAGGTAAGTCATTGCATTTGTGCATCTTCATTTACGACAGTTTCTTCTACTACAGAAGTAGTACATGTAATTACGTCTTGAAGCTATGTACTTTTCAGTGTAGCACAAAAAGCCAGGAAATCAGTGCGTTTCATATTATTAGAACACACTTTTGTTTCAACTGTCATTTTAGCTACTGTTTATATTATCATCATTTTTAAGACAATAGTCCTTAGAATAAACATCTGAACATAATAAATAGATGAAGACAAAGATCAACAAGTGAACGCAGCGTTATTTGGAATGCAACTCTACATCTCAAACAAAATGTTAAGACACACAAGATAGTCGCCTACTAGAAGATAAAATATAATTGTCGCCTTGAGAAAGATCAAATAGAAACGACGCATAGTTGGAGACCAAATAGGAACGAGGAGGTCAATAGGATAGGTAATGATACATAATGTTAAACAGATAAGTAAATGATACCTCTGATACGTTTTTGTTACAGAAATATGTATGGAGGAGCTTGTATGGCGAGCCAAACTCGATTACAGTTCGGTTAAATCTTCATCCGGTGACGGTTCCTTCGATGATAGTCCTTGGACTCCGGCGTCTTCGGACTCAAACCCATCACTCACAGCCAAATTCAGCGCAGAGATGCTAGTCAAACAAATAACAGTCAAAGGCAAAAGAATGCAGTTTATGGTGGAATATAAACCTATGGATAAACCATGGGAAACGGAATATGATGACGATAATAGACCAATGGTAAATTTAATTTATAGAACGGTCTTAAAACCCTCCTATTATCTTTAAGGATTTCCATTACAGGCTTATACTTAAAGATAAAACAGAATTATCAATTGTACAAAATGATTGTTCGAATTGTAACAATTTAGTATCGGTAGCATTTAATGCAATTAACCTCAATGTTGGTGTATAAAGTGTACATATTAGATTTGTAACACTCATCGGTAACTTTACTCTACATTTCTTCTTACAGTAGCATGCATTTATTGAAATTAACTTTATGACGATATGGTAAGTGGTCACGAATGCAAGACTTCGTTACATACCACCATTATGCTAATAATAAATAATAATTTAGAAGATAATTAAGTAAAATGCAATCTATTTATTTAACAAGTTAAGGATATCCCAATTTAGGCGTATATAGTAAGGTATGTATTTTTTGGTAATCGTTGGACTTACAATTATGCTAACATACGATAAAAATATTTTTTGTCTTACCATTATAGATATTTAGTGTACGAAATGAGGACAAGCCCATTGACTTCAAACTTAGTCCTATCAAGGTCACTGCTATCCGAATTCGTGTCACATCCACAAGTGCAATCTCTTTCCAAGTTGAAATGTACGGTTGTGTTGTCGGGCAAGTCTGTAAGTATAGTCAGAAATGAAAATTATTTCTATATCTCACTTAAAGGTTTCTTTAACTTTTTAAGCAATTTTGTTCAATATCTACATCTGAATGACATGATTTAAACGAGAAGCATTTTTTATCGGTTTATAAACATTAAATATGAATATAGGATATCGACTAAATAGATATATGAACGTAATATTATGCGCATTGTAAGAGTTTGTTTTTCTCTTTTTTAATGTTTAATATTGTGTCTGTAAAATATCTGTTTATAAATTGTGCTTACGAGTCTCTTTAAATATATGCTTTTACGTTTTGTGCAGACTTAAATGACATAAAACGCAATTTATAAAAAAATTGTTACATGTTTGAAGTTACTTTCATGATTTTGTTATTATCCGCAGTTACAACCACGCCGTATGTAACAGAGACATCTTCCTTTACACCTTTCCAAACAGGTAGTCTATATTCTTAAACATAATTTCAACCATATTGAAATTAATTTGTATTGTTTCGATAAATTGCTTGCAAATAGAACTAAACTGATCCGGTATGATTAGTTTCGGAAAAGTAAAATATCAGGTATACGTTTCCTTTTGACGTATTTTTCTTTTTTAAATGGGTAGTGAAGTTGTAGATTATAGTAATTACAATTTGATGTTAAATCAGGATTCTTGATCTACTAAATGTAGAAAAAATTAGATTAAAGTTTCATAAGAACGTAAGATATCTTTCAAGATTCAAGAAACCTGCATTATTATTTTATGATAAAGCGCTGTGTAAAATACACATGTTCTATAAAAGCTTAATCCCATCATTTCTATAGTGACGTCAGAGACGTCATCCACGTATACAAGTGGCCAGGTTCCATGTGAAAGTTCGGAAGGAATGGATGAACCCTTACGTATACCGTCAGAGGCTATCTTCACGGATGACGACACAGCAAAGAAAAACATAGAAAATATACGTCCCGATAGCTCAACACCATTAGTAATCCGAAAGAACGAGCCTGTTATAAGAATAGTGCTCCCAAATATCTATGTGGAATCAGTTTCATTGCCCACCTCTATCAATGTCAACAAGTTTAGGCTATCCATCAAAAGACCATCGGACGATTCGCTTAAACCAGTTCAAAACGGAAAGGTAATAGGCATCAACTGTATTTAGTCTAAATATATGCTTTACTACCATTTTGTTTGAATTCTTGAGCTGTTTATCTCTTTTTAGTGGAACAAAAACTATATATAACTATAGTTATATAACTTTAAAAAAACTGTTTTTTTTTGCACTGACAGCAACAGTACATTGAACTGATTTCACTAGTCATCAATATTGATGTAATTGTAATTATTTATATACAAATTATATAAATACTGCTGTGTATTGTTCTAGAGAAGTTTCGCGGAAATAAATAAAGTTATTTATTTATTTTTTTTATTTGAATGAGAAATTAAATTGTGTTTTACTGATAATGACTGATATTTGCATACATCTATGTAGCCATTTCGTTAGCTGGTCTTTTTTTACATTTTAGAAATTTTCTCCAGACGACGTGATTCCAATAAACACATATATTGTTGAAATTGACATAGAATTATTCGGCGATACACCGTTCAAAATTCGTCTCAGCATAATAGCTTGCTTCGAAACAGGTATTGGTTTGATTTAAAAATACTTCTCCATTGCTGTTTTATACGTATATGTAAAGTATATGTTTTTAGTACTGACATGGAAACAGATGAACTTTTCATGTATAAATCTTGTAATTTAATCAAGCCGGTGTTAGGGAGCGTGGACGATAGTACTGTCCATAAACATGTTCAAGTTTGGTATTTAATTACAATGCAGGACAGAAATACTGTTAAGAGATCGGTATAATACAATCAATTTATTCTTGAAATAAAAATAATTTTCATACTCAGTGAGTTTGTAATTTTGATATTTTGCCGATATATGTTCTTCGGCTACTCACCGCTGTGGCTTCGAATCCCGACAGGGACTTTGCATTCTTTGATATGAGGAAGCTAACCAACTAGCTTACGGAACGTCGTAGTTCTACTCCATCCACGAACATGCATCTTAGGTCTTCCTCCACCAATAATGCTAAAAAGTCGCCATATGACCTATACTGTGTTAGTGCGACGAGAAAGCACCCCAACACACAAAATATAAAAAAAAAATGAAATAAAATAAGCAAGTGAATCTTATTAAATCATTTGCTATGGTAATGAAAAGTAAAATAAAACAACCGAAATTATATCGATATTTATATTTACAGTAACAACCCCGGTGACATCCACGCCAAGCACTACATCTTCATATCCCATAACATTTACGAGTTCTTCAGAAACATCGTCGGTACCTGAAACATCGACCACGTACACGACATATACGTCACCACACGTGGAAACTTCTTCAACAACATCAGGTAACTTAAAATCTGTAAGAATTGTAAGAGATGTTTTAAACTAACAGAAATGACTACAAACTATCCAGAGAAGTATGAACCACAATTTAATTAATGTTAAACATGTCTCATCCAGTTTCAGAGAGCCTTCACTCTTATCAGGATTGGAAAATTACAAAAACAATAAAACACGTGTTTTGACGTTAAAGCTGTTTAATGTTTTTACTTCTCATTGTCTGTTAAAGACTGGATTATTTTATGATGGGGTAAAACAATTTATCACACACCCGTGCCGATTTTGCGACTCCGTAAATATGGTATTGCATTTTGTAGAATTTATTCAATTAATACACATAAACGAATTAGAAGTGTTTGAATTCTCAAATTAAAAGTTTGGGTGAAATTGTAAATAGCGAGGTTTATTTATATTTTTACAAAAAATATTAATATTTTATGCAAGGGTTATTTTACATTTATGGATTTTATATCAAAATCTATTTAGTTATTTGTCACATCGACATTTAAAAGATGTTTTTCGTCAGTATTACTATTAAAGATGGACCACAGTTGTCCCTATGCTTTCTTTTAATCTTACGGTTATGCTTTCCGCCGAAAAAAAATCAGAGACCAATATCGTAGCAAATTTGTTCTTTTCGGAACATTATTTTTTTCAAAATCTTGGGCATTAGATTATTTACAATTACTCATCCTATATCGCTATGTACTAAATTCCGGTTATAAATGATTAAAAATCTATTGATTAACTAAGATGGTGAAATATAACATTCCGGAAATTTTCGATTTATTACAATTTAGGCCTATGTTAGAAATGTTTTTGCGGGAAAATATTAGAGCGGGAAAACATTACAGTGAGACTACCTTAAATACGGGTGGGCGTTTGAGTAAAATAGACTAGTTCATAAACTACACTTCTTTCTAACATTAAAGAATACACAGCGATAATCAGGTGATTCATGTTATTGGCCTTAATTATACTTGCAGGATGGCCATAACCCTTTTGTGATATTCATGACATATATTTGAATGCATATTAGAAATGCCTGTAATTTGTTCTACAACTTTGTATCAATTATGAAAAGATTTTTTTTAAAATTAATATGTTTTGATAAGGATAATTGTATTGAAACATAATTATATTAAAAAGCAGGTCTTTTTTTATCCAATCACGTGTATATATCTATATCTTGTTAACATACTGACCCCTTAAAAAAAAGAATGATAAGGTACATTTATCTTTAAATATATGTATTCTCGCTTTGGTTTCACAAGAGGGGACTGCAGGTTTACCCTCCGTCCATTTTATCGCCCTTCCGAAAACTGAAAATATATTGGTCCTGCCATCACAAGATATGTTGAGGATATTTGAGATTTATAGATATTATGATCATCTTTGTCATTGTTCTGTTGTTAAGGTTGTTAAGGAAAAAATAAAGGAAACTGAATACGCCTTAATAAAATGAACAAAAGACAAGAACGACAAAGATGGTACTTGGTATATATGTAGAGGAAGATATGAAAATTATGCACGTCGTACTAATTTTCAATCATAGATAACATATGGTTATATCGGGTACATATATAGTACGAATATAGTACATGTGATAACTTAATAGTTGACATGTCTGCCCATTATTTTGAAATAATGTAAAGTTCTTTAATATTATACGATTCCTTTATAGTTATATGTTTTCTCTCAGACTTATTCTTAAAAGTCCATTTCCAAATTTTTGGCGGAAGAAAGAAATTGACAAGTCATTAAGTGCTGAATAGCCAATGACAAGCTATTGATATTTCATGTAAATCTATAAACTATTGTTTGTCAAGCAAAAATATGTGTAATTGTAATTGTTTTGAAATGTACAATTTTAAGGTTATCAACTTCAGCATGTACGGAAAACACAGAACATCTCTAACAGATAAATGTATTGTCATATTTCAGTATCCCCATATACAAGCTCATCCAGTACCAGTATATCATCGTCTTCAATTTCAACGTCCTCATCGCCCACAACCAATGTATACACAAGCTCATCAAGCAGCAGTTTAACAGAATCAAGTCCTGTTTCGGCCACGGCTACATCTACGACAGTGTGCACTGTAACGGAGGGTATGGATAGACCGAAATCAATTCCAAGAGAAAATATAAGGGACAATAATGATCGTATACCGCAAGGTGCTGAGAATTTAAGACCTAATGCAGAGAATCCATTTACTGTTGATAGGAATTCTTTTACTGTACGATTCTTATTTAATCCTGCTATTCCAGTTGAATCGTTAGAATTGATAAGGCCAAGGAATATTGAAGATATAACAGTTTCATACGTACAACCCAGAAATAATAAGAGAATACCGGTTGTCGAGGTATGTTTGAACATATTTATATTTTTTCTTCTTAAATTGTATAATGAGTGATACTGCTGCCTAAATAAATTATTTCATCTGATACCATAACTTAATGATAGCACAGTTTCGGTTTTTGTTTTATTTTGTGTAATTTGATGATACCGATTATATTACAAAAACAATAGCTTTTAGTCTGCAAGGTTGATAAGTCACAATATCTCAATCAGAATAATATGTATTAAACCATTATCAATATATTTCAATAAAAGCGTTATATATAAAAGAACTTGTAATTTTTAAAATAATGTAGAACAAAAAGTAACAAAATGCTAGGAATGGCAACATAAATGTATTTAAAAATAAATTAAAGGTAAAAAAGTTACAAACTCTTGCAACTATTTTTGGATATTTTCAGAATGGAAATCCAAAGAAAGTCGTGCGATTCCCAGAACAACCAGATGCTGTAGAGGTTGTACTCACAGTGAATAGAGAAGATTCGGATGAGCCAATGTCGTTCCAAGTTGCTATATTTGCTTGCTTCGAAATCCCGACAACAACAACTCCTGTAGTTACAACATACTCTGTTGAAACATCGTCTGTTCCAACAACAAGCTCTTCAACTAGCAGCACTTCATCAACGTCTTCAGGACCTGTTACCACATCCTCTGTTTACACATCTTCGTCTTCTCCAGGCATAACGTCTACTAGTTCTACAGGCCCGGTCACTACTTCCTCTGTTCACACATCCTCATCTTCTCCAGGCATTACTTCTACTAGTTCTTCGAGTAGTTCATTTTCTTCTTCTACTTCTCAAGGTATTATTGCACAAGTTAAAATACATATAGATATATTACATGATTATGGAAAGCACTGTTCCGGACGTTTGTCAATTATTATACGAGTTTATGTTTATCAAAACTCTATTAAGACAATTGTTTGATAGTTATTTGTTTGTAGATAGACTTAATTATGTTGTCTTTCTTACTGCGTTAACACACAATTTGCTCCACCGCTTAGCACAACTTATCTCGCAAAAGGCAATGTCTTTGAACGTTGGCTTTATTTTATTAACTATATATCATTTATAATAGCAAGTGTTTTAATCATTTCTCTTCATTTTATAAGAAATATCAACGATATGTGGACTGTCAGACGGTATGGATGACGATCAATTGATTCCAAACAATAATATAGTAGATGAAAACAATGATGTGCCAGATGATGTTGAAATGTTGAGACCTAAAAGCCGACGTCCATTTTCTGTGAAACGTAATAAGATAACTCTTAAATTTTGGCTGATGCCAGAACGACGAATTGCATCGATCAAACTGATAAATCCCGTAGGCGTTCAGTCGATTGCTGTTTGGTTCATTAGACCTTCACTAAGAGCCTCTAAGGAGCGAGCTGTAGTAAAAGTAAGTTTATTTTGTTTACGTTCATACACATTTAACCTCTATAATAAAATATATACTCCCTAGTTTAACATATAAAATATGACTACCTATTTGACTTAAAAAGCTAAAGAAAGGTCAAAATGTTTTACATTTTATTCTTTAAACAATGAAAATGAACAACTGACAATGTATGTTTCTACAGAATGAATCGCCAGATAGCATCGTTCGATTCCAAGGTATGCCTTACGCTGTTGATATAATACTTGAAGTAGTGAAGAAACCTTCAGCAGACGAAATGAAATTTAGGGTGTCTGTAAAGGCATGTTTTGAAGAGGTAACTTCAGAGACTACTCCATCAACAAGTAGTTCAACAAGCAGTTCGACAAGCAGTTCAAGCTTCCGGTGAAACGACTTCATCAAGCACAGAGACGTCTTATACAGCCGAGACATCAACTGTTCCAACAACCAGTACTTCTACAAGTAGCAGTTCATCTTCGTCTACAGGGCCAGTCACTACGTCCACTATATATACGTCTTCATCTTCACCAGGCATAACGTCTACTAGTTCTACAGGACCAGTTACTACTTCCTCCATTTACACATCTTCATCTTCTCCAGGCATAACTTCTACTAGTTCCTCGAGCAGTTCAACATCTGCAGGTATTTACAACAGTTCTTGTGATCATTATTCCTTTCTGTAAAATATACAAGCACATATATAATTGTTCACACTAAAATTGTGCAAAAATTTTGATGTGATCGTGTGGTCGATTGTTTGATCAGCATTCCTTGCGGTTTTTATACAAGAGTATAAATAAACTTTGTTTTTTTATCAGAAGTAACAACGATATGTGAACTTTCTGACGGAATGGATGACGATCAATTGATCCCGAACAACAACATAGTAGATGAAAACGACAATGTGCCAGACGACGTTGAAATGTTGAGACCAAATAGCCGACGTCCATTTTCTGTGAAACGTAATAAAATGACTATCAAATTCTGGCTGATGCCGGAAAGACGAATTGCATCGATCAGATTGATAAAACCTGAAGGCGTACAATCGATTGCTGTTTGGTACATCAGACCTTCAGAAAGAGCATCAAAGGAACGTGTAGTAGTTAAGGTAAAATGATTTTATACATACTTACACACACAATTATATATAAGAAGACAACATTGAAATACTCGAATTTCTGCGAATTTGCATTTGTATTATAATTATCCATGTATAAAGAATATTGCAAAAGGAAAATTAACATAGGAATTGATAAATGTCCATTGAAGGTAGAGAAATGTATATATTTCACTTAGGGGGATCATTCGATTCCACATTTATTTCCTCTGACTTTTGATACCATTATGTCTTTGTTGGTTTAAGTAAATCACTCATTGTTAATGTAGAGCCAAATCGGAAACAGACTTAATTATTGACGATTAACGTTGTAAATGTTACAATTTATTAAATTGACTTATTTTACAGAAAGAATCACCAGATAGCATCGTTCGCTTCCCAGGTATGCCTGAAGCTGTTGATATATTACTTGAAGTAGTAAAGAAACCTTCTGCAGTCGAAATGAATTTCAGAGTTTCAATAAAAGCATGTTTTGTGGAAGTGCTTACACCAACAAGCAGTTTATCAAGCAGTTCAACTAGCGGCTCATCAAGCAGCTCAACTAGCAGTTCAGCAAGTAGTTCAAGTTTGACGTCTGTCCCAGAGACAAGTTCAAGCACATCCAGTTCATACACGGAAGGAACCACTCCAGTGTCCACGACATCGACATCAGTTTATCTTACACCAACTACAGTTTGTACTGTCACGGAGGGCATGAATAGACCAAAGTCTATTCCAAGAGAAAATATAAGGGACAATAATGATCGTATACCGCAAGGTGCTGAGAATTTAAGACCTAATGCAGAGAATCCATTTACTGTTGATAGGAATTCTTTTACTGTACGATTCTTATTTAATCCTGCTATTCCAGTTGAATCGTTAGAATTGATAAGGCCAATGAATATTGAAGATATATCAGTTTCATACGAACAACCCAGAAATAATAAGAGAATGCCGGTTGTCGAGGTATGTTTGAACATATTTATATATATTTTCCTTAAATTGTTAAATGAGTGATACTGCTGCTTAAATAAATGATTTAATATTTGATACCTTAACTTAATGGTATCACAGTTTCTGTTTTTGTTTTATTTTGTAATTTTGCAATTATTATACTACAAAAACAATAGCTTTAAGTCAGCGAGACTGATAAGTCACAAAGTCTCATTCGGAATAATATGTATTAAACCATTATCAATATATCTCAATAAAAGCGCTACATATAAAAGAACTTGTTATCTCCAAATAATACAAAATAAAAAGTAGGAAAATGTCATGAATGGCAACATAATTGTATTTGAAAGTATTAAAGGTAAAAAAGTTACAAAAACATTGCAACTATTTTTGGATATTTTCAGAATGGAAATCCAAAGAAAGTCGTGCGATTCCCAGAACAACCAGATGCTGTCGAGGTTGTACTCACAGTGAATAGAGAAGATTCGGATGAGCCAATGTCGTTCCAAGTTGCTATATTTGCTTGCTTCGAAATCCCGACAACAACAACTCCTGTAGTTACAACATACTCTGTTGAAACATCTTCTGTTCCAACAACAAGCTCTTCAACTAGCAGCACTTCATCGACGTCTACAAGACCAGTCACTACGTCCACAATTTATACATCTTCATCCTCGCCAGGCATAACGTCTACTAGTTCTACAGGACCAGTTACTACTTCCTCCATTTACACATCTTCATCTTCTCCAGGCATAACTTCTACTAGTTCTTCGAGCAGTTCAACATCTGCAGGTATTTACAACAGTTTATGTGATCATTTTACCCGTATATTGGTAGAAATCAAGCTTCAATTTGCATTTTCCATCGGCTTTCGAGACAGTTTTGTATTTAAATTTTGTAAACTTCATTACATTCAATCCCGATTTAGGAATCAAAACAATAACGTGTACGAGTTTGTTACACCTTGCACACTTAAATTGTGAAAACTTGTTGATATGATCGCGTGATCGAATCATTCCTTGTAGTTTTTTTATACAAGAGTATCAACAAACTTTGTTTGTCTTATCAGAAGTAACAACGATATGTGAACTATCTGACGGAATGGATGACGATCAATTGATCCCGAACAACAACATAGTAGATGAAAACGACAATGTGCCAGACGACGTTGAAATGTTGAGACCTAATAGCCGACGTCCATTTTCTGTGAAGCGTAATAAAATGACTATCAAATTCTGGCTGATGCCGGAAAGACGAATTGCATCGATCAGATTGATAAAACCTGAAGGCGTACAATCGATTGCTGTTTGGTACATTAGACCTTCAGAAAGAGCATCAAAGGAACGTGTAGTAGTTAAGGTAAAATGATTTTATACATACTTACACACACAATTATATATAAGGAGACAACATTGAAATATTCAAATTTCTGCGAATTTGCATTTGTATTATAATTATCCATGTATAGAAGAATATTGCAAAAGGAAAATTAACATAGGAATTGATAAATGTCCATTGAATGTAGAGAAATGTATATATTTCACTCAGGGGGATCATTTGATTCCGCATGTATTTCCTCTGACTTTTGATACCATTATGTGTTCTGTTGGTTTAAGTAAATCACTCATTGCTAATGTAGAGCCAAATCGGAAACAAACTTAATTGTTGACGATTAACGTTGTAAATGTTACAATTTATTAAATTGACTTATTTTACAGAAAGAATCACCAGATAGCATCGTTCGCTTCCCAGGTATGCCTGAAGCTGTTGATATATTACTTGAAGTAGTAAAGAAACCTTCTGCAGACGAAATGAAATTCAGAGTTTCAATAAAAGCATGTTTTGAGGAAGTGACTACACCAACAAGCAGTTCATCAAGCAGTTCAACTAGCGGCTCAACTAGCAGCTCCACTAGCAGTTCAACTTTGACGTCTGTCCCAGAGACAAGTTCAAGCACATCTAGTTTATACACGACAGGAACAACTCCAGTGTCCACGACATCGACATCAGTTTATCTTACACCAACTACAGTTTGTACTGTCACGGAGGGCATGGATAGACCAAAGTCTATTCCAAGAGAAAATATAAGGGACAATAATGATCGTATACCGCAAGGTGCTGAGAATTTAAGACCTAATGCAGAGAATCCATTTACTGTTGATAGGAATTCTTTTACTGTACGATTCTTATTTAATCCTGCTATTCCAGTTGAATCGTTAGAATTGATAAGGCCAAGGAATATTGAAGATATAACAGTTTCATACGTTCAACCTAGAAATAATAAGAGAATACCGGTTGTCGAGGTATGTTTGAACATTTTATATTTTTTCTTCCTAAATTGTATAATGAGTGATACTGCTGCTTAAATAAATTATTTCATCTGATACCTTAACTTAATGATATCACAGTTTCGAATTTTATTTTATTTTGTGTAATTTGATGATACCTTATATATCACAAAAACAATAGCTTTTAGTCTGCAAGGTTGATAAGTCACAATATCTCAATCAGAATAATATGTATTAAACCATTATCAATATATTTCAATAAAAGCGTTAAATATTAAAGAACTTGTAATTTTTAAAATAATATAGAACAAAAAGTAACAAAATTCTAGGAATGGCAACATAAATGTATTTGAAAATATTAAGGGTAAAAAAGTTACAAACTCTTGCAACTATTTTTGGATATTTTCAGAATGGAAATCCAAAGAAGGTTGTGCGATTCCCAGAACAACCAGATGCTGTCGAGGTTGTACTCACAGTGAATAGAGAAGATTCGGATGAGCCAATGTCGTTCCAAGTTGCTATATTTGCTTGCTTCAAAATCCCGACAACAACAACTCCTGTAGTTACAACATACTCTGTTGAAACATCTTCTGTTCCAACAACAAGCTCTTCAACTAGCAGCACTTCATCGACGTCTACAAGACCAGTCACTACGTCCACAATTTATACATCTTCATCCTCGCCAGGCATAACGTCTACTAGCTCTACAGGACCAGTCACTACTTCCTCCATTTACACATCCTCATCTTCTCCAGGCATAACCTCTACTAGTTCTTCGAGCAGTTCAACATCTGCAGGTATTTACAACAGTTTATGTGATCATTTTACCCCTATATTGGTGGAAATCAAACTTGATTTGCATTTTCCATCGGCTTTTGAGACAGTTTTGTAATTAAATTTTGTAAACTTCGTTACATTCAATCCCGATTTAGGAGTCAAAACAATAACGTGTACGAGTTTGTTACATCTTGCACACTTAAATTGTGAAAACTTGTTGATATGATCGCGTGATCGAATTATTCCGTGTGTTTTTTTATACAAGAGTATCAACAGACTTTCTTTGTTTTATCAGAAGTAACAACAATATGTGAACTATCTGACGGAATGGATGACGATCAATTGATCCCGAACAACAACATAGTAGATGAAAACGACAATGTGCCAGACGACGTTGAAATGTTGAGACCTAATAGCCGACGTCCATTTTCTGTAAAGCGTAATAAAATGACTATCAAATTCTGGCTGATGCCGGAAAGACGAATTGCATCGATCAGATTGATAAAACCTGAAGGCGTACAATCGATTGCTGTTTGGTACATTAGACCTTCAGAAAGAGCATCAAAGGAACGTGTAGTAGTTAAGGTAATATGAGTTTATACATACTTACACACACAATTATATATAAGGAGACAACATTGAAATATTCAAATTTCTGCGAATTTGCATTTGTATTATAATTATCCATGTATAGAAGAATATTGCAAAAGGAAAATTAACATAGGAATTGATAAATGTCCATTGAATGTAGAGAAATGTATATATTTCACTCAGGGGGATCATTTGATTCCGCATGTATTTCCTCTGACTTTTGATACCATTATGAGTTCTGTTGGTTTAAGTAAATCACTTATTGCTAATGTAGAGCCAAATCGGAAACAAACTTAATTGTTGACGATTAACGTTGTAAATGTTACAATTTATTAAATTGATTTATTTTACAGAAAGAATCACCAGATAGCATCGTTCGCTTCCCAGGTATGCCTGAAGCTGTTGATATATTACTTGAAGTAGTAAAGAAACCTTCTGCAGACGAAATGAAATTCAGAGTTTCAATAAAAGCATGTTTTGAGGAAGTGACTACACCAACAAGCAGTTCATCAAGCAGTTCAACTAGCGGCTCAACTAGCAGTTCCACTAGCAGTTCAACTTTGACGTCTGTCCCAGAGACAAGTTCAAGCACATCTAGTTTATACACGACAGGAACAACTCCAGAGTCCACGACATCGACATCAGTTTATCTTACACCAACTACAGTTTGTACTGTCACGGAGGGCATGGATAGACCAAAGTCTATTCCAAGAGAAAATATAAGGGACAATAATGATCGTATACCGCAAGGTGCTGAGAATTTAAGACCTAATGCAGAGAATCCATTTACTGTTGATAGGAATTCTTTTACTGTACGATTCTTATTTAATCCTGCTATTCCAGTTGAATCGTTAGAACTGATAAGGCCAAGGAATATTGAAGATATAACAGTTTCATACGTACAACCCAGAAATAATAAGAGAATACCGGTTGTCGAGGTATGTTTGAACATATTTATATATATTTTCCTTAAATTGTTCAATGAGTGATACTGCTGCTTAAATAAATTATTTTAATATCTGATACCTTAACTTAATGATATCACAGTTTCGGTTTTTGTTTTATTTTGTGTCATTTGATAATAGCGATTATACTACAAAAACAATAGCTTTAAGTCAGCGAGACTGATAAGTCACAAAGTCTCATTCGGAATAATATGTATTAAACCATTATCAATATATCTCAATAAAAGCGCTACATATAAAAGAACTTGTTATCTCCAAATAATACAAAATAAAAAGTAGGAAAATGTCATGAATGGCAACATAATTGTATTTGAAAGTATTAAAGGTAAAAAAGTTACAAAAACATTGCAACTATTTTTGGATATTTTCAGAATGGAAATCCAAAGAAAGTCGTGCGATTCCCAGAACAACCAGATGCTGTCGAGGTTGTACTCACAGTGAATAGAGAAGATTCGGATGAGCCAATGTCGTTCCAAGTTGCTATATTTGCTTGCTTCGAAATCCCGACAACAACAACTCCTGTAGTTACAACATACTCTGTTGAAACATCTTCTGTTCCAACAACAAGCTCTTCAACTAGCAGCACTTCATCAACGTCTTTAGTACCTGTCACCACATCCTCTGTTTACACATCTTCGTCTTCTCCAGGCATAACGTCTACTAGTTCTACTGGCCCGGTCACTACTTCCTCCATTTACACATCTTCATCTTCACCAGGCATAACGTCTACTAGTACTTCCACTACATTGACATCGCATATAACAACCTCATCTGAATATCCGACTACGTCTTCTACCTCAAGTACAAGTTCTGTGTCCACGCCATATGTATCAACAAGTGAGACGACTCCGACAATTACATCTCCTTACACATCAACAAGTTCATCTACAAGTAATATGATTTCAAATTATTTGATAACTAAATCACAGGCCCAATTATGTAATAATGTCTGAATAAAAAGGGTTTCCTATCTTAAGACCAATTATATTTAATAACTTGATCTGTTGAAGTGATATTGATGTTTAGCTTTTTGCTTTTAAATTCAAAAGTGTACCACAGTTAACAAAGTCACATAGCAAGTTTGTACCAACTTTTCTTCATTGATGTAACAGGTAGGTTGCGTCTCCTGATTAACATTATATTGCAGTTGTATTTGATCGTTATGGCTGTTTGTTTTTAAATATTGTTGAAATTGTAAAACCCAGTTAAATACTAGTGTATGACAATGCTATGTTTTGGAAAGGTGTGTAGCGACATTGAAACATTATATTATCAAATTATCGTATTTTTATGCAATCCCGAAAATGGAATTTATCATTCAGAGTGAGGAATTGTTTTTAACATTAGCCATTTAATAAAATATGACGAAATATAGCCTGTAACGACCTTGGATGAAATCAAAATAATAATTTTATAAACTTAAACTATTATCTATTTAATTGTTTACATGTTTAAACGTTCTTTATCTGAGTTGAGCCCTGTAATGGCTTAAAGACGACCAACATCTGCTGTATGGATCGAGTTATTATATTAAAGAAATCTTCTAAAGGTTGTATAAATAATGATGATCTCGCTAATTTCAGAACACAATAAAATATGTTATATTTCTGCTGTAAAAACGTTAACATTTACTCGACTTTTATTTCCTCTTCAGCAACTCCATGTGCAATGGTAGACGGAATGGACGAACCGGTTTATGTACCTGAAAACCAAATAGTTATAGACGATGCGTCAAATGAGAAGAATGTTAAGAATTTAAGACCAAACAGCAAGAACCCGTTAGTGGTAAAGAAAGATGTTATCACTATCAAAGTGTGGATTATGCCTGAAGCGCGCATTTCTTCAGCAAATTTGGTTACATCTAAAAATGTAAAATCGTACGATGTCTATTACGTTAAACCTGGACGAGCATCTAGGGATGTACCTTACAGAGAGGTAATTATTGTTGGTACTGAATAGATTCTCGATTATATTGATTAAAATATACATGTAATAATAATAAATTTCCTTTCTACGCATGCATTGTATTTATTTTTTATAAAGATAATATAATATATAAAAGGAAATATAGATATACTAAGAAATCTAGCTATATGTGATAACTATGTTCGATTATATATTTTTGTATAATTCGATATCAGAATTTCTGTTAAAACCATATCTATATTTTAATCAAATTAATTCACAAATCGTTATATATTGTTTGCCAATAGTATTTAAGAATTGTTATACCCGCAGTTAGCCATTCTGCTCGTCTTGAGCATTAGCTTGCTCGAAATGCAAGTTCAAGATTTGGGTAACGCTATAAAAGTTGATAAAGATAACGGTTTTACAAAGTTTTTCTGGAAGAACTTTGCTAAAGAAAGGAAGTAAATTATCCATATCTGGATATCATTAAATAATAATAATAAAAATTATAAAGATATTCTTTACATATTGGTTTATTTCAGTTATTTTATGTCGGTTATTATTCTATTCTTTACAATTAAATAATAAAAATTAAATTTGAAACAGACCGTTCATGCAAGGTTGTTCCAGTTTGGATTCAATTCGAATTTTATTTTCAGAAATAAGGTCATTCAAGCTTGAACTCTGGTAATATTTGTGATGATATCATTTATGATTCTACATATAAAGTGCAATATTCAACCGTGGTTAGAAAAAAATGAAACACGACGGTTGTCATTTACGTAGTAATTCATCTTATGTAACAACTACTTAATCATTCATTGTTTGGAGTTTGAAATAATTTGAATAATAATGATATATAAAATATAAATATAATATAAATATAAAATATTGATTTTGCTCTTTCAGAATGTTAAACCAAACGATGTAGTTAAGTTTCAGTCGTATCCCTTTGCACAAGATGTGATATTTGTTGTACGACTTGACAGAAAATTCCAACAGATGTCAATACGAATTTCTGTTGTAGCTTGCTTTGAACAAAGTAAATACTTTTTATATGAATTTTATTAGTGCTAATGATACCGGTTAATATTACCATTTTACCAACGTTAATCTGTACACAAAAATAGCTCTCAATTATCTCATTTTAAATGTTTTGGACAGCCTCCGTGGTCGAAGGGTTGGAGTCGATGACTTCTAATCCAGTTACCTCTTTGGCGTGGGTTCAATAATCGGGAGATGCTTTGGTAGTTTAGCGCGGAGGAAGGTAGTCTAGTACTCGTGTAACTTCCAGGAACGATGGTTAGGAAACTGTCCGCCTATATGACTGAAATACTGTAGGGAAAAGGCGTAAAATGAAACAAACAAACAATTTATTAATGTTTTGTACCATATCAGAGTTTCTAAAATATAACATTTGAGAACACGTCTTTTGCATAACATATTATATTGATATCTTTGTTTCAGTTTCAACCACATCATCTATAACTACTCCGTCTGGACCCTCGGTTACGTCGTCTTCTACGCCTGAAGTAACTTCATCAAGTAAATAAATTCTGCCTCTTTCCATGTTTACTTAAATTGCCATTTATATGACTTGTATCATAATTATTTGCGTACTTTAAAAATTCGACAACTTTAAAAATTTCACTTCAACATTCAAACATTGTGCAACGTAGTGATAAATATAAGGTGTCCACTCTCTACCTTATGATCGTATGTTTTTCAGCTTCCATATATGGACCAATGTTGACCTATATGGCAACTAATATAGTTAACTAGATCTGAACTAGTCATTTGTGGATGCTGGTTCTATCAAATCATTTAGTCTCAATTGTTTGTTTATGAAATACAGACTTCAGCAACAAACAAGCTACATTGATTACTTACTGTTTCAGGTTCATCGTCTACCGTGCTTATCACCGAAACAGCAACTTATCCATCGTTTACTACATCGACAACTTCAAGCTCTAGTTCAAGTTCGCCTTTAAGCACTACATCATCATCAACATCAACAGTGCCTACAACATATAGTTCAAGTTAGTTTATACGGATTTATTTTAGTTGAATCTATAACCTTATTGAAACACTTTTGAATCCGTCCCTGGAACAAGCCAGTTCTAAGCAATGAATGTTCTAACCTGCAACAGCTTGCCCCTAAGTGGGTTTTATCCAAAGCGACCAGCAGTCCTTAGATTATTAGTTCAACGCGTAAACACTGGTGCATGCCATGCTAGATTAAACGTACTTCGTAACATGTCTTGTTTGTCGATAATATATCAACGAATATTTTTTCAATGTCTGGTTGTTGCGGCATAAAGAGACAAACATTAATTTAATACCAATATATAGGCATGTAGGTTCTTTATATTAGCATTGATTTTTGAGCTATTTTATACCAATATATCTAATTAAATGCCAGAGCATGTGCATAGGATTTTCATTTTCTGTATATTAGATTCATCATCGTGTGCTGTTTTCCTATGTCCCTTTAAGATGTTTAGTATCCACAATGTATTTTAATTTTGACACGAAGTACCTTAACTAAAGCAGAGGTTGGTAATATAACTTGTTAAATATTACAACGACATTTATTCTGATAAATATTAATTTTCAGGCTTTATTCTTATAAATGTTGCCTAATCAGTTCAATCATTAATTATAATTTAATAGACCGGAACCAGCTCTTTTTCTTTCATCGCCGGTATTCAGGTTTGGTGGAATTTAAAACATTTTTTTTGTGTAAAATTTTCGACAATTTAAAACTTATGGAAAAAATAATTACAAAGATAATTTGCATATTTTTAATTGCAAGCGGTGCGTTACTAATGTACTAATAGTGTGTCATATATTTTTATTTTATGTTATTTACACATATTTATTTTAACGTATATATAGCCATTTTTATTACAAGTCGATAAACCATCATCAGTTAAACATCTGGCGTCAAGAAAGGATTTTACACTTGCTTGTTCCAGCTCGGAAAATCGTCAATAAGTCAACAGTTGTGTGTAAAATAATTGAAGCATTAATAAATAGGAAACTTTCATATAATCTGATAGCCTGTTTAAAATCTTTATTGTGTCTTACCATAAGGTTCCACTTCGTCATCTTCGTTCCTGTCAACAGTTACACCATGCCAGTACTCTGAAGGGATGGACAGACCCTCAGTTATAAGGTATGCGTAACATTTGAAAATAAAAAATATATTTTTTTATATGAATTACATAGAAATTAATTTGTTAGTTTCATCAAGGTTTATTTTCTGGTCCAGCAAATGATAAATCATTTTTTATTTGAAAAATGTTTACAATTGTATTATCAGAATTTTTAACTTAAGCTACATAAGCAAAATTTTGTTGCACTGTTGTTTCATTTTGATGGTTAAAGGTTTGACACGCAAACAGTGTCGTATCTCTTAAACAAGGGCATTTATAAAATAAATAAATAAAACACACACAAATATGTTTATCCTAATTTCTTAAATGAGCCTGAACTGTTACATTATGATCATATTTTATTGTATCATTAACTAATTTAACATTCTTGACTAAAGAGACGAAGATATAACAACAAACGACAACAAAGTAAACAGAAATATCGATTCACTGCGTCCAGACAGTCCAAATAGTCCGGCAACCTCTTCCGTAGACAGGTTCACGGTGACCGTGAATTTCCCAGACGGCGGTATACCAGTTGATAGAATACGACTACCTGTACGAGACAACATTGATGCTGTTAAGGTTTATGTTTACAGACCTGGAAAACCAAACCCTATGCCATTGAATTCAGACAAGGTAAACATGTTTTGTTCCTTAACGTAAAAACAAAACGATAAAATTAAATATCGTGTTAAAGTTTTAACTGTTAAAACGTCAACATTGAAAGCAAGGAAACAGATGCTAAGATATGTTAGCTAATAACCCGTTCAATTATTACCAAGCTTAATTCTTCTGATACCAGTAAACACAAGTTGTCAGTTGATAGCTTAAAGGATAACAATTGTTCATTATTTCAATATGATACCAAAGAAATTGACACTTTAATGGTATGTTTGTTTTTATTTCGCCGCACAAATTTATAGTAGCTTTGGTGCTACATATTAAGTGTCTATTCAATATTCAAAGGAAGCATTTTTATCTAAATCAATCTTATTCCCTAAAGTTTTAAAGCTGCAATGAGCATAATTCAAATACATGTAAAGAATTTATTATTTAGATTTCACTAAATGCTCATAATTCTATATAACCAAGTTTGATATTGTTTTCAGCCAATACCTGTTGACAGGAGAATTCAATTCCCACGTGTTTTAGTAACAAAAGTAGAAATTGTTGTTGTTGAAAAGGAACAGCCTAGCAGACCTATATCAATGACAATCGAAATATGGGGATGTTACGAAGTTGAAAGTAGTAAGTAATATATAATTATTAACATTAACGCTGGTATATACTAAGGTTTGACAATCGTAACTGGCAATGTTTAAAATATATAAATAAAAATCTTTTCTTTGTTGTATAGATAAAAAATAGATCAATTGATTACGGAAATAAAAACAAATCTGTAAAAGAGTGTCCAAAATCATCATACAGTTACGAAAAAGCCAAAATTGGTTGACTGACATTGCACTTGGTAAAATCTTCTTAAATCGACGAAGAGTAGACATCCAAGCTCTTCTGAAAATACTATCTATGACTTGAGCATGTTCTTTTTGGCTTTTATAATAATCATATATGTGCAATTATGAACACAACTAAATAGAGGTAGTTGAATGAGTGTAAGTTCAATACTGAATTTATCTAACAAGTTGAATAAAATTATGATACGCGAGCCTCTGGCGAGCAATATATCATTTTATTAAACAATTTATTTAATTTTGTAATGAACGTACACGAATTTAATAGTCTATTTATGACACACCCAAACTAAATAGACCGTTTAAAGTGAAAAAAGTGTTATTTTTCACTGATGCGCCTATAGTATAAAGCTAGTCATTTAGCGCGTCTGTGTACTATGATTGTTAATGACATCACGTCAAAATATATGTACGGCCGTGCAATACATTTTACGAAGTCGCAAAATCGGCACGGGTGTGTGATAAAGGTTGTTTAGATGTACTTTTAATGTTCTGAAAGCTAATAATTTCTGCAAGTCCTCTCGGACCTTTTGGTACCTATTTTACAGTACATTGTAGACATTCTTTTGGTATAATATTATAACGTTCAATATTTCTGAATTTACAGTTTTCAATGCTCTCTATTTTTTGTATTTAGACCAGAAAGAAAACAAATGACAAAACTAAAAAACAAAATGTTGTGAGCCAGTGGGATTCAATCCCTTACATTTGTGTAAAGTTGTGTTATACATACCTTTGTAGAAATCAAACTGCTTGCGTGTCTTTGTGTTAAAACAAAAAAATTGGAGAAAGAGTAATCCATCGGAAGCATTTATCAAAACAAAATTACATGAACAATCGGTTTAATTGAGTATGTATATGAGGGATAATGTAAGAGTACAACATTCCTCACGCATTTCGTAAAAATTGCAGACTACGTCTTCTTATGTAAATTTTGTGTCATACACTTCTTTTTGAAGATTAAACTGCGTGTCCGTGTATTAAGTTGTGTCATAGATTTCTTTTTAAAGATCAAACTACTTGTCCGTAATGTAAGGATGGGATATGGGTGATTGTTGTTGTTTATTTTATTTTTTGTTTTATTATATTAATTTTATTATAATAATACTATTGATGTGCACTTTTTCAGTTCTTTGAGTGACATTATGCTAATCCACGAGTAAAATGGTTAATGTTTACATGAAATTAAAATAACTTGACATGTTGTTATATTTGTTTTTAATCTTATAATAAATGCCAAATGTGTATAATTAATCAAAAACCCTCATGACCCTCACAAATATCTATCAATTTACTATGGAAATTATCGGAAATGTATAAAAAGGCGGGGTGGTCGTTATATGTTTAAGGATGTTTTTTTTATTTTATCTTAAACATGTGTATTTATCAATTTTGTTTAATCCCCAAAAGATAAAATAGACAACAGTTTTCTTCTCAGACTGACATTGACATTGAAAAACATGCACACTGTCACTTTAATTCTTATACTTGATACATCTGCAGACAATAGAACTAGTGAAAGTATTTATACATTCATTAATATATTCTTGATCCACACATCGAGAGCAACAATATAAAAATGTATTTTTAAGATTTGTCTGGTCATGTCCATTCTTGAGGTACCATTCATTTGCAATTTCCAGTTTGTCCAATTGACCTGCTGTCCGCCTGTAGAATGACAAAACAGTTGAATGTCGGATATACGTGTCCATTGGTCCTAACCTATAGGCATTTTTCATGTGTGTAATAGTATACCCAATGTCCTAAAAAGACAAATAGTGTCCAACAACAGTATATGTATTCCTTCCTTTAAAATGCATGTCAGACTAAGTAAGCATATACATGCACCCGTGGATGCTATTTACAAATATAAAATTATCTTTGTCTTGTAAATGATTTTTTGTCAAATTTATTGTCCTTCAATGATGTTTTAAAAGTTTGTCTGGGCTACTTCTCTTTTACCAGTAATGCAATTGGAATTAGATTTACGGGATTGCTTTGTAGCTCAAATACTTGCACATTTTTAACAGTTTTCGGTTTTTCTGATTTTTGACTGAATTGTGGCCCTTGAATAATAAAAGGGATTTGGGCCTTATAGTGATTTTTGTATTGCCTGCTACATAATAGCTGGTACATGTTACAAACTCACTTTCCTGTTGCCTGTCTGTCTGCCTGTCCATCCCTCCGTTGCCTTCCACAAAAAAATCTTGTCCGAACAACTAATAAAAAACTCCTTGCTATTTCGTCCAAATTCAACAGGAATAACCAGGCGCTTATCCTCTTTGATTTTGCCACAGCTATGGCCCTTTAATTATTATTTTCAAGTTTTTTCCAGACTTCTCCCGAAACACCAAATAAGCAATTGGAATGAAACTTTGCATAATTGATCGCTTTCTCAATTATTTGCACACAATATATGGCTTTTCTAGTTGAAGGATTTTTATTTTTTTTGTAGCCCTTAAATAAATAGAAGAAAAAAAAGAAACAAGAAAACATTTTGGTCTGTTAACGATTTTGTTTCCTGCTACACAGAAGCTACAACATGCAACAATGAAGCAAAGTGAAATCACCCTAAATCACCCTAAATGTGTTTAATTTAGGTGAACGTTTTGTCACTGATCGTTTTTGCATTAATGTAATATATAAATGTTACCATATATTCTGTCGGTATATTAAATTATACATACCACCGACGGTTTACATTCACATGCACACCCACAGTTTTGCATTAAATACCAGTATGTTGTAATTGATATTGTATACCACACTTTTCTGAAATAATATTGATGTATGATATAATTATGCTTATCAAACAATTTTCAAACATCGAAGAATATGTAGATTATGTATTGCAAATGTTCAAACGCATTATATGTCATCATTAAAATATTGCATTTATTTCTTATTGAAAAAATTGACTTAGACTTAGTAAGTAAATTTATATTACCTCCCTTTGTTACATTAAATGTTAAATTCGATAATATCTTTATAAATAATGCTTTTTGGAACTTACAAAATTGATCAATCTTAATTTGAGCATCATATTTATGATATAAAACCATAGAAATACCGTAATGTGTTACCGGATCTTTAATTACCACTTTTCATGTAAAGAAAATGCAAATTGAAAATGCTTTCAACAGTTAGCATATTCATTGTTCACTCCACACATTTCGTCATTATGCGAGATAAACGTTTATAAAATTTTGTGTATAGTTTTGTTCATTTAAAATACTTTCAACCATTTTACATGAGCCCATTACCTGAATTCTATGTTTTTGACATAAATTTAAAGGGGTTTTTAATGCAGTAAGTAAACATGTTTGCTCCGTTACTTACAGGTTTAACTACTGGTACACCAACTTCAACAAGCTCAACATCACCAGTATCCACGTCTAGCTCTACAATCTCAGTTCCTACAAGTTCTTCTAGCAGCTCCACTTCTTTATATACGTCTTCAATCTCATCAGGTACTTCTTCAATTCCATCAGAATTGTTCAATGCTCCGCGATGCGATTATAAAAAGAACATAATTTTAACAAATAACAAGTTCATTGTTAAGAATAAAGTTCTAAAAATCTTTAATACATTTCAGGTACATCGTCAGTTGAGACATCATCCGTTCCAACAACCAGTTCTTCTACATCAACGTCTACCCGGCCAGTAACTACAGTCATCCGTTTACACTACTTCTCCCGCGATAACTTCTACAAGTTCTACAGAACAAGTCACAACGTCTTCCGTTTTCACATCTTCATCTTCACCAGGCATTACATCTACAAGTTCATCAAGCAGTTCAACCTCTTCTCCCTTTTCATCAGGTTACTTGTTCTGCAATATTTCATTTTCAGACTACAGACATGATATGTAAATGGTATTTTCATGCACGAATGTATTTGATTTGAACTATGTTGACAATTCATTATTCTTATTGGAATATAAATTTTAAAGCTCAATATTAACTATGATTAAACTCACTTTTTAAAGTTATTGTTCAGATGTTTCACTCCTGTGATACACAACTTTTGAAATAAAGCTACAAGATCGTGGGAATAATATTACACTGCAATTTTGAAATATGCAGGGCTGTAATGTTATCACATGATTATAAGCACAATAGAACTACCATTTTTAAACGTTAATTGAGTAGTATAATTCGTTTTCTTTAAACCACTTGCCCTTGTATGGCTGTGTACTTGACTCATACAAAGGATTGTTCATTTTTCCATGTGTAGAGCTTGTCCAACTAGGTAACAAAACCTCGGTGATTCTATATGCCTATATAAGCCTGAAATGATAAACGGAAGAGTCTCGTAGGTCTTCCTAAATCGATAAAGCTGACAAGTCGTCATATGATCTTTACAGTATTAGTTCGTCGTAAAACTCTTGAAGAATACAAAAAGTAATTTATTGTAAATTATAATATCTTTTGTTTCTGTTTCTATTGTAGTATCAACGATATGTGGACTGTCCGACGGTATGGATGACGATCAATTAATCCCAAACAATAACATAGTTGATGAAAATAACGATGTGCTAGACGACGTCGAAATGTTGAGACCTAATAGCCGACGTCCATTTTCTGTAAAACGTAATAAAATGACTATCAAATTCTGGCTGATGCCGGAAAGACGAATTGCATCGATCAGATTGATAAATCCCGTTGGCGTACAATCGATAGCCGTTTGGTACATCAGACCTTCAGAAAGAGCATCAAAGGAACGAGTAGTAGTAAAGGTAATATCATTTTGTACATACTTACACAATTAAATGTAAGGACAAAATGGAAATATTCAATTTCTGCGAATTTGCATTTGTATTATAACTATCCATGTGTAGAAGAATATTGCAAAAGGAAAATTAACATAGGAATTATAATTGTCCATTGAAGGTAGAGAAATGTATATATTTCACTCACGGGGATCTTTCAATTCCACATTTATTTCCTATGACTTTTGATACCATTATGTGTTTTGTTGGTTTAAGTAAATCACTCATTGCTAATGAAGAGCCAAATCGGAAACAAACTTAATTGTTGACGATTAACGTTGAAAATGTAACAATTTATTAAATTGACTTATTTTACAGAAAGAATCACCAGATAGCATCGTTCGCTTCCCAGGTATGCCTGAAGCTGTTGATATATTACTTGAAGTTGTAAAGAAACCTTCTGCAGACGAAATGAAATTCAGAGTTTCAATAAAAGCATGTTTCGAGGGAGTGACCTCAGAGACGACTCCATCAACAAGCACTTCAACAAGCGGTTCAACAAGCAGTTCAACAAGTAGTTCCAGCCCTTTTGTTGAAACGACTTCATCATCAGTTCCAACCACAAGCACTTCTGTTAGCAGCACTTCATCTACACCAGTCATAACGTCTACTTCAACATCGCCAGGAATAACATCTTCTACTTCTTCCACTTCATCAGGTACATGGAAACACTTTTATGTAGCTATTTCTTGTGACAAATGATTAAAAACATATACATGCTACTTGTTATTTTTTTCAGTTGAATTTGTTTTCACGAAATTATTTAATTAAACATATCTCGTTTTGGTATATTATGTTTTTTCAACTTATATTACTGACATTTGAGTTTGCTTACCTGACCTACCAGTAATATGTCAAATGAAGGAAAATGGATAAGACCCGAATATTGCTCGAACCCACGATCCCTGGGTTTAGATGTGGAAACCTAAACAACTAGGGCAAGACTTCACTTAGATCATTTTTAACCACAAATGGCTCATGAAATTTCATAAAATTTTATGAATGTGGAAACTTTAACAATTCTTTTTAGGTTGCTTCAAAAGAATATATGTCTTGAAAAAGCTGAATTGTCCTTATTGATTATATATATCATCAAACTTAATAAACAGTTTGTATTTATTTTTTCAGAAGTATCAACGATATGTGCTCTTTCTGACGGAATGGATGACGATCAATTAATACCAGATGAGAACATTGTAGATGAAAATGATGATGTACCAGACGACGTTGAAATGTTGAGGCCCGATAGCCGACGTCCATTTTCTGTTAGGCGTAATAGGATGACACTCAAGTTCTGGTTGATGCCGGAAAGAAGAATTGCATCAATTAGATTGATCGATCCTGTGGGTGTTCAGTCGATTGCGGTTTGGTTCATTAGACCTTCTACCAGAGCATCTAAGGAACGAGCAGTTGTTAAGGTAAAATTTTGATTCAAAATTTCACTATTATAATTGATGGCAAATACAACACAAAACATTGAAAATGCTACAGTTTTTTCTACTGTTTCTTTCATCCTTGTAAATGTAAACATTCATTTAGAACGTGAAAATAAACACAAATGTAATGAGCTGTTACGTTCACGTTGTGAAAATCACGTTTCATAAAGTCAGTATCTTTTCCAGAATGAATCTCCAGACAGTATTGTTAGATTCCCAGGAATGCCTGAGGCTGTTGATATAATACTTGAAGTCGTGAAGAAACCTTCGGCTGATGAAATGAATTTCAGAGTTTCCATCAAGGCATGTTTCGAGGAAGAGGAAGTGACCTCAGAGACGACTCCGTCGACGACAAGTTCAAGTACTTCTTCTGTTGAAACGACCTCGTCGAGTTCAGAAACATCATCAACAAGTTCTAGCCCATATGTTCACACGTCCTCTTCAAGCACTAGCCCGTCCGGTGTTAGCTCATCATCGTCTCCCTCTAGTGGTGTATACACAAGCTCATCAAGTAGCAGTTCCACAGAAATAACTCCAGTTTCAACTACATCGACATCAGTTTATCTGACGCCTACGACAGTGTGCACTGTATCAGAGGGAATGGATAGACCAAAATCGATTCCGAGAGAAAATATTAGGGATGATAATAATCGTATACCAGATGGTGCTGAGAATCTACGACCTAACGCAAGGAATCCATTTATTGTAAACAGGAAATCGTTTACTGTCCGATTCTTGTTTAATCCTGCTATTCCGGTTGAATCGTTAGAATTGATCAAGCCAAACAATATTGAAGATATAACTGTTTCATACGTTCGACCTGGAAGTAACAAGAGAATACCAGTTGTTGAGGTATTTGTTTACAACTTCTTTTTTTGTCTTCTTTTGAAAGGCCAGTAAATTAAACAAACACGTGATAACTGATTCTCCATCTGATCTTCTCTTTGCTTGACTTGTTTTTGTTTAGTAATACCCTTAAATGGAATCATTTTCTTATGTTTGAGTTAAGTGATACATGAAGGAACGATAGATACCAGTCACCAAGTATTTAGCTACAGCAATAAGTTTTGAAGATGTTGTCAAACAAATGAATGAGGGATACTTTGCAAATATGATCTGCATTTTAATCTTGGATTGTGACAATTTTCTATGAAACGCAATCTTCATAATATATCTCTTACTTTCGATAAATTCGGTATTGTCTATTTCCGATCATTGTTTTATTGTAAAGCTGACATTACTTTTTTATTGTTGCTCGAAAGTTGCCTTATACAAAATAGTTTTATGGTCACCGCCGAAGAAAACCGTGTCTGCATATTTTTCTTTTACGAAACTTTTACCAACATTATGAATAAGATAATGTCTTGCGCATAAGACGGTTATAAGGGATGAGGGTAAAAACTGGAATCTTTAGACAGTCCATGAGCATATGCACCAAAAATGAATCTGCAAAATAATAAATATTTCAATGTTTGTTTTCCTACATGTTAATCATTTAATTATGTCTAAAGTGGTAACTAGTTAGACGGTTTGTGCTTATATGGTTACGGACTTGTAGATTTTGAAATAAGATAAAACAAAATGTAATAAAATTCAAAAATATGTCGTTAAAAAACTAAATTAAGTACTTCAAATGGTTTCATTTACTTTTTTTTGAAGGACGAAAACCCGAGAAAAGTTGTTCGTTTCCCACAACAGCCAGACGCTGTGGAGGTTGTTCTTACAGTGAACAGGAAAAATTCAGACGAACCAATGTCGTTCCAAGTCTCTATTTTTGCCTGCTTTAAAATTGTAACTGAAACGACTACTATATTCACTACATCCTCAGTTGAAACATCATCCGTTCCAACAACAAGCTCTTCTTCAATCAGCACTTTCTCAACGTCAACAGTACCAGTTTCTACGTCCTCAATTTCTACATCTTCATCTTCTCCAGGCGTAACTTCAAGTAGTAGTAGTACAGGAATAACTTCCACTACTTCTGTGATACCAGGTACAACGTCCTCTGTTTTCACATCATCTACTCCAGGCATAACGTCAACTAGTTCATCAAGCATTTTGACATCGTCTTCATCAGGTATGTATGTAATTGTTTGTTTTTGAGAATGCATTTGAGGGTACACACATGTAAATTACTACAATGTCATGCAAGCTTGTATTGGTCAACCCATTTGTTATTTGCTTACAATGTGATCATGCTATTTTGTAGATAAATTAAAAAAACATTCATTATAATCATACCAATGATCGTTTCATCAACATAACCACTATTTATAAAATGTTTCACTTCTGTGATACCAGGTACTTCATCCACATCTTCAACTACTTCAGGCATAACGTCAACTAGTTCATCAAGCAGTTCGACATCTTCCTCATCAGGTATGTATGTAATTATTTGTATCTAAGACTACATTTTGAAAGTACACACATGTATCTTACTACAATACCTTGCATTCTTGTATTTGTAAATCCCTTTGTAATGAGTTGGCAATGTGATCATGTTATTTCGTAGACAAACTAAAACATTCAATATAATTAAACCATTGCATAAACTGCATTTATCAGTTGTATAGTTTTGTCAGACCCTTGTTACAAAACTATATTCACACATGATGGTTAACCTAGCAGAACTGCCAATTTTAAATGATAATTGTTTTATCGCTGGTATTTTGTTTTGTGTGAAGTATCAACGATATGTGGATTATCCGACGGTATGGATGACGATCAATTGATACCAAACAATAACATAGTTGACGAAAACAATGATGTGCCAGACGACGTTGAAATGTTGAGACCCAATAGCCGACGTCCATTTTCTGTCAAAAGAAATAGGATGACACTCAAGTTCTGGTTGATGCCAGAAAGAAGAATCGCATCGATTAAATTGATCAATCCCGTAGGCGTGCAATCTATAGCAGTTTGGTTTATAAGGCCTTCACTCAGAGCATCTAAAGAACGAGCAGTGGTAAAGGTAAGGCCGATTGCTTACTATTCTCTCAAATAGTTAGATATTGCCAAACAAAATATATTTCAAAGGCTACATGATTTATTCTGTGTCCTATAAATATTACCATTTTAATGTTATTTGAAATAAAAGGAAACCTCCATAGCTGATTATTCATCTTGTAATATCTAGCTTGATATGAATTCAATTTGTTTTCAGAATGAATCACCGGATAGCATCGTTCGCTTCCAAGGCATGCCTGAAGCCGTTGATATAATACTTGAAGTAGTGAAGAAACCTTCAGCTGATGAAATGAAATTCAGAGTTTCCATAAAGGCATGTTTCGAGGGAGTGACCTCAGAGACGACACCAGCAACAAGCACTTCAACAAGCGGTTCAACAAGCAGTTCAACAAGCAGTCCAGCCCTTCTGTTGAAACGACTTCATCATCAGTTCCAACCACAAGCACTTCTGTTAGCAGCACTTCATCTACACCAGTCATAACGTCTACTTCATCATCGCCAGGAATAACCTCTTCTACTTCTTCCACTTCATCAGGTACATGGAAACACTTTTATGTAGCTATTTCTTGTGACAAATGATTAAAAACATATACATGCTACTTGTTATTATTTTCAGTTGAATTTGTTTTCACGAAATTATTTAATTAAACATATCTCATTTTGGTATATTATGTTTTTTCAACTTATATTACTGACATTTGAGTTTGCTTACCTGACCTACCAGTAATATGTCAAATGAAGGAAAATGGATAAGACCCGAGTATTGCTCGAACCCACGATCCCTAGGTTTAGATGTGGAAACCTTTACAACTAGGGCAAGACTTCACTTAGATCAATTTTTTATAAACATTTGTTGACACAAATGGCTCATGAAATTTCATAAAATTTTATGAATGTGGACACTTTAGCAATACTTCTTAGGTTGCTTCAAAAGAATATATGTCTTGAAAAAGCTGAATTGTGTTTATTGATTATATATATCATCAATCTTAATAAACAGTTTGTATTGATTTTTTCAGAAATATCAACGATATGTGCTCTTTCTGACGGAATGGATGACGATCAATTAATACCAGATGAGAACATTGTAGATGAAAATGATGATGTACCAGACGACGTTAAAATGTTGAGGCCCGATAGCCGACGTCCATTTTCTGTTAGGCGTAATAGGATGACACTCAAGTTCTGGTTGATGCCGGAAAGAAGAATTGCATCAATTAGATTGATCGATCCTGTGGGTGTTCAGTCGATTGCGGTTTGGTTCATTAGACCTTCTACCAGAGCATCTAAGGAACGAGCAGTTGTTAAGGTAAAATTTTGATTCAAAATTTCACTATTATAATGGATGGCAATTACGACACAAAACATTGAAAATGCTACATTTTTAGCTCATGTTACTTTCTTCCTTGTAAATGTAAACATTCATTTAGAACGTGAAAATAAACACAAATGTAATGAGCCGTTAAGTTCACGTTGTGAAAATCACTTTTGATAAAGTCAGTGTCTTTTCCAGAATGAATCTCCAGACAGTATTGTCAGATTCCCAGGAATGCCGGAGGCTGTTGATATAATACTTGAAGTCGTGAAGAAACCTTCGGCTAATGAAATGAATTTCAGAGTTTCCATCAAGGCATGTTTCGAGGAAGTGACCTCAGAGACGACTCCGTCAACGTCAAGTTCAAGTACTTCTCCTGTTGAAACGACTTCGTCGAGTTCAGAAACATCAACAACAAGTTCTAGCTCATATGTTCACACGTCCTCTTCAAGCACTAGCCCGTCCGGTGTTAGCTCATCATCGTCTTCCTCTAGTGGTGTATACACAAGCTCATCACGTAGCAGTTCCACAGAAACAATCCCAGTTTCAACTACATCGACATCGGTTTATTCCACGCCAACTACAGTTTGTACTGTAACGGAGGGTATGGACAGACCGAAAACTATTCCGAGAGAAAATATAAGGGACAATAATGATCGTATACCGCAAGGTGCTGAGAATTTAAGACCTAATGCAGAGAATCCATTTACTGTTGATAGGAATTCGTTTACTGTACGATTCTTATTTAATCCTGCTATTCCCGTTGAATCGTTAGAATTGATAAGGCCAAGGAATATTGAAGATATAACAGTTTTATACGTACAACCTAGAAATAATAAGAAAATACCGGTTGTCGAGGTATGTTTGAACATATTTATATTTTTCTTCTTAAATTGTATAATGAGTGATACTGCTGCTTAAATAAATAATTTCATTAGATACCTTAACGTAATGATATCACAGTTTCAGTTTTTGTTTTATTTTGTGTAATTTGATGATACGTATTATATTCCTAAAACAATAGCTTTTAGTCTGCAAAGCTGATTAGTCACAATATCTCAATCAGAATAATATGTATTAAACCATTATCAATATATTTCAATAAAAGCTTTATATATAAAAGAACTTGTAATTTTTAAAACAATATAGAACAAAAAGTAACAAAATTCTAGGAATGGCAACATAAATGTATTTGACAATATTAAAGGTAAAAAAGTTACAAATACCTTGCAACTATTTTTTGGATTTTTTCAGAATGGAAATCCAAAGAAAGTCGTGCGATTCCCAGAACAACCAGATGCTGTAGAGGTTGTACTCATAGTGAAAAGAGAAGATTCGGATGAGCCAATGTCGTTCCAAGTTGCTATATTTGCTTGCTTCGAAATACCGACAACAACAACTCCTGTAGTTACAACATCCTCTGTTGAAACATCTTCTGTTCCAACAACAACATCTTTAACTAGCAGTACTTCATCAACGTCTACAAGACCAGTCACTACGTCTACAATTTATACATCTTCAACCTCGCCAGGTATAACGTCTACTAGTTCTACAGGACCAGTTACTACTTCCTCCATTTACACATCTTCATCTTCTCCAGGCATAACTTCTACTAGTTCTTCGAGCAGTTCAACATCTGCAGGTATTTACATCAGTTTATGTGATCATTATACCCGTATACTGATAGAAATCAAACTTGATTTGCATTTTCCATCGGCTTTCGACACGGTTTTGTATTTAATTTTTTTGTAATCTTCATTACATTTAATTCCGATTGAGGAGTCAAAACAATCACACGTACGTGTTTGTTAAACCTTTTACACTTAAATTGTGGAAACTTTTGATATGATCGCGTGATCGAATTTTTGATCAGCATTCCTGGTGTTTTTATACAAGATAATCAACAAACTTTGTTTGTTTTATCAGAAGTAACAACGATATGTGAACTATCTGACGGAATGGATGACGATCAATTGATCCCGAACAACAACATAGTAGATGAAAACGACAATGTGCCAGACGACGTTGAAATGTTGAGACCTAATAGCCGACGTCCATTTTCTGTGACACGTAATAAAATGACTATCAAATTCTGGCTGATGCCGGAGAGACGAATTGCATCGATCAGATTGATAAATCCCGTTGGCGTACAATCGATTGCTGTTTGGTACATCAGACCTTCAGAAAGAGCATCAAAAGAACGAGTAGTAGTTAAGGTAAAATTATTTTGTACATACTTACAAACACAATCAAATAAGGAGACAACATGGATATATTTAAATTTCTGCGAATTTGCATTTGAATCATAATTATCAATAAATAGAAATATATTGCAAAAGCAATATTAACATAGGAATTTATAGTTGTTCATTGAAGATGGAGACATTTATATATTGCACTCATGAGATCTATCAAGTCCACATCTTTTTCTTCTGACTTTTGATACCATTATGTGTTCTATTGGTTTAAGTAAATAACTCATTGCTAATGTAGAGCCAAAACGGAAACAAACTTAATTGTGGACGAATAATGTTGTAAATCTTACAATTAATTAAATTGACTTATTTTACAGAAAGAATCACCAGATAGCATCGTTCGCTTCCCAGGTATGCCTGAAGCTGTTGATATATTACTTGAAGTAGTAAAGAAACCTTCTGCAGACGAAATGAAATTCAGAGTTTCAATAAAAGCATGTTTTGAAGAAGGGACTCCATCAACAAGCAGTTCATCAAGCAGTTCAACTAGCGGCTCAACTAGCAGCTCAACTAGCAGTTCAATAAGTAGTTCAAGTTTGACGTCTGTCCCAGAGACAAGTTCAAGCACATCTAGTTTATACACAACAGGAACAACCCCAGTGTCCACGACATCGACATCAGTTTATCTTACTCCAACTACAGTGTGCACTGTATCAGAGGGTATGGATAGACCGAAATCAATTCCAAGAGAAAATATAAGGGACAATAATGATCGTATACCGCAAGGTGCTGAGAATTTAAGACCTAATGCAGAGAATCCATTTACTGTTGATAGGAATTCTTTTACTGTACGATTCTTATTTAATCCTGCTATTCCCGTTGAATCGTTAGAATTGATCAGGCCAAGGAATATTGAAGATATAACAGTTTTATACATACAACCTAGAAATAATAAGAGAATAATGGTTGTCGAGGTATGTTTGAACATATTTATATATATTTTTCCTTAAATTGTTCAATGAGTGATACTGCAGCGTTAATAAGTTATTTTAATATCTGATACCTTAACTTCATGACAGGTCAGTTTCGGTTTTTCTTTTATTTTTTGTCATTTGATAATTGCGATTATAATACAAAAACAATAGCTTTAAGTGAGCGAGACTGATAAGTCACAAAGTCTCATTCGGAATAATATGTATTAAATCCTTATCAATATATATCAATAAAAGCATTACATATGAAAGAACTTGTTATCTCCTAATAATAGAAAATAAAAAGTAGGAAAATGCCATGAATGGCAACATAAATGTATTTGAAAGTATTAAAGGCAAAAAAGTTATAAAAACCTTGCAACTATTTTTTGGATTTTTTCAGAATGGAAATCCAAAGAAAGTCGTGCGATTCCCAGAACAACCAGATGCTGTAGAGGTTGTACTCACAGTGAATAGAGAAGATTCGGATGAGCCAATTTCGTTCCAAGTTGCTATATTTGCTTGCTTCGAAATACCGACAACAACAACTCCTGTAGTTACAACATCCTCTGTTGAAACATCTTCTGTTCCAACAACAAGCTCTTTAACTAGCAGCACTTCATCAACGTCTACAAGACCAGTCACTACGTCTACAATTTATACATCTTCAACCTCGCCAGGTATAACGTCTACTAGTTCTACAGGACCAGTTACTACTTCCTCCATTTACACATCTTCATCTTCTCCAGGCATAACTTCTACTAGTTCTTCGAGCAGTTCAACATCTGCAGGTATTTACATCAGTTTATGTGATCATTATACCCGTATACTGATAGAAATCAAACTTGATTTGCATTTTCCATCGGCTTTCGACACGGTTTTGTATTTAATTTTTTGTAATCTTCATTACATTTAATTCCGATTGAGGAGTCAAAACAATCACACGTACGTGTTTGTTACACCTTTTACACTTAAATTGTGGAAACTTTTGATATGATCGCGTGATCGAATTTTTGATCAGCATTCCTGGTGTTTTTATACAAGATAATCAACAAACTTTGTTTGTTTTATCAGAAGTAACAACGATATGTGAACTATCTGACGGAATGGATGACGATCAATTGATCCCGAACAACAACATAGTAGATGAAAACGACAATGTGCCAGACGACGTTGAAATGTTGAGACCTAATAGCCGACGTCCATTTTCTGTGACACGTAATAAAATGACTATCAAATTCTGGCTGATGCCGGAGAGACGAATTGCATCGATCAGATTGATAAATCCCGTTGGCGTACAATCGATTGCTGTTTGGTACATCAGACCTTCAGAAAGAGCATCAAAAGAACGAGTAGTAGTTAAGGTAAAATTATTTTGTACATACTTACACACACAATCAAATATAAGGAGACAACATGGATATATTTAAATTTCTGCGAATTTGCATTTGAATCATAATTATCAATAAATAGAAATATATTGCAAAAGCAATATTAACATAGGAATTTATAGTTGTTCATTGAAGATGGAGACATTTATATATTGCACTCATGAGATCTATCAATTCCACATCTTTTTCTTCTGACTTTTGATACCATTATGTGTTCTATTGGTTTAAGTAAATAACTCATTGCTAATGTAGAGCCAAAACGGAAACAAACTTAATTGTGGACGATTAATGTTGTAAATCTTACAATTTATTAAATTGACTTATTTTACAGAAAGAATCACCAGATAGCATCGTTCGCTTCCCAGGTATGCCTGAAGCTGTTGATATATTACTTGAAGTAGTAAAGAAACCTTCTGCAGACGAAATGAAATTCAGAGTTTCAATAAAAGCATGTTTTGAAGAAGGGACTCCATCAACAAGCAGTTCATCAAGCAGTTCAACTAGCGGCTCAACTAGCAGCTCAACTAGCAGTTCAACAAGTAGTTCAAGTTTGACGTCTGTCCCAGAGACAAGTTCAAGCACATCTAGTTTATACACGACAGGAACAACCCCAGTGTCCACGACATCGACATCAGTTTATCTTACTCCAACTACAGTGTGCACTGTATCAGAGGGTATGGATAGACCGAAATCAATTCCAAGAGAAAATATAAGGGACAATAATGATCGTATACCGCAAGGTGCTGAGAATTTAAGACCTAATGCAGAGAATCCATTTACTGTTGATAGGAATTCTTTTACTGTACGATTCTTATTTAATCCTGCTATTCCCGTTGAATCGTTAGAATTGATCAGGCCAAGGAATATTGAAGATATAACAGTTTTATACGTACAACCTAGAAATAATAAGAGAATAACGGTTGTCGAGGTATGTTTGAACATATTTATATATATTTTTCCTTAAATTGTTCAATGAGTGATACTGCAGCGTTAATAAGTTATTTTAATATCTGATACCTTAACTTCATGACAGGTCAGTTTCGGTTTTTGTTTTATTTTTTGTCATTTGATAATTGCGATTATAATACAAAAACAATAGCTTTAAGTGAGCGAGACTGATAAGTCACAAAGTCTCATTCGGAATAATATGTATTAAATCCTTATCAATATATATCAATAAAAGCATTACATATGAAAGAACTTGTTATCTCCTAATAAAAGAAAATAAAAAGTAGGTAAATGCCATGAATGGCAACATAAATGTATTTGAAAGTATTAAAGGCAAAAAAGTTATAAAAACCTTGCAACTATTTTTTGGATTCTTTCAGAATGGAAATCCAAAGAAAGTCGTGCGATTCCCAGAGCAACCAGATGCTGTAGAGGTTGTACTCACAGTGAATAGAGAAGATTCGGATGAGCCAATGTCGTTCCAAGTTGCTATATTTGCTTGCTTCGAAATACCGACAACAACAACTCCTGTAGTTACAACATCCTCTGTTGAAACATCTTCTGTTCCAACAACAAGCTCTTTAACTAGCAGCACTTCATCAACGTCTACAAGACCAGTCACTACGTCTACAATTTATACATCTTCAACCTCGCCAGGTATAACGTCTACTAGTTCTACAGGACCAGTTACTTCTTCCTCCATTTACACATCTTCATCTTCTCCAGGCATAACTTCTACTAGTTCTTCGAGCAGTTCAACATCTGCAGGTATTTACATCAGTTTATGTGATCATTATACCCGTATACTGATAGAAATCAAACTTGATTTGCATTTTCCATCGGCTTTCGACATGGTTTTGTATTTAATTTTTTGTAAACTTCATTACATTTAATTCCGATTGAGGAGTCAAAACAATTACATGTACGTGTTTGTTACACCTTTTACACTTAAATTGTGGAAACTTATGATATGATCGCGTGATCGAATATTTGATCAGCATTCCTGGTGTTTTTATACAAGATAATCAACAAACTTTGTTTGTTTTATCAGAAGTAACAACGATATGTGAACTATCTGACGGAATGGATGACGATCAATTGATCCCGAACAACAACATAGTAGATGAAAACGACAATGTGCCAGACGACGTTGAAATGTTGAGACCTAATAGCCGACGTCCATTTTCTGTGACACGTAGTAAAATGACTATCAAATTCTGGCTGATGCCGGAGAGACGAATTGCATCGATCAGATTGATAAATCCCGTTGGCGTACAATCGATTGCTGTTTGGTACATCAGACCTTCAGAAAGAGCATCAAAAGAACGAGTAGTAGTTAAGGTAAAATTATTTTGTACATACTTACACACACAATCAAATGTAAGGAGACAACATGGATATACTTAATTTCTGCGAATTTGCATTTGGATTATAATTATCAATGAATAGAAATATATTGCAAAAGGAATATGAACATAGGAATGTATAGTTGTTCATTGAAGATGGAGAAATTTATATATTGCACTCATGACATCATTCAATTCCACATCTTTTTCCTCTGACTTTTGATACCATTATGTGTTCTATTGTTTTAAGTAAATCACTCATTGCTAATGTAGAGCCAAATCGGAAACAAACTTAATTGTTGACGATTAACGTTGTAAATGTTACAATTTATTAAATTGACTTATTTTACAGAAAGAATCACCAGATAGCATCGTTCGCTTCCCAGGTATGCCTGAAGCTGTTGATATATTACTTGAAGTAGTAAAGAAACCTTCTGCAGACGAAATGAAATTCAGAGTTTCAATAAAAGCATGTTTTGAGGAAGTGACTCCATCAACAAGCAGTTCATCAAGCAGTTCAACTAGCGGCTCAACTAGCAGCTCAACTAGCAGTTCAACAAGTAGTTCAAGTTTGACGTCTGTCCCAGAGACAAGTTCAAGCACATCTAGTTTATACACGACAGGGACAACTCCAGTGTCCACGACATCGACATCAGTTTATCTTACACCAACTACAGTTTGTACTGTCACGGAGGGCATGGATAGACCAAAGTCTATTCCAAGAGAAAATATAAGGGACAATAATGATCGTATACCGCAAGGTGCTGAGAATTTAAGACCTAATGCAGAGAATCCATTTACTGTTGATAGGAATTCTTTTACTGTACGATTCTTATTTAATCCTGCTATTCCGATTGAGTCGTTAGAATTGATCATGCCAAAGAATATTGAAGATATAACTGTTTCATACGTGCGACCTAGAAGTTCTAACAAAATAGAAGTTGTTGAGGTATATGTTCATACATTTGTTGTTGTTGTTTTAGTATGTTTTTGGTCACATTTTAAAAGGGTCACTAAATCAAAAAGATGACTTGATTACTGTTTCTCTATCTGATGTTTAACTGTTTGCAGCTGATTTGTTCTGCATACTATTGATATGATAAACGAAGAAACAATAAATACCAGTCACCAAGCATACGGCTACAGTTTTAAAATTATTTTCAAACATATGTGCGTTTGAAACTTGTATTTCAAACTTTTATCATGACAGTTTTAAGTGAAACACATGCTGCATAATCTCTAATGCCTTCCATTAATTCGATAGAATTGAGTTCCAACTACTGTTTCCTTATTAAGCGCGTACAAATACATGTTCCTTGTTAACCAAACATTGCGTTTCATGAAACGGTACATAGTTGTTTTACATTCTTCGCTACACAAACTCGTCCGTCTGCATATGTTCCAGTTTACCCAAGTTTAACCTTATTATTTAATGAATTGTTATTGTAAAACGAAAATTTATAGTTTGTAGCATGACAAAGGGTTGCAATTTTCACTTTGATACACTTAAAGCGTAATTAAAGAATAATTGTCGAGTAGACGTATAACAAAGCTCTTAATATGCTAAACTAGATGTATGAGTTTGTGTACCTAACATAATTCTATTGTCACTTTTGCATTTAAATACTATTGCGGGATGCATATAATACATGACGTGTACAACAAAATAAATATATCTATCTTTCACCTAAAACATCGTGTTTTTTTTTTTAGAATGAGAACCCGAAGAAGACTGTTCGATTCCCACAACAACCTGACGCTGTAGAAATAGTTCTTACTGTAAACAGACAGGTTTCAAATAAGCCAATGTCTTTCAAAGTGTCTATATTTGCATGTTTTAAATTCGGACCAGAATCGACGACACCAAGAGTTAGTACATTTACCTTGACGCCATCAACTAGCTCTTCCCTGATCAGCACCTCCACGTCAACAACACCTGTATCTACATCCTCTACATCTTCTATAAGTACGAGCACAAGTTCTACTAGTTCTGCAACCAGTTCAACGTCTACACCAGGTCTGTATTATTTCGGTCACTGAAACTATACAGTTTATATTCATTAGTACGTGTTTTTTTTTTCATATTTGCAGTTCATCTAGCGCTTTGCACTTAACAAGAATGTAGATGTGGAAGACATAGAAAATAATGCCTTTTGCTTGATAAAATATCTTTTGAAAATGAATTTAATTAACATTCATTAAGTCACTTAGTTCACGGTTTAATTATGCTATTTTAGTTAGAGCCTTCAATTATTACTTATCAAGTGTTCTCTTTCACACTCTAGCGCCTTGCATCATAAGCAGAGGAATGGACAGCCATTCAGACATCCCCGATGAAAACATCAAAACGAATGACAAGAACGTGAATGAGAAAATAAACAGACTTAGACCGGAACACAAGAACCCCGCAAGGAGTCACAAACCAAACTTCAAAGTAAGAATTGAAATGATGTTTTCTATCTTTAGTTAACAGGACAACAAAGTTAAATGAAAATGTTACGCCTATTTCAAAATATTTGGGCCATTTTAATTTTGGTGGCATCGTTTTCTAGTAAAAATGCTCGACGTATTTTTCGAATGAAATAAGAATGCAATTTTCTATGTATTGAACATAAAAAGGTTAGGTATCGGAACCGAAGAAAATTAATATTGTTTGTCAATAACTTTGCTGGATTTAAAATCATGTTTTGTGTTAATCAGGTAACAATAGACCTACCAAGTGAAGGAGTTCCATTGGACAGAGTAACCCTCCCTGACAACGTTAACATAAAGGCTGTTAAAGTTTACTATAGTCCAGAAGGGCGAAATTCGCTTCTACCTATCAATGGAGACAAGGTTATTTTTTCTAAAATTCCGTTGTTGATTTATTTTTTGGTTTTTGTTCTTGTTGTAGTTAAAGAATAATTGCTACCATCAATATTGTTGTTATTAAAAATGATTCTTGCAAACTTTTTTTTTTACAAGATTTGCTTTAATTGTGGTATTAATAGAAGACATTCATGCACGCCGTCAGCTACGTTCAAAATGGCTGAGAATCATGCAACAGTTGAAACTAATGTCTTCGATAAATTTAAAGTAGGAACAAATTGCGGTGTATTTCTTGCAAAGGAAGAATAAAATAGCTGAAACCTTGAATCTTTCATAAGCGAATAGATTTTCATTGTAATAAAATTAAATTATAACATATTTGATATATAAAGTGTCAATATCTATAAACAGCTTTATCAGAAAAATATGTTTTTCGTTTTTTACTTGTAGCCGGTACCCGCTGATAAGCCAATTAAGATGCCTGTAGGTGTGCCTATTACACGTGTTGTAATTGTTGTGGTTGATAAGTTCATCGAAGAAGACGAAATACGTATATCTATCGAAATCTGGGGATGCTTCGTTCCAGGTACAGTAAACTTGCTGAATTGATTAAGTTGGTCGAAGGGAATTTAAAGTGATACTGATAAAATGAGATACTAGAGCATTCGGATGTATTATTCGTAGAGTCGGTTTGTCTATTTTATGAAATTACGGCAATGTTTATCAAGATCATCATTACGTTATGATTTATTGTTTTGTTACATTTTTATGTGTGACAGAGTATTTCTAATTCTTTATTCTAAACAAGCTGTGAGATCTCGTTTATATTACAAAAAGTCCATAGTTATCACGTTTAAGGTAATAAGTTTTGTTTTATATTAATTGTCAACAATATAAAAACTGGGATGTATTTACGACAATGTCTTTAATTAATAAGCTGTTTCATGTATATCTTTCAAGTGTATTACTCTTGATTTTTTCTAGGAACAACGACTGAATTCGTCACTACACCAAGCATGTACTCTTCAGTCAGTATTCCATGTGAGGCTGAAAGCATGGTTGACAAAGCTGTATATTTACCAAAAGGTAGAACTTTCTTATACTTATATTTACCAAAGGGTAGATCTTTTTTATACGTATATTTATCAAAGGGTAGATCTTCTTATAACGTATATTTACCAAAAGGTAGAACTTTCTTATACTTATATTTACCAAAAGGTAGATCTTTCTTATACCGTGTATTTATCAAAGGGAAAATCTTTCTTATACTGTATATTTACCAAAAGGTAGATCTTTCTTATACGTATATTTACCAAAGTGTAGATTTGCCTTATACCTTATATTCATCAAATGGTAGATCTTTCTTACACCGTATATTTACCAAAGGGTAGAACTCTCTTACACCGTATATTTACCAAAGGGTAGAACTCTCTTACACCGAATATTTACCGAAGGGTAAATCTGTCTTATATTGTACCAAAGATTTCATATTCACGTCTGCCCTGACAACCGCTGGTTAATTCTTCCGTTACTCTAATATTGCACTGTAACTGTAAACAGTTGTGTACTCGAACATGTTTTGCATATCGTGTGTATTATGCTGAACCTATTTTTACCATAGTCCAAACTATTATGATTGGGGTATTGAACCTTTGGAACATGTACTTCTGAAATATATGCATATTGATACTTATATTTTGACAAATGTTTTGAACAAATAAAATTGAAATATAATGCAATGCCCCTCTGAGTCGGGCGCAAATCGTTACCGAACTGTAATGTCAAACACTAAACATTTATCACAGAATTTGATAGTAAAATATCGAAAGTGTTCAGTAAAATATCGAAATTGTTCAGTAAAATATCGAAAGAAACATAGCATTTGAATATGTTTGAAGCAATACCAATGCTTCCATGTAACATAGCCAATTTACAGCGTATTCAGATAGTTTTCCTTTAAACAATTATACGTATTAATTTTTCTATGAAAATTAAGTAGGTACCTGTCTTATCTTTACATAGACAGTTCCGTACGTATATGTATTATCAATATTCTGTTGGTTTATAGCTATTTCTATGTAAATATATATACATGTATATGTAAATATTATGTGTTTGTCTATTTGTTACATAGAAGCGTTGGAGACCAACGATGACAGTTTGGATATCGAGCAGCTGTTACCTGGAAGAACAAAGGGACCTGCTAAATCCTATTTGAGTCATCTTAGGATCACAATAAAATTCAGTGGCGGTGCTGCCCTGGATAAACTGGCTATGCCAACTCATTCAAACATCCTAAAGATCCAGATCATGATCATGTTACCAGGAGAGACTAATCTTATACCATATATGGGAGGAATGGTAAGAGTTTTATGTATACCTAAATTTATAGCGAGAAATTACACAAGTACAGTACAGTACAAGCCAGTCTGATAAAAATCAGCTATTAAATTGACCTATGCTTGTAAATGTAAAAAGATCTGAACTTGAGTCAGATTGAGAAAAATCTCTTTTATTATAGATAAGTATAAATCAAAAGTAGATATTGCTTTGAAAACACGCTTGTGGTAAGGTTAAATCATAAAGTGACGCATACATAATGCGAGCGCCGCCAGGTACGATTTCAAAACGGTGTTATAGTTAAAAGTTCCATGGACGTTATTTAATAGATGCGCGTATTAAAAGGAAAAGCATAGGAAAATAATAAATGTTTGAACTTACCGTTTGACGGGACGCTTTGCAGACAACCAAAAACGAAAAGGATGTACTCGATTGAAAATTTAGGATGCTTTAAACCCGCTGTCAGGTATTCGAATATGAAGGATACCATCAGAATTTAAATATTATCGTATTTTCATTACAAGAAAATATGCTATATGTTGTATTATTCATGTTTATAAATGATTCACTTTCTTCCATAGTCAATAACAGTATCAGATGAACCAATTCAACTGCCTAGTGGCATTATGGCAAATCAAGTCATCATCATTGTCGTAGAAAAGTTAGTGCCCACAGAACCCATCTTCATCACCATCAACATTTGGGCCTGCTTTGACGTCTGTAAGTTTACTTTTTGATATAGGTATGTCGCCGGTTTCCTATCCAACTGCACGTTATAGTTTCTACAGGTCTTGTGTCATGTTTCTTCCGGACACGTGTCATGCGTTTTCCGGTCACTTTGTTTGCTTCTTTCGGTCACATGTTATGTTTCTTCCGGTCACATGTCATGCTCTTTCCGGTATGTCAGAACTCGGCAGTCGATATACCTTTCTTAGATAACTTTTCCAATACCATATTATAAAATACAAAAACGCACTCACGTCAAGATATTTTTGTACTAAATAATGTGAAATAAGACTAGTTAAATGGTATGACAATCAGAAATGCGAAGTATAACAGCAATGAAACATACGTTTCAGTAGAGAAGCATAGCTAATCATACCAATTGAAATTGGTGTAGAGGAAAACTCTATATATTACGAGTTAGCCTTGGTTTGAAAATAGATTTTAAACAGAACAGAAAATACTTATTCGTAACACGGAATCGCGTTCCTATTCCATAAAATTATGCAATATAATTTGAAAATGATATGCTTGTCATAAAGCAATGCATTGCAACTATACTCATTATAAATTTTAAAAAATCAGAAAAAAAAAATATTTTACATAACAATACATTGAACACATGTTCTGCCGTGAAAAATTTTAATTTATTTGCTTTCCAATAAATATGTTTTATTATGTACATTTAGTTATAAGGCACTTAGTAAACAGTTCCATACCGTTACAATGTATTCTTATAAACTATTATTCCGTTATATGAATGTGTAATATTTTATTGAAGTATTTTATTTTACCACACTTTTAAAATTCATTTTGCCACACTTTCAGTCACCACACCAGGGTTCTCCTCTACCACCGGATCAACACCGCCTACATGTGACCAGAAAGTGATAAAGTACGACTCCGACGATGTAATCGTCGGCTCCTCTTCCGAAATGCCGGCAGCCACCGCAATAATGGCCCTAAAGGGCAGTGACTCTTTCTGGTCTCCGAAAAAGGGAGATAATGAAGTTTCACCGTTTGTATTCTTCCAGGTATGTTGAAAGAAGTATACACAAACATAAGGTTACCTATTTCAAATGTATTAAAAGTCAATGCCACCATGTCACATATCACTTTTAACCCTTGACCTGCGGAATGTGTGTAAAGGATTTGCAAAAATGTGAATATAGAGTAGTATAATAAAAGTTTAGTGGATTTCAATAACAAAATACAACAAATGAGCAACCGATAATACTGGGCCTGAACAGATTTTAACGGACGTGCAGGATAGCCTTACTATATATACATGTGTAATAGCAAATATGTACTCCCCTGGCCGCAATTTTGGGGTCATTTTTTAACATATCATATGTTGAAGATAAAATGAAAATCTCACCATCTTAATGAAATTACCTTATTGATGCTATAGTAATATATCCCTTTTTTGTATAAAAAATTGACAATTTAACGAAAGCAACTGTTTTTATTGATTTTTTTTATACTTTGTCATTTATATTAAATAAAATATTCACGTTCAAAATGGCTGCCACTTTTGGCAAGGGAGGTAAATATTGTAAACCTCGGGAACAAATTATACATATGACAAAACATAATCTCTTTCAATGGTTCCACAAGGATCAGGGTTTAAAATATATGAGTTCTATGTATTCAGTATTAAATTGATCTTTGAACATTATTTTCAAAGATAATATTTCAAAATGATTATAAAAAAAGAGTGATTGATTTTGTTTTTGTTTTAAGATAAAGGCAAAGAACGGAAAGGCATCAGTTTACCAAGTGTCATTCACAACGCGATTCTCTAGGTCAGTAATAATCGCCCTATACTCCAAGAATGATAAGAATGTGGATACGAGCGACGTAAGTATATCTTAGTTATTTATCGAACTTTTGACTGAATTTCTTCCCCTTGTGGCTGCGGGGTTGCCTTTACGGGTTGAGCGTCAGAATTTCAACCGCCGTTTAACCATGCATGACCGTAAAAGGCAACTAAATTCGATCCTATGCATTTCTTAGTTCCAGCAGGTGAGATGGTTTTGACCTCTAGTGTTGCTTAATATTTGTAACACCCGAGGTTAGCGAAATCATCTTCCCTGTTTGACGCCATATGACCTAAACTGTGTCGGTGCGCCGTAAGACCAACAACCAGAACAAAACTAATAAATGAGCCGTGTCACGACAAAACCAACATAATGCGTTTGCGACCAGCATGGATCCAGACCAGCCTGCGCATCCGCGCAGTCTGATCAGGATCCATGCTGTTCGCTTACAAACTCTATAACAAGTAGAGAAACTGATAGCGAACAGCATGGATCCTGATCAGACTGCGCGTTTGTCGTGACGCAGCTCAAATGTCTCGAATATCTAAATGAATTTATCGTGTTTTCATAGAAATTTGATCGATTGTTCAGATAAATTTTTCAAACATTTAAATAAATTAAGGTAGAATACTGTAAAGTGAATAACGACAGTAAAATTTGCACACTGCAAATGGTACTTTTAATCCACTTAAATTACCAAAAATGTGAAATACGAAAAAAAAAAATAGCCTTTACTGGGTGAATAACACAGACGAAAAAAGGTGATAAATACTGCAAAATCAGACAAAAAACCGCACGTATAATTTGAATTATTAATATAATCTTTTTCTTAACTGTTCTTAAAATCTTATAACATTGTGCATTTTTCTCAAGTTTAATTATCTTGAAATACTTTTATCTCATCTTGAGGCATACAGCTTTAATATGCATAACAAAACGAATGCACCCTAACGACTTAATTTTGCATAAACACGATTTTTTCTAACCATATCGTATCTACTTACCTTAGAAAATCAAATGCGACACACCAATCCACCATAAACACATCACCTACAACTTTTATGGCCAAACTGGAGACAAGATTTATATCTACGTACAGCCTATAAAGAAGACACAACCTCAAATCAGCAACGTACAAATACACGCCTGTTACGAGGAAGAAACAAGTAAGTTTAAACCTAAATAAACAAGAAAGTTAAAACCTGAACTTACTAAATTTGTGTACTGGTAGTGGATTTATCTGTCCGTTAATAATTAGAATTTTATCAAAATTAAAAAAAAAACACAAAATTTTACTTACCTACAGTATAAAGCCAAGTCTGACTGTTGGAATATTGCTGGCAAAGGTTAAATAACCATATTGCCCCTGAAATGTTATCAGCTTTATTTCCAGAAAACTTTTGAAACCTTGTTACAGTTTCGGTTTCCAAAAGTACCTCATATGCCATTTAAATGGAACTACCTTTTTGCTTTTTCTGCTCTGTTCGCGAGCACTAAAATAATAGCAAATTAGTAGTTTGTATGGAAATCAAAATACTACTTTGATTTTATCAATTAAACATTCAGTGCTACTGTCTTAGCTGTTGCTCTAAATCCATTGTTAAGACATTACTGAACACCCGTTTTATCTTTCCAAATAATTAAAAGAAGTTATGGATTTCTGAGGCATGATGTTTCTTTAATAACCAACAGTTCCAGAAGTTACTATCTTCACTTTTTAAATAGCTTTTTAAGCACGCTGGCATGATAGATTTTATTCTTATGTCTCTTAGCTAGCCGTACATTGTTTTCAGGCAAGAGTGGGCTCTTGTAACCATACAAATTATTATGCGGGCTTTTTTGCCGATAGCGAAAATCAAAGGAATGCTCGTACAGTTTAATATATGATGTAATAAATTTTGGAAGAGTAACATTTGCGGACATTTGTACCTGATGAATCTAACGCAAACATTCTTGTGTTAATGTATATATTGTATATATTTGAGCAGAGACATAGATAGTTATCTATGTCTCTGATTTGAGAGAGGCAAATATCACCGCGTTTTAAATAAACGAAACGCAGTTTTATTTTTTTTCTTTGAATTTGTTATAGGATCTACAACTACACCGGAAATAACAACCCCCGCTCCCCCAACATCTCCCACAACGCCGAAAGTTTGTGCGTCAATGTGTGACGAAGGCTCCACGTGCTTATCCTTCGATGAGGTAAATACTACAAATTTTATCATTTTCTTTTAAAGATCCTGTAACACAATTTTTTATGGTTTTAAATAATAAATATGATGCTCAAATTAAAATTTATTAATATCGTAGGTTCCAAAAAGCATTATTTATAAAGATATCACCGAATTTAATATTTCATGTAAATAAAGGGAGGTAATAAAAACTTTATTTTCTATAAAGTTTAAGTCAAATTTTATAATAAGAAATAAATGCATATATTTAAATGATTACATATAATATGCACAAATATTTGCAGTACATTTTTTACATATTATTTGATGTTTGAAAATATAAGTTTTATTTGCATAATTATGTAGATTCTACATATATAAAACTTCACTTACTGTGGTTTACCACTTTGATCACAACATACAGGATCTTTAAATTATCAAGTATCCATTTCACGTAACAATTTCGTCTGCAGATTGTGTATCTATTGATTAAGCCTGATATTCGTCTGCATAGAAAAAAAATATATTACAAAAGAGACAGAGGTTCCGATATTCATTGCGAATAACACTTCCGACAGTGATAATGTCTGTAATGCCGTCCTAAATTCCTCACAGCAGTTTCTTCCCGTGATCGGGTTGACGCCGTTCTTCACCGTACTCCGTCGGCGCCAACGATGCTATAAAAAGTCTCTTACGTTTAATATTTTTTCAATCTAATAGTGACTATACCTTATGTGCCTTATAATTCGTCAATTTATCATTAACCATATTAAACTTTGAGTTTGTTTTAAAATTGTACAGATATGTGATGGCAATTGTGACTGCTTTGATTGTACGGACGAAGATAATTGTGGCACCACACCATCTGTACCAGACGGTAAGTAAATCATTTAAACTTAATCAATCAGAAACAAAGTCAAATTAGCAATTTGAATTTATCAAGCAGTCATTAATTCAAGATAGTTTGAACAAGGACACTTAATTATTCAAATTTTCAATCAAAACTTTATTCATACACGTCCATAGTCATATGAATGTGATTTCGATGTAGTATATATGCAATATACAAGATTCGGAAAACAAAAACAATTATGTGACTATATACTATTACGTATATTATAATACTGTTGTGAGTATGGGCTTTATCCATTCTTCATATAAATATACTACAAGGGTAATCATGTACATGTACCTGTATTTATGTAAACGAAATATCAATCTAAACTTCCGTACATGTAGGTGAATGGGGTACCTGGAGCCCATGGAGCAAATGTAACTGCCAAGGAACAATCACACGTGTACGCCGATGTGACAACCCGAAACCAAAATATGGCGGCAAATATTGCAGAGGTCCGTCTGCTCAAACCATGGAGTGCGACCGACCAGACGAATGCGACAGTATGGATTTTTTTTTGCTTTATTTTTACTATTAATGTTTATATGGGTTGATATGATTTTGGGGTTATTTCTAATTCAAGAAATGTTTTAAGTTATATAGATTTATAATATGTTATATGGCCTTATATAAACGATTGCTTGTAAATATAACCCAAGTCCTTATTTTGCATATAAATGTTTTATACGGCCCCATATAACCTGTCAAGAATCTGTGTAACGAATTTATAATACTGCAAACATTCTTTATTAGAGAGAAACTTACTTGAAATTAATTCTGAAATCGACTGCAGCGGTGTATAAAGATTATAAAATCGTCACGGTTATCCAATTAAAATCGACTTGCCCCTCACCTTTGTGGGTTCGAATCCCGCCAGGGATTCGTTCATGTGAAGAAGCTACCAAGCTAGCTTACGGAACGTCGGTGGTTCTACTCAGGTGCCTGCCTGAAATAATACACGGAAGGGCACCTAAGATCTTCCTCCACCAGTAAAGCTGGAACGTCGACATATGACCTATACTTTGTTGGTGGTGTGACGTAACCCCCCCCCCCCCCCCAAAAAAAACCAACATGTATACTATGGTGACCTTTAATTCATCGCGCCTGTTTCTCCCCTCTCACATCTGAAGAACATAATTATGAGCAAAATGTAAAATTGATTGGTTAGTTTGCGATACTGTGAGCATTCTGATACAATATCGTACTCGCTGAATGTTTGGAGTTTATCATTTTGTCATGGTTGAATCCAAGATAATAATGGCAAATTTAAGCCATGGGAAGCTATGAAAGGGTAGTTTGACATCATTGAATTTAAAAAGCCAAATGGTAGAGCGAAGACATTTAAGGTTGAACACTCTTTTTATAGAATGTGACATGGGCTACGCCCCAGTAATGGATGACGATGATGACGTAGTTACCTGCGGAGGTTTTACTAACCAGAAATGTCCAAAGAAGAACGACACATGTGTTCTGTACCCAAGATCAACCCGTGGTGCTTGTTGTAGGCCAATAGGTAATGTATATTGTACATAATAAGCTTACTTCAACACATTCTAAATATTTCAGCATGAAATTCATAAATGATATTCTATTCTTAAGGAGATATATTTCATAGCAAGGTATATAAATGTTATTTCAAAAGCTGGTATAGATTCGGTCAACTCCGTCGCTTTTCGTACATAGTATATCAGTTCGGAAAACAGCTTTTTATTCTCGTGTTTGCATTGGCGCTTTATTTATAAATATAGAAACGAAGATTAAATTTAATCCTGAACTCTTTGGTAGCTTACATAATTTCATATAAACATTAAGGGGACATGGTACCATATCGATCTTTGATAACAATGCAAATTTGTTTTCGATGCAGTTACCGACATGTTATCTTAATTTTTATTGAATATAAGAACTGCTTGCGCGGGAAAATGTTTTGCACACGGCTTGCTTTTGATTTCGTTACATGCAATAAAGAATAACTTAGTATTATTTCCTTACAGGCCTATTACATTCCAAAATTGAAATAGCAAATTAGAATGGCACAATGTATACGTATTTTCTGCATCAAACAAGTATTTGCCAGCTTATAAAGCCTTAACTTTTTTATTATCCTTCATTGCAAAAGTAACAAGAGTTTTCTTCAGAAAATACGTACATCCGGGCTGTATGCATATGCGTACACAGTACGTATAACAAATCAGCATATAATACAGTCAAATGGTCAATGTTGAAACTTTATAAAACATACATCATGACGTCACACAGTATTTTTTAACAATAACAAGCATTACTATCAACTATATACATTGTTTTATTAGACTTCTGGACACAATGGGGTGAATGGAGCTCTTGTTCAAAGACCTGCGGTGCTGGCGTCGAGACTCGAACGCGTACCTGCACAAGTAAAAACCCAGAAAGAGATTGTTCGGAGGATGATTCGGACACAAGAAGATGTAACGAAGGACCATGTGAAGGTACATTGTTGTCCAGTTTTACACAAATGAGTCAATTAATTAAAACTTATAACTTACTTTACATATTATTCTTGCCTATTGTTTAGATATTTCATGTTACCTTATTTATGTATTCAGCAATATTGACGATATGGCCCGAGTGGTTCAGGTGTCGGACTAGTAATGTATGATCGCTAGCTGCATGTATCCAACCCCCGTCAGGGGCAAGTCGTTGTGTCCTTGAGCAAGAAACTTTACACTCATTGCTTAGTACTGGTTGGTTCCATGAACAGATTCGAAAGTGTCTATAAGCTTATAACGTCGAATAACAATCGAACTAAAATGAATTCTTTGTAAACGAATGACATTGAATTTATCATTGGAAGGTGTATTGACACAAATCTATTTCATATTCAGGCCGGGAATCGTTCGCAGTAAATCTCTTTTTATGTGCGGTTAAGATATTTTCTTTGACAATTTAGTTCGTTTCCTAGGAAGTTAATTGTTACACTGTCAATATTATGTACTATAAAAGATGGTTTATAGGTTTTTTCTTCCTAGACCATAAATAAACTGGTTTCATATGCATATGTATATGTTTTGTTTCCATTGCAGTTGAAACAACTCCATCTTACACAACTTCCGTTACACCATACGGCCCAGACGGTATGAATACTTCCTATATTCTATAAGTTTTCTTATCTATATGAGATATAAAGAGGTATAGAAATGCCTTGAACAGAAATATATTCTTTTATAACAATTCCTCACCTTGTGGCTGAGAGGTTGCCTGTAAGGGTTCATGCATCAGAATTGAATCAAGCTTATAGAGATTGGATGGCCCTCTTCCAAGATGTGGCAACATGTGTTTAAAATAGATCATGGCCGCGTTAATTTATTGCCATTCTAAATCAATGAAAAGCCTTTCCTTGAAACATTTTCATGTAACAAACGCCATATCACTACATTGCGCTTTTTCAAATAGAGTAAGGCGTTTTTGTCATACCAGTGTGCATAGACTGCATTTTGCCTGTCATTATGTGTTAAATTCAGTGTTTAAAATAATTTCATCATTTTTTTTCAGGTGAATGGAGCTCGTGGTCACCATGGTCACGTTGTTCAAGGTCATGCGGTGAAGGTCGTGAGACACGATACAGGGAGTGTAGTGATCCTGCCCCAGGACCTAATGGCAAACCATGTACAGGAAACGCCGAGCAAGAAAGAGCATGCAAAAAGAAGGATTGTCAAGGTGAACAGATTGTTAAAACTTCAAATTTAAGTAAAGTTATAACTGAAATTCCTTAGACCTGGAATGGACTGTTATTAATTTGAATAGGGCTAATCGTATCAGTTATACAAATTAAGTAAGTAAAGGCTAAACATGAATACCATTTATAAAACTATATGTTTCTGTATGTCAGGTCCACCTAACTGGTCTCCATGGGCACCATGGGGAGAATGTGATGTCCACTGCGGCACAGGCATGCGAACTAGATCAAGGTAACACACTCTTGTCTTATATAACTACTTTACATCTATTCAAACCAGTTGACTCCCCTAGTATTGCAAACTCCATTTACTAAAATTTGTTATATACCTTTTTTTTAATTCTGAAAATAATTGTTATATTTCAAAATTGGGCAAACAGCTAAGCTAACAGCCGTGTTTTATCATAAAATAAAAAATATTTTGAGCCTAGATTAAAAAAAACAAATCGAACCTATTTATATCAGGCGGTTACTATAAATAAACCTGAATTTACGCATGCGCACATCTTATCAATTTTTGTTTACTCAGAGCATGTGACAGCCCGGCACCAGCACCAGGTCAAGACCCTTGTCCAGGAGACGATGTTGATACGGAGATTTGTACTCAACGGCCATGTGAATGTACATTTACTATGACTGGATTTGAAAACATATTTGGCTACGAACCGTCTGAACAAATCGGTAAATTGATAAATTCATTGTAGATCTGGATTTCCTTTATTTTTCCCAGTTTCTTTATTAGAAAAGTATTAATTTGTCCGAATTGCTCTCAGTGTAATATCCATAGAAAGTAAGAGTTTATGTTTTTTTCAAAACAGGACAATTTTTATATCAAAATATACATATTCATGTTAAAAATAATTGAGAAACAGAGTAAAATGAAAAGAATATGAACTTATCCTATGTTATTAATTATTTTTATTTATTGAATCATTTAATTTATAGAGTTTATGTTTCCAAATTTGTATCAGTATATACTTATACGTTTTGTAAAGATTCATTTTTTGTCAAACGAAACAAAAGAACTTCACTCCAGAAATAAGTATAATTATGCAATATTTACTCCTCATTTTCCATGCACCATTTTGCCATGCAAGTGGAGGCTTACAGCAAAAAGGGAGGTAACAATTTGAAATAAATGAAAGTATATTGTGTCAATATTACTGTTTTCTAAAGGTTGGGTTGAAAGTGATGGAACATACGGTCCAACAAGCCCAGACGAAGATGTCTTTATTGATGATACGTTCGAAGATGGCGTCGTTGTACACGTGGACTGCAGCAACTGGTAAGATATTTCCTGACAATTTTGCCGAAAACACTAAACTTGTTGTCAGGTTTTGTCACGTTGTTGTCAGGTTGTACAGATTAACAGCGTTAATGCTTAAAAACTGCCCAGATATTCTACCTGGCAATTAAATTAAAGAAATTCTGAAAATATCATACATGCTATTACAGAACTCGCGTTTGTTGAATTTAGCTTAAGTTAAACATTAAGTAATAAGTGTCTCTGTGTAGTGAACTTAATTAGGCCTACCAATCATTAGGTTCGAAGATTTCGAAACCCGTGCAAAATGTACGAAAACATGGTCACATGTAATCTTCATTGGTAAAAGGCTATTCATTTAAAGTGAACATTTGCCCCTTTCGTCAATGGAAGTCTTTAATGGACATATCCATCTTACAATCAGGACAAAACCCATTCATCATATTAAGGGAAAATTCAATACGAATTCAAAAGTACTGACTGCATAGCAAACAATGCAGAACATGCATAAAAATTTCAAGCTGGTCCTGGTCTTTATTAGTTTGAACTGGTTACCCACTGAAGCTTATCTGGTTACCCACTGTAGCTTAACTGGTTACCCACAGTAGCTGAACCGGTTACCCATTGTAGCTGAACTTGTTACCCAATGTATCCAAAACGTAGTTTTATTCATCGTTTGAACAAACAGCGTGTCTGTAAGATTATGACGTCCTACATAACCGAGCTAGAATACATTCTGTATAAAATACAAAATTATTTTGTATTATTTCAGTACCTGCGACGAAGGTATGATTGACTGCCAAGTTGGTGATTGCGAAGGTAAAGTGCTTTTTATATTAAGAATAGTCCTTAAACAGTTAAAGGAACTCCACTGAGTTATAAAAGCCTAAATAAAATATGAAAAAGAATTTCTTACAAAGAACAGCTTACAACAGATATACTAAAGATATTGTGCTTCTAATACAAATTCTTAAATGTTAACAAACTTTTATTTATATCGGCTACATCCAATTATTCGTTTAAAGTGAGCAAGTATCAAGCGATTTGATTTAATATGAAATAAAGAAGAAATTGGTCGGGGATTTCAGATTTAGTTCGCTATAGCGATAATTCGTCATTAACGAGTTCGTTTTAAGTAACGTCGACTGTTTATTTTTCAGAGTGCACATACTCTAAATGGAGTAAATGGACAGACTGCTCGAAATCTTGTGATGTTGGTCAAAGGCAGAGAACTCGCCGTTTGAAGGACAGTTCTAGACGTGCATCTAAATGCAAGCCTGTACTTACCGAGAGAGAAGATTGTAACCTTGACCCATGTCCGAGTAAGTTGTGGGGTTTTGTTTTCTATTGTTTATATTGTTAAAAATGACATATTTAAACTAATTTGGTCTGAAAGTAGAAAAGTTACGGCATGTCATTTGGTTGTTCAACCTATATCGCTTGTGCGACTAAAAAATTTTATGTCAATTTGACCAACTACATGTATCTATAGAAGATCAGTGTTTCAACTTCTTAAAAGTATGCTCTACTGCTTTGTATTTTATCGTTGAACATCCCAAAAGAACGCATGTAATAATTTTATTTTTTTTACATTTATCACACGTTTATACATATTATATACATGTATAATAAATGTGCCTAAAAATGCCTTTGATTTTTATAGTTTCTTTAGAAAAAAGAATTTTCTGTAAGGATTCTAACATCTTTCTACATTTTTACTGCAAAAAATATAAAATAAAATAAACCGGGAAAAAACTTTTGCACGTTTTGTTAATAGCCGTCATGCCTCCGGAATGGAACACGTGGTCGTCATGGAGTGACTGTACACCGGATGCACCGTGCACGTTCGGCACGAGACAGAGAAACAGGATGTGTAATATACAGCCAAACAGCAACTGTTACGGTGACGCTGTGGAGACAAAACCGTGCGAAAACCCGTGTGTTACAAGTAAGTAATTTTATTCATATGTTTTATGCTTTTGACTTAAGAGGAGTTTGATTTGAGAGGTGTTTGAGTGGTTGTGGGACCTCGTACTTGGGATAAATGAAACTTTCACTTTTAAAATTGTGTACTTTATTTATTATAAGTCTTACTCAAACGAATGTGACTGAAATATTCAATATTTAAATATTATGTCACTGAATATGTTTAATGTCACGTTATGATTAGTGTTGATGTGACATAAATAACGGCAAACTTTAGTGCAGTTGATTCAAAAGACTTTTATAATTTCTTTATAGTTTCTTTTACACGAAAAGATGTTACAAAAGAAATATTCATAAAAAATCACTTGTCAAACACGTGCCAAACGGCTATAATTAGCAACTCGTGCATTAGTAAAATTTAAATATATTTATCTTATAGCCCCAGCTCAGTGTGACCATAATATGGTATGGAGCAATTGTGCCAACAGATGTCCACACACGTGTATGGACGTAAGACTCGGCACGTGCACTGAAGACGAAGATGACGAATGTGAACCAGGTATAAATAGAATATGCTTTAGAATTAATGTAAATAAAAGAAGTCTAAGAACGTTAAAAGCAACGGTGCGTGAAATAGAGGATATTGAATGAGTGTAAGTTCAATACTGAATTTATTGCACGAGTTGAATAAAATGATATTATGCGAGCCTCTGGCGAGCATAATATTATTTAATTCAACGAGTGCAATAAATACAGTATTGAACTTACACGAATTTAATATTCTATTTATCACATTACCAAAATAAAGACCGTTTTAAGTGAAATAAGAATCATTTTACATTGACACGCCTATAGTATAACGCTAACATTCAGCGCGTCTTTACACTATGTTTGCACAACGCTAATGACGTCACGTCAAAATATATGCACGGCCGTGCAATACCATTTTTACGGAGTCGCAAAATCGGCACGGGTGTGTGATAAAAAGCGTTACTGTGCCGAACTTTAGAACATTTCTGATGCGTGTTTAATGTAAACATATATAAAATGACTATTTTGATGAAGTTGTTCCAGTATGGTATCAGACAGATGTTTCCACACATTTCATTCTCAAAATTTAATGAATTTTTATCTGAATGATATATCAATAAACAATTTTGCGCAATTCAAAATACTTAACCAAAAGACCATAAAGGAGGTATCAAATATTTTCTCCAATTAAGCAAATTAACAACACAAAATTTTCCAAACTGAGCTAGGTACCTTTTCCTAAAATGGCTAGCAAAAGGCTTGTTGGTACTCAATTGGAAGGTTAAAATTGTAACTGCATCAAACTTACGTTTAAAACTGTTTTTATTCTTTATTTCAAAGGTTGTACATGTCCCGACGGTGAGGTATTGTACGACGGTGAATGCATAGTAGAGAAGAAATGCCCGTGCTACGACGAGGACGGAAACGTTATCTTGCCAGGCTTTGAAATTAACAAGACACCCTGTGAAACTTGGTGAGCCAATAACGAATATTTTTATAACATTTTTTGTTTTAATTTCAAATTAATCTTATTTAAAGTGCCTTTTATTCTACATGTACATATTATAAGCTAATTGCTAATTTCACGGAAATGTATTTGATTGTTTATGTTTTAAGTTAAACTATGAAATACAGATTGTATATTCATATGTGCAATGTATTTTATAAAAATATATTTTCTTTGAATTACAGCGTCTGCAAGAACGGAGAAATGGACTGCCATAAAGATCCTGACTGTAAGTTTATATAAGTTATTTATTGCATTTTAAACCAATGAAAATAAGCGCGAATGAAATATTGATTCAGTTATTAATAAAAGGAAAAACATTGAAATAATGTGAATGCTAAAATCACCAAATAAGACCAAGGCTTTGAAATATAGGGTGGTTTACGTTTTCGCATTAGAGTTAAGTTGATCGATGCAGTTTTGAAAGTACTTTACAACAACTATTTCAACGGAAAAGAACTTGATTTGGAATAGATTTAAAAAAAAAAAATTCCCTTGTTGATCATAATTCTCATATATTTCTTTACTCTCTTAATTCATCAGGTTGTGAGTGGGAGACCTGGGGACCATGGGGAGAATGTAGTGATACCTGTGGCGAGGCTACTAGGAACAGATACAGGTAAATTATGATTCCTAAAGTCTTAACGTACGGTAGTCGGTGTATTTCTTTTACTGGTTATCTTGTGACAACGCAAAAAAATCAAAAGTACGATAATTCCGGTTATAAAATACAACACGTAATTTTGACATGCTTTTGAACTTTTCGTTCCGCTACTTGAAAAGTAATGTGCATGACATTGACATAAATAAGCAACCATTCTGTGTGTACCTACCTACGAATTGATTCTTCAGAAAATATATTTAAAGAATTGGGGAAAAGGCACCTGTTTTCCTGAATATGTAACATAATATCAGAGCTTTAAGATACAAAAGTTTAATTCATTGAATCAGAATCTCAGTCTTGCTTTGAAATATAGAGCTTAAGCTCAATCTATTACAAAATATGTAGGCCTAAGATTATGCAATTATGTTATTAGTGGGCATAATATATATAAAATTTTTCCATTCATGCTGTAGAATTTTGATGAATGGCGATCCATACACATGTGGTGAGAAGGTTGACACAGAAGATTGTCCGAGAAAACCATGTCCAGCGGATTGCGTCATTCGTGGCCAACCGTATCACATTGGTGACGTCACTAAAGAAGAAGGCTGTGAAGTCTGCCACTGCACAACAAAGGGAGAACTTTGTGAAAATGATACACATGCCATTGGTATATATATATCTTACTTTTTTGTCCCACGCAATATTCTAACCTTCTAATGCGCGTATGAATTTCACCAATTGTTTTAATTTCACCAATTGCGTCATTTCCGGAGATAGCATTAATTCAGGTCACACGGAATAGCGTTATTTATCATGTTCTACATTACATACAAAATATGTGACGAGTTTTCACAGTACATCCGGTGCAATATGTTAACAAAATAGTTATGTTTTATTCATACTTCACTATTTCCTTTCAGTTGACGGTAACTGGTCCGAATGGAGCTCGTGGAGCACGTGCAGTAGAACGTGCGATGGTGGCGTAACCAATAGATACAGGCAATGTAATGACCCACTTCCTCAGTGTGGTGGCGCACCATGCAAGGGACGTAACTCTGACAATAAACCATGCAACAGTGATGTGTCTTGTGAGTATTATAAGAATTACATGTATGAGTAATGTCAAACGAATTGCAGGATATCATAATAGTAACAATATAATTAAAACATAAAATGCACCAGTTGTGTATACATATCTGTTCTGTTCAACAAACACCACGGTGTCCTAGAAACGATGTCCTAGAAAAGCCTAAAACGATAATTATAATAGAATATAAATGTAGCCTATAATTGTATTGAAGATTATTTTGTAAAGCTATAATTAAAAAACTGAGAGGGATGCGTATAGATGTAATAATCATTAGATCACAGATTGACTTAATACATGTACAAATGTAATCTTCGACGTTATAATTATATAAAATATTACTAAAATTGCAAAAGTTTGAGAAGAAAAAAAATCACTGCTAAATACCAATGAAATCATAAACTTTTGCACGTCTCGTATGTTTATGTGTTACAGGCTGTACGGTTTCCGCCTGGAGTGTATGGTCTGAATGTTCTACCACGTGCGGTAGAGGAACCAGGACACGTGCACGTGAATACGAAAATGGCGCCAACAGTGACGATTGTTCAAAGGTCTTACAAGAAACAGAATCTTGCTTGGAGCACGAGTGTGACAGTAAGTTATAAATATAATACAAATACGTATTCATGAATATTTCATTGTTATAAGGAGTAGCAAAATTACCAAAATTCATTACATAAAAAGTGAAATATGATATACGATTAATCAAATGATATTGTGAAAGAGAAATGTAAGTGACATATGATATAAACAATTAATCAAATAATCTTGTTACAGTGAAATGTAAGTGAAATATGATATACAAATAATCACAGTGAAATGTAAGTGAAATATGATATATAATTAATCAAATAATCTTGTTACAGTGAAATGTAAGTGGAATATGATATACAATTAATCAAATTATCTTGTTGCAGTGAAATGTAAGTGGAATATGATATACAATTAATCAAATAATTTTGTTACAGTGAAATGTAATGTTACCCAATGGTCGGATTGGTCGGATTGTTCAGAGGATTGCGGTGTTGGCCGAAAGACCAGAACCAGACGCATTCGTGGACCGGAACTTCCGGATTGTCCAGACCTCAACGATTCTGCCTTATGCTATAAGAAAGCATGTCGTAAGTTTTACAAACATTTTTACTACTATTAGATAACCTATTTACAGAGTTAAATCACAAAATGCTATGAAATGCTTACGAAAAGAATAAAAAAATATCTGGATATTGGTCGTGTTCTGAGGTTTTTATTTTTTATTTATATTTATTAGTAAGAGTATAAGATGGGTTCATTAAATACATGTCTTTACTAATGTTAATAATAAGTTTTATGACTTCCATACTTTGCAGTGTCTTCATTAAAGATTTTTACAATGTTGCTAATGGATTATTTTGCTCGGCTTTTTTGTATAAATCGCCTCTACGAAAATAAAATATTCTTAGGGGTTTCTTTTGCGTTCACAAATTAGCAAAGGCTCTTATTTTTATCAAAAAAGGCTGCGGACCTAATGAAGAATATTCCAACCACACGTTGTGTGAGCACACTTGTGAGAACAGACTTAGTGGAGTACCTGAAAACTGTGAGGAGAAACTTAAGGACGGCTGTGTCTGCGAAGATGACTACTTCCGTGACGAGAACGGTGATTGCGTGAAAATTAACGAGTGTGACAAATGCTTTGTTGACGGTGAATATAAGAAGGTAAATGTTATTTTTATAGCAATAAAAGTTGAGCCATTTTATAATGAAATGAAGGAGTTGTAAACGATAAGAAAGCATTCAGTCCTTCTGACGGCTTTTATCTTTCATCTTAGTTTATAGACGCTTATTAATTAGTATAAAAAATGAAAGTGAATATCAGTTAATGTGTTAATGTAGCTCACCTAACCTATATGTTTGACAATTGAACAATGATTTTGTTGTTACAGTCTGGCGAGACCTGGCCATCCGAGGACAACGAATGTTCCGTTTGTGAGTGTATCGCCGGAAGTGTTAAATGTACACCAGTCTGTGAAATACCTGAATGTGGCGAGGTAAGCATTCCATTAATTGATTGATTGATTGATTGATTGATTGATTGATTTATCTGTTTATTTATTTATTTATTTTGTTAAAAAAAAGATTTTTGTTACTTGTATTGCTACCTAAAAGAGTTAAATTGAATCAAGAAAGTCTAAGTAGCTGTATACGTATATATCGTGTAATATGAAAAAGACAAATCAGTGCAGCCCAAGAATTCTTCTTTTCATTTGTTAATACATTGATATCACCGGAATTATACTCGATAAAATAAGAAAAGTTAAGTTAATTCACAAACTTATATATATTCGATTTCAGGGTGAAGTACTCAGCTACGACGTACCAAACCCATGTTGCCCAAGATGTGTTGAACGAACAGGTAATTCATTGTTACAAAATACATATACTGTAAAAAAGATAACATTGTATAGAATTGTGCTAGTTTCTCTTGTTTCCTTAATGTCAGTTTTACGCCAGCATTGTATACTTAAGAGAACAAACTCTAATCTTTTAACACAATGAAAATTAAATCAATTGCTTAAACTTGACCTTTTGCCGAAATATTCGTGAGTCAAAACTTGTGAGCTTTTAAAGTGGCACAATGTCCATGACAATTTTAAATACAGATGAAAACAATATAAATATTATGTTCTTATAATGTTTTAAAAAAAATATTGCTAAATTGCATGAACGCTTCTATATTTGATACTAAATACGATCAACGTAATTATTTATTGTATTACATACATTGAAGTATAGACTAATTCACGTTAATGTTAGTACACACTTTTCTTTATAGACGAATTCACTTTTAAAATTAATGGTAGTACACACTGTTCTTATTTTAAATATATACCACATCAATATCTTTCTTTTAATGGCAGTACAGAATCATTCACATTATTCTAACCACGCATTTTTACTTCTTTCAAGATTCGTGCACATTGTACAAACGATCCGACTACTTGGAGGATCCAAGTCATTTATGCCGGTCCGTATCCAAGATAGAGTTCACATATTGCGAGGGATCATGCGGTAATAGTACTTCAGTCCCAATGCTTCTTGCCAAAACCGATGCCATGCTTGACAACGAGTGCAGGTGAGTTAATCACATTTAATATTTCGAGAGCTAAATTCTAAATGAGGCTGGTATTTCTTAAGCACAAAAAACAAAACAAATGAAATGGTATACATTTTCGAAGTTTAAAAGTGGCCCAGTGTAAAACAAATCTTTTAAACGCTTCGAACCACAAGATAAAGACTTGTAAACATTTCAGGTCTAAAACAACGTCTTACTTTTAGAAAGTCTAGAGGAAATCTAGTCTGTATTGCACGGGACTGTTGGAGAAAAAGTTCCTCAAAACCAAATGCAAAAGAGTCAAACAAACTCGAATTTCAAGAGTAAAAGTAGTTCAAAGTATTTATAAAGGGTCAGAGGTTGAATTTGAAAATGGTTCACTTTTTGAAACTATTTTTAACTTTCTTGAATTTGTCTTAACAATGCTTATGAAGTTAATATGGAGACATAGAGTGTAAGTGCTTACCACTTTAGTGTTAAACTTTGGTCCTGAATGTTGAATGTCTGAACATTACGCTTACGTAAAATACTCTTTAACACTTACGTATGCCATATACTTGAACAAGTATTTCATATGTATAGAATAATCGTAAACATATTTTGAGAATTTTGCTTGAGCAACACAGTAACATTAATCAATAAATGACAAATGTGCAGTAATTCTTTATCATTGTGTCAATTTTAACTTCCGAAATTGACGTAATTATATTTGATTTTATTAACGTTTGGCTGTTTGTTACGTCATCAGATGCTGTACGGGTGACGTCAGAAGTTACAAGGAAGTGAACGTGCTCTGTGGTGAAGGTAAATCTCAGAAATTGAAGACCATGTTCGTTCCTGTAATAGCTGCGTGCAGTTGTCAAGTTTGCCAAGGAGTTGCCAGACCTCGTGAGTGACAGTATTTTCTTTACATTTTACCTGTGATTCATAAAATATACCAGATATATTTTATAAGTAATACACTGGAAAATATGCAAAGTATACAGTAGTGACATTATTTATTTCATTTTAAAGTAGTGATAATTCCATCTTTAAATGTTTGTCAAAATTCAGCAAAATAAGTTGGTTTGGAAATATGAAAAATATTCTCATTGCCTGTGTAATCATGTTACCATGATTATGTAATGCCAAAATAAGGCAAAGTAGAATTTTATTTTACAAGATACGTTTACATATATCAAATGCACATAAGATATTATTTGTAATTTCACTTTTTTATTAAAACGATTGTTATTACGTCATGTGAAAGAAAAATTACTTAACTTCTTCCTTATCTACTAATTTCATAAATATATCAATGATAATGATGATAATCGTAACGATGATGATAATGACTGACATAATCTATTTTGTTCATTTTCAGAAAATGGACCGTCCCAAGGAAAATAGACTAACCACGAATAATCAACCAAAAATATACCTAAACCCCGATCGACCTACCATGGACCGTTATAACCGACTACGATTTTAGCCAATTTTATATATTATGATTTACCGATGCCGACCAAGAAATGCGATAAACTTTCTCCTGTAAATAGCCCCCCTGCAAAGATGAAAAATACAAAAAATAATCCCCCAGTGATAAAAAATAGACATTGTACATAGTTAAACAAAAAAATGTGTAAAAAATACAAATTTAAAGATGGCATTATAAAATAAATGAAAAAAAAATAATAAAATAGAAAAAATAGAAATTGTTTGTTTTTATTTTTTGTCATAGTATTAAGGTGTTTATAATCAGGAATAAAAGCCTGTATCCTGATATTTAATCACAGAAACATGAAATTTAGATTATCACAGCGCCTTTAAAACCAATACTATACTTTCAATTATTTGGAAGACGATATCGAAAGTGAATAACAGCATGAAAGTGCTTTTGACTTGCATTCAAACTTACCTGTACATAGAACTAGCATTAGATATCAAAGTACGCCAGAAACAACAACGTAAAGCGACGTATTTTTGAAAATTGCACATTTTGTGACGCGTAATATGACGTCAACACACGGCGTAATCCAGTTCCTTCCTAAAACACGTGGTTATTGGTTAACTGCATAATGTCCTGCACCTATGACCTTCATGAAACATAAGCTTCATCCTAGTGTGTTGTTTGTTTTAAATGAAGCGTAAATAGTTTCCTTAAAGTGGCAAGCCCATTCAAAGATATATAATGAGTGAACAATTGAAAGTCAAAAATAAATTACATTTTGCCATAATTCCATTCAATTTTATAACTTACTTTACATGAATGAAAGATAACTCACGTGTCTCAATGAAAGTTTTGTAAATATGTATCGGAGTTGACATGTAACGTTCAATTTATAAAAAAGAGTGGGGCAGTCTTTTAATATATCTTTAGCAGATTTATATTTTATCCTGAACATTAACAAGTGTTGGTCAATCACCAATATAACAGTCAATCTTTTGAAATGGAAAGACAATTCAACTCAACTTGAATATGAAACAAATGAGCATAATGTCACTTTAAGTAAATTGAATGTTGGCTTTCTAAACATGGTGGATAGACCAGATATCTTAGATGTTTCATTGTTTTGTAAAATGGAGAGGACATCTACACATTACATAAAATTGCTATAAAAAATGGAAAAATGTTACTGAAGACACACACTGAAATAGTTTACGGGAAAAAACTTCATTGACAAAAGGAACGAAGTTTGCAGTAAAATCTACACAATTTAGAATCCATACTTGACTGATTTTATTTTCACGTCCACGTAGTTTCAGAATATCTGAGATTTCACACCACAGGCCCACAGTATTGGTCATATAGCGACTTTCCAGCTTTATTGATGGAGGAAGACCTCAGATGCCCTTCGGAGCATTATTTTAGGCACAGGCGGGCACTTGGGGAGAACCACCGACGTTCCGTAAGCTCACAAGAAAGAGACCAAAGTCCCTGTCGGGATTACTGTACTAAAATAAAATAACATCATTCTATCAATCCAGTGCATTTTAAGTAAATGTAAATGTCCAGAAAAATATAGAAGCGAAATCTAGAAATGCCAATAATATCATTGGTATTTTTCTTAAAATCAAAATAAATACCAAAACATGGGTAGAAAAAAAACACAGTGTACATAAGCACGAAGACTCATTATACCTATATTTCATATTCTTTCATTATTTATTAGAGCGACTGGTTTCTTACAGAGTTTGTCATATACTTGGCAGCAATTATTCTGTATCAGTATTCGCTTGATTATCCACTGACAATACCATTCAACATGAATGTGAAAGTACAACACTTGAAAACATTGAAAATTAAGCGATAACAAATGCGGTAACAAATGCAGAAAATGTGAAGGGTTGTGCAATTAAATTAAAAAGTCCGAACACACTTAAATTGTCTCGCGACTAAAGGACATTTAGGTTAATTTATAAAAGTAAAAACAACACAATAAATCCTTCGTTCGACGAGGGGCAGATAAAGCCTTTCAGTCGAAATTGTCCATGTACCAAAGGTCTATCAGCTAATTCACTACAGTGTGTAATGCATGAAAACTGCATGTTAATGAATTGAACACCCCCAGCACCGTGGCATACCGGGAGTATCTCCCCTTGCCTTGGTCTGAAGTGAATGATTATATCAATCTGCATAGAATAGAGAGTTTATTCATAAGAATATGTCTTTAAGGGCACAAGATATTTCATATTTCATATAGAAAATTTAAAATGTCATTGAAGGGAATTACAGACTGTAACAGGTATATAAAAAAGATATTGTAAATAAAAGAACTTATTATAACACGCCTTGTCGCTATGCAAGTTCGTCAGACTGTATTATTTAGTTGCAAAAGAGAAAACCGCATAATGAAAAAAGACCATCGTCCTTCCTGCACAGTGCAGGCGTTCATAGACAAGTGTATGTTAGTTCAACTTATTAAATTCTATTAGAAAACATAGCTTTTAACAAAAAGCTATAATTACGACTGCTAAATTAAAAACAAAGATTTTATAAATATGTCATATGTTGCGGTTCGTTAGATATATGTCAGATATTATTTCTTGCATATTCTGCCATATTATTTCATATTTAAAATGGTTTACCTCAATATGATATAAGTTCATGGAAATTTAAGTCATTTCATCCATAACTACTTTTTTACAATATCGTATGAACTTACAACTTACTTTGGCACGCGACTCATCTGGCACCCCCATGCCAGATGAAATTTCCAAAATGGGTAAAACTCGCGGATACACCATCTGCTATGCAGGAATCAATGATCCTGAATGATCATGAAGAAAACAATGATCCTGAATGACCATGAAGAAACCAATGATACTGAAGGACAATGAAGAAAGCAATAATCCTGGAGGACTATGAAGGATAAATTATTCTGAAGGACCATAAAGGAATCAATTAATCTGAAGGACTTTAAGGAATGAATTATCATGAAGTACCATTAAGTAATCAACTATCTTGAAGGACCATTAAGGAATCAATTATTCTGAAGAACCATTAAAATATCAATTATTCTGAATGACCATGAAAGAATCAATGACGCCGTAGGACCATAAAGGAATTGATGACCCTGTAGGACCGTTTGGTATAAAAATTTAACAGAAGCAAAAAATAATCTTTCAAGAATACCCAAATGCCTTATTGCATTTAGGCTGCTGATGTCTGAAAATTGAACATTCGTATAGATTATTCAGGTAAATTATTCACTTTTGCTTTTCAAATATACATATTTTTAAAGAATTGAATGGGTAATGCCCCTATTATTGTGAGTAGTATGCAGTAAAAGGTAATGCCGGGCTTAGTAATTGGTTTCGTTTGTTTGGTTTTACGGCGCACAAACACAATTTAGGTAATATGGCACCAAAACAGGAAGGATGATTTTTGCAAACCCCGGATGATACAACTTAAAGGAAAACAAGTGTGGGAGAAGCAAAGGCTCTTGTTATTTAAACCAATTTATTCGCCTTTTACGTTCACGCAGTGATAAACAGTGGCTTCAAATCTGATGCTTCAGCCCACATTAATGACTAACCGATACGAAATGCTACTTATTTGTTTTTATTTATTGAAAGGCACATTATGCCTCAGAAGTCAGTATTTTTTTTAATTCTTTAAAAAGGTCAATTGTGTTTAATAATGTATTAAGAACATGTCAGATGTTCAAAAACTCAAGAAAGTAGGACTGGATGTGCAGTAATGCTTCGTAAGGATACAATTTTTTTTTTATTTTCATTGGATGTAACATGTTTTTTTGTTTTGTTTTTTTTTTATCAAATGAAATGTTTTGTTTCTATCGACCGACAAAAATATACTTATACAGGAATTCTTATATAGGATTTTTTTGTTCGGTTGACCTTAATTATTTAGTTCGGCAATGGGAGGATTGTCAATTTCTTTAAATATGTTCCTTAAGTACTTATAAGTTCTTTATAAGTATATAATAAACAACAAAAGTAATGTAAAAATATTTGGAAAAAAAATCCGTGGATTATTTTCTCCCATTTTATGAAAATGAGGTTTTAATCCCAATGGAGCAACCATGGGACACGTAAAACCCAATAGGAGGATGGAAAACCCTTGGGACGGCGCACTTGCCCAGCGTTTTATTTGTCTGCTATCTTTATATAAACGGTCAACAATCCCCAAATCACATCCACATTTTATATTTAACTTTTTGTATTGAAACTATATTTAAAAGGATAGTTGAGTTTGCAAAAATTCCAGACTTGCAAACTTTTTATTATTATTACTGGAGTTTTTGCTAGTTTTCAAAGTGGGTTATTAGTTAAATTTTTCTGCGTGATTTTCGATAGTTATACGTGATATTTACTAGTTTTTTGCTTAATCTTCAGTTGGTTTTCACTAGTTTCTGCGTGATATTTACTAGTTTTTGCGTAATTTCAATTGTTATTGCGTGGTTTTTACTATTTTTGTGTAATTTTCTCTTGTGATTTTGTTTGGTCTTTGCTAGTTTATTATTATTTTCTTATTAACATTATAATCTTTTTAAAACTGTCTACAAATTAACATTGCACTCATGTTCACCTTTCTGATTGGCTAAACACAAGCTCTTTCATTACCAATATCTAACTTAATTAACCATGTAATATCTACGTCACAATCACGTGGCATGGGACTGGGGATTATTTGTCCCCGTTACAATCCCTTTATTGTACTTGGTCTACTGTTTTGTACCCAACCAGCTGCCGGTAATACTTGTAATACTTGTAATTTAGTATGTACTACGCAAGATTATTGTTTGTGCACTTATCGACAGAGTGAGTAATTAATTAATAAGTATTATTATTCTTATTGTTATACAAAGGTAGGGACATAGACGGGGCCACGCTTGACTGCTAATTGGATTAAGAAACAGATGTATAGATACTCCCAATTAGGATGAACTGTATGTACAAAAGTTCTTGCACGACCATTTTTTGATAATTATTTTCAATGTCAGATTTTAGCTAAGTCCCATTACAATAAAAACAACTGAATTTTAGGTGACTTATTGAACTTGATAAAGAATTTGTTTATTAGTTATCTCACAGCAACTGCAGATAAGAAGTTATTATGGATAGAAGCCGAGATGTTCCGATTCCACACTAATAAGACCTTGCGTAAATCAACCACCTTAGAAAAACAGATTTTGACAGTAAAATGAATACTTATTAAATGTTAACGAGGCAGGTGGTTCTTTTCCAAGAATATGTGCAAAAAGAGATACGCATTAAGTTAAACAGCGTATACTCAAATAGAAGATAGAGTAAGTAATATCAGTAACTTTCATTTCAAAAATTGCAACATTAATATTATTTCCATCCCATCCCTAATACAGAAGAATTCGTGATATCCTTTATTTGTTTGTTTGTTTGTTTGTTTGGATTTTTACAGCATGTCAACACATAACTGGTCATATCGCACCGAATGCTATAATAGGCTTAAAATGTTTAAGCTTTATGAATGACAATAAAATATTCCTTATTTACTTTATTTATAACAAGCGGTCTTTTAGAACGGAGTAAATTCTTTTTTCAATACATTCCGACTCATCACACCCTCACTGCCTCACTTCAACCCACCAACACCCACTAAACCAAAATAAAATAAAGTAGATAACAAATAACATGAAGAATAACAGTTTTTATAAATACATTAATAAATAAATAAATAAATATTAAATAAATAAAAAAACTGAAATAAACTGCAATAAGATAAAAAATGGTTTTTCTTTTCTGTATTGATAAAAAGACAAAAGAGTTTAAAAAGAACATAGATGATTTGCAAAATAACGAAGTCGTCAAATATTTGCAGAACAATTCAAGAACGTATATAAAGGAGCTTGTTTGGTTCATTCATAACTATTGAACGATTACTCGTATCACTAAAACTTCAAGAATGAGGGTTATCACACTTGTGTTATTGGTTAGTTTATTGGCAACAGTTGTTACCACTTCTTCAAGGAGTAAATCTGGATCAATGGATAAAAGCTCTAAACAAAGATCAAATAACGAACGTTCGGGAAACGAAGAGAATAAATCACCTGGAAAAGATGATGTAGATTCAAAGTTGTCAGATGATTACACAGAAGGATCTTACAAGTTCAAAGATTCGAAAGAAACTTCATCGACTAAATCAAAAAGTTCGAAGACATCTAACAATCACAGCGTTATGGAGGCAATGGAATCAACAGGCTCAAAAAGTGTAGAATCAAAAACATCTAGAAAAAGTGTAGGAAAGGAATCAAGAGAGTCGAAAATGTCTGTCAAAACCTCCGGTAAAGATGATGAAAAGAAGTCCAAGGAATCAAACGATGTATCCAATGATATCGGCGTTATTGAGGCAAAGGGATCGACAAGTTCAAAAAGTGCAGAATAAAAAATATCTGGAAATAGTTTTGGTAAAACATCTAGTAAATCGAAAATGTCTGCCAAGGCCTCCGGTAAAAATGACAGAGGCAAGTCCAAGCAATCAGGCGATGCATTTAACAAAAACGGCGTTATTGAGGCAAAAGGATCGACAAATTCAAAAGGTGCAGAATCAAAAACATCTGGAAACAGTGTAGGTAAGACATCAAGTGAATCGAAAATGTCTGCCAAAACCTCCGGTAAAGATGATGAAGGCAAATCCATCGAATCAAACGATGCATCCAAAAATAGTGGCGTTATTGGGGCAAAGGGATCGGCAAGTTCAAAAAGTGCAGAATCAAAAACACCTGAAAATAGTTTTGGTAAAACATCTAGTAAATCGAAAAAGTCTGCCAAAACCTCGGGTAAAGACGATGATAATAAGTCCAAGGAATCGAATGATGCATCCGACAACAGCGGCGTTATTGGGGCAAATGAATTAGCAAATTCAAAAAGTGCAGAATCAAAAACACCTGGAAATATTGTTGGTCCAACATCAAGTAAATCGAAAATGTCTTCCAAAGCCTCAGGTACAGTTGATGAAAGCAAGTCCAAGAAATCTGGAGGTTCATCTAACAAAGCATCCCAAACCAAAGGTACTAAGTCCATAAAAAGCAAAAGTGAAAGGAAAAGTAAAACATTTTCAAAATCCGGCGAAAACAAAATTAGTATGGAATCAGAAAACAATGAAGGAACAATAAATAAGTCGATTCTGAAAGAAAACAGTGAGCAATCTAAGACAGGCATGGAGAAAAGCAAATCTAAGTCTTCCGAAAGTATTGACAAATCAAAGGAAACCACGAACAAACATATGGATAAAGCTTCATCCAAAACACTCGATAATGAAGCTAAGAAGTCATCTAAATCGTTGAAAAGTAAAAACATAAGCAAATCAAAATCATCATCCGGAAAAGACAAGACCTCATCTAAGTCAACGGAAGCTGATTTCGACGAGTCACTGACGTCGGGTAGTATAACCAATGGTAAAACTATCTCAAAATCTAAAAGTACAAATTCGAAGGCAACCAAAGAGACAAAAATCGGAAAGAAATATAATTGCGTGAAAGACGGAGTATCTTATAATACATGTAAGTGTCGTTTATGTTATTTCGTTTTTATTTGTTAAGATTTTTTTCAATTTTTGGGGTTTTTTGTTGTTGCTGCTTTTCTTTTATTTTTATTTTTTTGTGTGTGTTTTTCGTTTTTTTATTGCTGTCTTTACATGTTATTACCTGTTGTATTTATTGTTTGTTTGTTCTGTTTAATTAGATTTATATTATTTCAACTGACAATGAAATTTTTATGAATACAATTGCGAAAATTGTAGTATTTTATAAGTAAAACATTATAAAAAAAAGTTTACTTCATGTCCAATATAATTACATTGTATATCTCTACAAAATTTTCGTTTCGTTGCAATGCCTTAGTAATAGGTTTGTTTAGTTGTTTGTTTCTTCTTTTTTTCTTTTTTTTTTGCTTTTACTTTAAAAAAACTTTTCGGGGACTTTTTACTTTTGAAAATTTAAAAAAAGAAAAATTTATAAATAAAAAAATTCATTTTGCTTTTTTTTTTTGGGAACAATTTAAACAACGTTTGAAAATTTAAAACCCCAACCCCGTGAATCGTTTTCCAAAGGGGGTTTTCACTAGGGGAAAATTTTTCACGTGTAAAGGGGGAAAAAACATGGGGGGGACATCCCAAAAAATTGGGGGGCCCCCCAGTTTTCAAGGAAAAATTTGGGGGAAAAAAAACGTTTTTGGGAAAAAAACTTTTTTCATTTTAAATTTTGGGGAAAAAGGGGGGTTTTTTCGAAAATTTGACCCCAATAGGTTAAATTTCGGGAAAAACCCCAAAATTTTTCCCGGGAAGGGGAACATTTTTGTGTTTTGAATGTGGCGGGAAAAGTATGGGGGATTTTTAGGGGTGCCGGAAGTTAAAAAAAATTTACTTAAAAACACCATTATCAAAATTTTTTCCTTTAAAAAAACTATTCAGGGACGGTTTATTAAAAAAAATTTTCTATTTTTGAAAAAACATCGTTTTCTTTGAAAAGGTCCAAAAATTTATTTTTCTTTATTTGGAAATGAATAAACCCCAATTTTGGAGTGGGAAATTAAACCCCAAATTTTTTTCCGGGGAATTTTTTAAAAAAAAAACCAAAATTTTTCCACCAAATTATAATTTAAAATTTTGGGAAATTTTTTTTTAAAAATTTAAAAAACCAAAAAAACAAAAAATTTATTTAAAATTCACTTCTAAAATTTTATTGTGGTTTTTTCTTTTAATAATATAAAGTGCCCAGTTTTAAATTTAAGGGCCCTTGTCTATTATGGGTTAAATTTTTTTTTCCATAAAAAACTTTAATTATACCCCCGGGGCTTTTTTGTTTTATCTTTTTTTCCAAGGGGACACTAAAATTTAAAAAAATTTTTAAAACATGTATAAAAACGAAGGGGAGACCCCGGGGAAAAAATTTTTTTTCGTCTTTTTGATTTTTTCTTTTAAACTATTTTTTAAAAATTTTGCCTTCAAAAAAAAAACTTTTGGGGGCCCGGGTTAAAAAGGAAAAAAAAACCCTTTTCTCCTTTATAAAAAATTTAAAATTTTTATTTTTCCTAACTTAAACCCCCCCTTTGGTTGGGTTAAAAAAAGGGGCTGGGGGATTTCAAAAAATTTTGCCCAACATTTAAAACTCGGAAAAACCGGTTTAAAAAACATTTCCCTTAAAATGAACTTAGATTTTGGGGTAAATTTCTTTTACAATATCCCCGGGTATCTGTTATTGTTTTTTTCCAAGGGTTTTTTAAAAGCCCACCGATTGTTTTAAAACTTTTTTGGTGATTTTTTGGGTTTTTAAAAATTTTTTCCCAAAAAAAATAAAAGATATTTTTTAGGTTTTAAAAACCCCAAAATATGTAGAATTTTAAGGGGAAAAAATTCATGCGGGGAAATTTTTAAAAAAAATTGGTCTTTTTTTAGTTTTTTTTTGAAATCAAAGGGTTTCTTTTAATTTTTTTTTCCCCTTTTTTTCCCCCTTAAAAAACCCTTTAAAAACGGTTAAATTTAAATTTTAAAACCAAAAAAAAAACCCCGTTTTTTAAATGGGGTCAAAAAAAGCTCGTATAACATTTTTTTTTTTATTTGTTTGATTTTTTTTTTTCGTTTTTTTTAAATTTCCCATAATTTCAAAATTTTTTAAAGGGAGTCGTGTATTTTTAATTCGAAAGATCCCATTAATTGAAAACTCCCCGCGTTTACAGACCTCCCAATTTAATTTTATAAAAAAAAATTTTGGAAAAATTTTTTGGTTATTTTTTGCAGGTCCTGTCGCCCCCCCCCTTGGGGGAAAAAGGGGCGTTTTGAAAAAAGAAGGTCTTTTAAAAGGGAAAAAACCCCCCAAAAAAGTTTTTCCGGGGGGAAAAAAGGGTTTAAAAAGTGGGTAAAATGGGTTTTAGGGGACGAAGATTGTAAATTTTTCCATGTAAAAGTAAGAAACATTTTTTTAAAATTTATTGGGTTTTCCAAAACATTAAAAGGGTGAAGAAATTTAAAAAAAATTACATAACTAAAAAGTAAAAAAAAGAAAATTTAAAATTTTTTTGGGGTTTTTTACATTTTGGGGGTTAAAAAAATTAAATTTAAATAAATTAAAAAACTGAAAAAAAACTTTAATTTCATAAGTTTTTAAACCCATTTACCTGTGGGGACGGTTGGGGAAAGACCACATTGGCCCCACAGGGGGGGGGAAAAATATCTTTTTTTTTTCGCCATTTCTTTTTTTCATTCTTTTCTTTTGATTGTATTTTAATTTTTTGGAAAAAAAAAAGATGAATTCTCCCGGCTTAATTTGCTTTCTGTGGTCCAAAAAGGGCGAAATATCTTAGAAAATTTTAAATTTTTTAAAACCCCCTTCCCCCGGATATCCCGGGGGGAATAGGGAATTTGTGGGGTGCCCCCCAATTTACTTTTTTATTTTCATTCATTTTTTTATACATTTTTCTTTTTTTTTGGGTTTTAAAAACCCTCCCAAGGGTTTGGGGCAGTGTCATCAAAAAATAGGGCCCAAATTTTAAGGGGAGGGTTGGAAAACCAGGGTCCCCAAGGGTTGTTAAAAAATTTGGTTTTCCCCGGAAAAGCTTTCTGTGATCCGGGGAAAAATTTCTCCAAAGACATCCAAAATTTTCCCAAAAGAAAAGTTTTGTGTGGTCAGAGTTTTTCTTGATAAAAAATAAAAATTTTAAAAAGAACAAAAAAAACAAAAAGCAAAAAAACCACAAAGGCTAAAAGAAAAGGGAAAAAAGATATTCATTTGTTTTGCCCACAAAAAACCAATGATATGAACTATTTAAAAAAATTCATTCCCAAACAATGAAAAAAATTTTGGAAAAAAAAAAACCCCAGGTTTTAAAAAAAATTAATTTAAAAAAAACCCTTTAATTTTAAGTTAAATAAGAAAGTTTTTGGGGAAATTTAAAAGGGCCAATTTAAAAAAAAAATATTTTTAAATTTGATTTAAAAATTTTTTTTAAACCCGGGAAAAAGACAAAAAATATGAGCTTTTATTTTAAAGGGGGTTTTAATTTTGTTTTTAATTTTGGGAAAAATTTATTAAAGAAAAACGGGTTTTGGGGTAAAAGGTCATTGCATTATTTAAAAATAAAAAAAAAAACATTTTTAAAAAAACGAGAAAATTTATAAAAAATTAAAGGGGTTTTTTCCCATTTTTCCTAAAAAAATGTATTTTTCCCAAACCTTTTTTGGTATTGATATTGATAGTTTTTGATTGTAAAAAAAAGGGAATACTTCTTTTAACCCAAAGGGGGCCTTTCCATTTTTTTTTTTACCAAAAGGGGGAACCTTAAAAAAAAAAAATTTTTTCCATGTACAGAGGGTTTAAAACCAACAAAAAAAAAAAAATTGCAAAAAAGAAAAAATAAGAAAACCCCAAAAAGGATTTTGTTCAAAATATTTATAAGTTTTTGGGGGGCGGGTTTTTGGCCCACTTTTAACTGGGTTAAAAGGGGAAAAAACCCACTCTTTTTTTCCCACGGGGGTTAAAGAAATTTTTAAAAACGAAAAATTAAAGAAAGGTAAAGGCCCAAGGGAAAAGGGGCCAAAAGGTTGCCAACCCCCGGCAAACTTTAAAGGGCCCCGCCAACAAAAAAATTAATTTTTTAATATAAAATTTGGCTGATAATTTTTTAAATACATTTACTCCAAATTTCCAAAACTTTACTGAAACATAAAGAAGTAAACCTTTAAAAAAAATTTTTACTTTTTTTTTGAAATGTTAGTTTTAAAAACTATTTCATTTTTTTTGAAAATTTAAAACAAAAGGGTAAAACTATTTTTTGGACGGAAAAAACCTTTCTTAAAAATTTAAGGGCCCATTTTTTCAACTTTTAATTTTATGTAATTTTTTCCTTTAAAGGGCCCAATTTAAGATTTTTAAACCCAAGTTTTAATTTTTCAATTCCCAAGGGGTTTAAAAAATCCAAAATTTTAACTTTTTTACCTTTATTTGCTTTTTTTTATAAATCCAATTAGAATTAAACAAAAAATTTTTTATTTTTTAATCACAATTTTACGGCAAAAAAAGAAAAAACGTTGTTTAAACTTTAGCAAAAACCACCTCTTTTTTCCCTTCAAAAAAAGAGTACTGTTTTTAATCGAAAACTGTGAAAACCTTTTATTCGCGAATTGGGAAAAGATTTTCAAAGGGAAAAAAAATGAAAAAATGTTTTATAAAAAAATTCTCCCATAAAAAAAATAAAAAAGCCCCGTTAAAAATTCTTTTAAAAATTGAAATTTTTAAAACCGGTTTTTTCCCTTTTGGCGGGCCCATTTTTGGTTCAAAAAAAAACCGTAATTTTAAAAATTTTTTTAGAATAATTTTTGGAAAATTTAAATTAAAAATTTTTGGCCTTTGAATAGAAAACCAAAAATATTGCAAAAACCCAAATTTATTCGGGGAACATTCTGAAAAAGTCTTTTTAAAAAACGGGACAAAACGGGAAACCAAAAAAAAGCGGGGTTGGGGGGTTTCGGGTTTGTAAATTAAATTTAAATTTTCTTGTTTCCCGCCCTTTTATTTTTCAAAGGCCGAAATTCCCAAAAGGGGGGAT